GGTAATCCCTGCATGGGGGATGAGGGAGTTCAAATTTTAATTCTGTTTTTCCAGACTTAAAGTAGCCTACAGCTCATTTACATAGCTACAGTACATAATTGCATATTACTTTAGGATTAATGTTTTAAATATAGCTTCAATTTTTAATATAGCAACATGAAAATTATTGAAAAAGAAAATTGTTGTGCCACTGTCCTGCAGAGTTTAGCGTCAACTCCGATAAAAACCAAGCAGTATTAATAATCCTAAAGATGATGATTGCTGGTTCAGCCAGGTGTGTTTGATTAGGGTTGGAGAAGCTGAACTCTGCACCCAGGAGGACCGACAGTGCCCTTCCATGTTATAGATTAAATATGAAAGTAAAGCAGCCAGTAGGTGGTGGCAAGTTGTCTTTATGAACGAGTCATTCATTCAAACTTGACAGGAATTCTGTGATGAAACACTGTTGTGTGGCTCAAAGGAGATCGACACTCGTGATGCCAGGTCCAGAAGTAAGGCCAGGGCAATAAAAAAAGTGTACAGTGTGTGTATGTATATACAATGTGAACTATTTACCAGTGTGTTGCATTCAAGTGCTTTTGTTGTCGTAATGTGGTAAAAAGATGGATCCAGACCTGTTATTTAGCTAAAACTATTTTAAAGGTAAATAATATGCTGTATATTTTCTAGATCATGATGAATAGTAGCCTATATATATTTTTACCATTCACGACTCTCGCGGTGCTCTCCGCCATTTTGAAATGGTCAAAGGTTATCTCATCTCGGCAACTCGTCCATCAAAATATTCTACGAGTTGCCCAGTGGTAAATACCACATGAGGGGGTGTTCATGTGCATTTTCCACGTCGGCTTTTGGTGGAAATCCATATATGGATTCGTCAGAGGACCACACCCAGCCTAATTTTCCATGTATTATTTCCGATTGATTAGCACCTGTTCTTGTTGAGTGATTAATCAGCTATAGCCTAGTTACATTGTTCAGTGTTTTATGGGTTTAATACTGTTGTAGTTTGAGAAATATGTTTAAGAAATGTGATAAAAGTGATAAATTGAGAATTAATCTACTGCTAAAAGTGGTTATGGTTTTCCATTTCATTGGCGTAATGAATGTAATGTAACGTGGAGGTTTTGCTAACCATGTGCGAGGTATAACCAAGTGCCTGTCATTTTGAAAGCCAATGTCATTTTCTCCACTTTATTTCATATTTGTTGGATTTATTAAGGATTAAGGGAAGTCATACACATTAACAAGAGGAATTAACATTCCTTTTGGATCTTGTGATGAAAATTAGTCGGATTGAAATGTTAATGTGTGTAAAAGGGTTCTTTTCATCTTTTTAGTTCATTTTGAATTTGCATTGCAGTTCATAAGGACATTGAACGAGTGAACTGAACATTGAAATGAGTTTAATTCATTTGGAGTTAATTTTGATACTAATTTTTTAATTAGTGTGTCATTGAGTATCGTGTTTGAAATTTGTCTTGATTGTTTTTTAATTTTTTTCCCCATTCGTTTTTGAAATCTTTCTGGGAAGATTTAACAGAGCTACTGAGTCAAAGATTTATTTGGGTTTTTTGACTGAAATCAACTTTTTGTCGGTTACATGTTTTTTTTTTTTTTTTTGTGAAATTTATATTGAAACTGTTATTTTATTTTGTTGTTTAGCATTTGTTGTTCTCATTCCCTTTGTCCCAGATTAGCTGCAAGCTGCTAGTGACGCATACATGGAGTTTTAATACCACTAAGAGCATCTGTTTCATACTGTTACAGCACAGACCTCACTCTTTTACAGCTTAAAACAGGAACTCTTCCATCTGTCTACTCCATTCTCAATCCATTCATTAATTTCCCCCATATCCCCCCGATTCCCCCCTCTCACATGATCTCAACAACTGCTGCTAATGAAATACGGCTGCTGACAATTCTCAAAATGTATTTGTGATGGTGCGTTATCCTTCTGGAGTAGCCATCAGAAGATGGTACACTGGTCATGAAGGGATGGACATGGTCAGCAACAATACTCAGGAAGGCTGTGGTGTTTAAACGATGCTCAACTGACCATTCGCAAAGACCCATCCCCTTTAGTCACTGTTGCTATGTTCGACAAGCAACGCTGCTCTCACGCCACATACCATGTTCTCACACAGTGAAAAATACATTTCAGAGCAAAGAGGACACTCACAACGCGCTGATAGGCAGGACGGACCAGGTTACTTTTGATATGAAACTCAACTTTCACATTTGGTAAATTTAAACAATAAATACTGTTTTGTGGCTCTTTAATGTGCCAATCCTTGGCCGCAGATCTTCCATGCTGCCTACACTGCGGCGAGTCCACACCGGCTTAGTCACCACCAAACAACAGTCCAACGATATCACAGCTATTAGGAAGGTAGAAACAAACATGTTGAGGAAAAATATGGAGGCCTGGGCTGCACACAATGGGCCGCCCAACTCCCAGCTGTGGCCCTTCATTAGGTAATGAGTGAAAATTGGCAAAGTTAGTGTGGTTAGGAAATCTGACAGTGCCAGATTGAGAACCCATACTGCTGCAACCGTCTTGCGAAGAAGATGGCAACCAAGCACCCAAAGCACCGTTCTCCAGGATTCCCAGAGTGGATACCACACCATGCACACTCACCACTGCCAGGTTCACTTGAGTGTCATTATTCAGAGTGTGAGAGATCATTTTCTGCAGAAGGGGACTGTGGAGCTCTGAGGGGGATGGTTGGGAGGAATTAGGAGGTAATGAGGAAGTCATTGCTGTCACAAAAAAGAGAAGCAATTGAAATGAAGCACATAGTTTAACAAATTAAACCTTTATGTGTTTAAATGGGGTTCTTTCTTAAAGGGATACTCCACTTTTTTTGGAAATAGACTCATTTTGCCACTCCCCTAGAGTCAAACAGTTGGGTTTTACCGTTTTAATGAATTCGGACGATTTTTTTGATATTTAGAAGAATATCAGTAACCAGACAGTTTCTGGTCTCATTGACTTAGTATATTTTTATTCCTACTATGGAAGTCAATGAGATCAGAAACTGTCTGGTTACTGTTATTCTTCTAAAAATCAGAAAATCGGCTGAATGGATTTGAAAACGGTAAATCTCAACTGTTGGGAGTTGTAAAATGAGCCCATTTCCAAAAAAGTGGAGTATCCCTTTAACGTTTAACATCTGTAGGATTCTAAGATTAGAATCTCTTTAATCTCTCTTAACCAGGGGTCTGTAATGGTTTAAGGCGATCTGACATTATAGTTTTATTGTTTGACCTTAGTTATTTTTTTTTTAAAGTAGTCTCTTATGCTCACTATGGCTGCATTTTTTGATACAGCAAAACAGTAAAAATGTGACGTACTTTTGCAATTTTATTCACTTGTTCTATTTCAACACTCTCAGAAAAAAAGGTACGAAAGCTGTCACTGGGGCGGTACCTTTTCAAAAGGTACACTTTTGTACCTAAAGGGTGCATATTGGTACCTTCATGGTACATATTTGTACAATTATGGTACCAATATGCACCCTTTAGGTACAAAAGTGTACCTTTTTGAAAAGGTACCACCCCAGTGACAGCTTTCGTACCTTTTTTTCTGAGAGTGAATAGTATTTTAAAATTTATTCCTGTGATGGCAAAGCTGAATTTAACACAGTTTCATCCCAAGTAGTCATATAACTGACTTCTTTGGACGTCTTTTGAGCATATGTCAACATCCCCCTTTTTAGGGTACTCTTAAACGTCGGTTACATGACGATCCCGGGCCGTCATACAACAGCTTTACCTTTAAAGGTTCTCAAAGCGATCCTGGGTGTTGACGTTCGAATATTTTCAAACAAATTGGAGCTAGACCCTCCCTCCTCTGCATCTCATCTCCTCCCCCTCCCTTCCGTGCTTCCTGAAATAATTGTGAACGTGCATAGTTCTAGCTAATTATATCCTTGTGTGGGTTAGAAGAAAAAAAAACAATTTAACGTTACCCACCTGTCCAGCAAAAACAGAGCAACCTGAATGTCGGACTGTAAGCCCTTCTGCCGCCGGAGTTCTCGCCATCATTCAAAAGCTTTGCTACCGATGTAAATTCGGAACTTCGCACATTCTTTATTCGACTCCTTCTTCTTTTTAATTTGTTCCTCAGAACGACGTCTCTTTGGTCGTGTGTCGGTCATTTTTCAAACTTCCCTCTGATGCTTCGCTGCTCTCCTTCACACACACACACACACCCTTCATGTGCATGCGCACTAACCCCCCAGACCCACCCTCAAATACTTCTTGCCAGTGATTGGCTGGAACACTGTTTGTTAGGTTTCGTGGTCCGGGTAAGACATGATTGTTTTTGTTGCCGTTTGTGGAGCCTGTGGTGCCTACAGAGACCGCGTTTTTTTACAGTGTGTTTAGGGGACAGGCAGCTAGCCGATAGTGAGGAGACGTTTGATGTATGTGACAAAAAATGTTTTGGCCCAGCATCGCTTAGAGAACCTTTAACGTCGGTTAGTTGACGGGGTAGGTTTAGGGGTAGGTTTAGGTCTATGGCGCTTGATCCGTGACAAAATCAAACATCCGACCGACCGACCGACCGAACGTCTATCCGATCGTCTGGGGTAAGGATCCTAAAACGTCATCTTAAGGGTACCCTAAAAAGGCGGATGCTGACGGTCAAAAGACGTCCCAAGAGGTCAGTTATATGACGTTTTGGGATGAGACTCCGATTTCAACATCATTACTTCAGCATGATCCTTCAGACATAGTTCTTATGCTGATTTGATGCTCTAATTTTGTGCAAAAAAAATAAAATAAAAAATTACTTCAACAGTGACAATATTAAGTTAAATTGATCACAAAGTTCCAATGCAGATCACTAAAAGAATTTACACATTTCTTAAAACAGAACATTTACCATATCAATTTCAAAAAAATAGGAAGGAAAGAAGTACCGAATGTGAAATCAAGCTAAGAGGAAGCTGTGGTGAATTATGATAATCAGATGAGCAAACTCTGACCATGTCTCTTAACTGTGTTAGTCCTGTCTGTGAGGTTTCTGCTGTCGCTATTTTGACTTCACAACGCTTTCATCCAAGACCTCTCTAAAATAACATCATCGTGAGGTATGTAAAAATGTGTTATCAGTCTATGCATGTGCATGGATGATTGTAAGCATTTTGAGTTAAATAATTTATTATTATTTTATTTTTATCTTGTTAGTCCAAAAACCGCATGCAGACCAAGTCTAACCAAAATGTTTGCCAACAAATTCACACATTCTCTTGTTTAGTATTATTTAAAACACATCCCTTTTACATTAGTTCGCACTAGCAGTGTCTAAAACATTACATTAAAAAGGCTTTGCCAACAACACATTTATAGTGTTGCTGGGATCCAGATTCATTGGTACAGTATTATTGTATTTAACAGGAACTGCACGTATCTCATACTTGCGTAATAATTGTTGGTTTAGTAGAAATGATGACTGTGTCATGACTACCATTCAATCATCCATTAATATAAGAGTTATTATTCCTCAGGAAAGTCTTGGTGTTGATGTTCAGTGTTCAGGACTGATAATGGATCTCATTTCTTTCCTTGAAAAAAAATTGTTTATGTCCCTGCCTGCCCTAAACAACAACATTTACTTAGAATACATGGCAAGGGTTGTGGGAAGAGCAAAGAATCAAAGAACTGAAATACTTCATTGATTGTATAGACAAACAACTGGTTTATGACATTCAATGGGATCCAAAAGTTTGAGATCACTAGTCTGCTGCCATTATGCTTCTATTTTGCATCGTTTTTTTTTTCATAATAATATTTTTTACACATTTAAATGAAAAGCTTCACGAACTTCACAAGTTTGTGCAAAATATGATGTTCATGTTCTCTAGCATGATTAAAGAATATTACAAATAGCATACTTCAGTTGACCTGTCCTTTAGTGTCACATGATCCTTCAAAAATCATATGCAGATTTGGTGCTCAAGAAACATTTCCTATTTTTGACATTGACATTTTTCCCCAGATTTTTTATTTTTTTTGTAAAAAAAAAAAAACTGCATTTATTTTATATGCATCGTTTTAACAATGTAAATATCGTTTCTATCTTTTTGGTCAATTGAAAGCATCTTTGCAGAAAAAAATTCATATTTCTCTTAAAAACACACCAAACCTTTGAACTGTGTTGTATGTAAAAACACCACGACATAAAGCAAGAGCTAATTTCTAAAATCTTAAATCATTCAGTGTGTCTTTCATAATTCTTTTTTATCTTTGAGATAATGTCATTGTCTTAGAACAAGTAGGCTACTTCAGGTTGACTTTTCTGACTTTTATTCTGCCACTATCATCTAGATCCCCTATACTCACACTAGACTCAAATGAAACGTACCTTTTGTGAAGTTTGTTTACTCAGACTCACATTTTCTCCAGATGATCTTTGTTTGTCCACCAGTGACCAGTTACTTTCTTCTGCACTCTTTTTGACCTCTGCCTTTGTCATTCCTGTCTCATATATCATTTTGTCCTGAAGGTGTGTCAAAGAAGCGATAAAAACAGTAGGAGAAGTGTAAGTGGGATCTTTCTGTCTTTTTTTCACATGAAATTCTGCTGTTTACAATTATTGTTTTCCTTCAGACGACAGCTGTTCAGAATATATGTGTGTGTGTGTGTGTGTGTGTGTGTGTGTGTGTGTGTGTGTGTGTGTGTGTGTGTGTGTGTGTGTGTGTGTGTGTGTGTGTGTGTGTGTGTGTGTGAAATTGCTAAACACTGCATATGGATTGTATTATAAGACATGTTGAAGCTCCAGGCTGGGCAATGAAAAAAATAAATAATTAAGAAGACACATGGAAACTGACCACCATGGTCATTGTAACATGTCCATTGTGTTTTGGTTCTGTTTTTCCCGTTCCTGTTTGCCTGTGTTCCATGTCCTAATAGGCTAGGGTGCGTCTTTATACTATCACTGTAAAAAAATATTGTTGGTTTAACTTAAAAAAAGTAAGTAACCTGGTTGCCTTAAAATTTTAAGTTGATTGAACTGAAAAAAGTGAGTTAATATAATGAAGGAGATTGATTTAATCACCAGAAACTCAAAATAATAAGCTATCTGAACTAAATAAATTATTTAAGTTGATTTGACAAAAGAAAAAAATGTTGTGATAACAAATCTTGAAAATATTTTTTTAACAGTAAGTTTGCTGACACCTAAAAAAAGTAACTGATGCCACTTTGTAAATAAGCTATAGTCATGAGTCATGTCATGATTAATTTGTCAAATACAATTATTTTCAATATTTTCCAAAAGTACAGTTTATTTGTATTTATAAAAATAAAACTTTTTTTAATGAGGGAAATTTAGTTGGTAAACCTTTAAATAAAAGTATTTGAATGATACAAGAATAATATTGATGAGATTATTACAACGCATGATTAATGCATAAGGAACATTCATTGAACCTTTAAATCTGTAATGTCACACAGTCAATCATTTCATTGAAGAACTTCTGGGACCTCAATGTGCGGGAACAGGTGTGGTCCTATTGTGGAATGTGAATAATGTTCCAAGATGACGATATAGACAACTTTACTGGTAAAGTCATACAAATTAAGCAATATAGAAGTTTTTATGTGAATGGTCAAAGGTAGTTTTATGGATTTGAGCCTTACTCAACAGTAAGCATTAGGTTGATTTTATTACTGATGTATAAATTTTTACATCTGTGTGTGTGTGTGACATGATGCAATATTTTAAAGGCAGGCATGCCTTAATTCCTCCATCATGGTTAATCATTGTCTTAGGCCTGATTGCATGACAACTTCTACACATTGTGATAAGACAATATCATCAGAGCCTAACAAGGATTACCAAGGGATAGACAGGAGGTACTGAGACAGATTGAAGGTGCCTTGAATGTATAAGGTAAGAAATACAGTCTATTATATACATTCTATTCTATTTTCTAATCTATTATTTATGATAGATATATTGCCTTAGCATAATAATATAAATATAGCCTATGGGCCTATTTATAAACATTTTGTATTATTTTTAACCCTAAAACCGTATTCTGGACAAATGTGGGCAAAATAATTTTGATTTATTTTTTAAAAAAATACTTCCCTTGATATGAGTGGTACAAGACTTGGCTACTTTTCATAAGTTTGCCTCCTGAACACAGACAATTTTTTTTTATTCAATTCTACAATGTTAAGTGGGTGAAAAAAACTCCTTAATCTTGTATTTGGGTCAAAAATTGGCACCCATAGAAATGATTGGGAAAAACTGTAATTTAGAGCATTCTAAAATAAGCCAAAATAAGACACCAGGTGACAGCAGTCACTTCATCTTTAGGTTTTAGCTCTAAGAACTTATTGGAATGAATTTTAATGTAGTTAAAAAATAAATAAAAAATAAAACTACTTTACATTGAAATAATTTACATAGAACTTTTTGAAGTAAATAAATTCAAAAATACCCCCATAATGAAAAAAAACCCCACCATAAATGGATAGACAAAACTTTATCGAAGACAGTGATATAACATTTATAATAAATAAAAAGGATTAGGATTACACCTGAGCCCTCTGTGCCCACATTTGTCCACAATTACAGGATTAAGGACTATAAAGTGAATATGGTTTGAGGGCTACCTTAATTCTGCTCACTTCTCTCTGAAGATTTTAATTATTTCTTTTTCATTCAATTTGTCTACTGTTTTGGTCATTTTTTTCTCATTAACAAATATATATAAATATTTATATATGAATGTATATATATTTTATTCTTGACTCAGATGATCATGAAGTCATTAGTACCCACTGTGGTGGTCCTGATCACACTAGTAGTGTCCAGGATGCAGGCATTTGTGTCAGTCGGGGGTAACGGAAACACTCATGTGACTATTACTGGTTCTGCTGTGATGGCAAAGATCCGCGAGGTGTGTGAAGCAGTGGCAGAATCAGAAGGAAGAGAATTTAATCCAACGGTGAGTTTGTGTACAAGTACAAAGCACTAAATACCATAAAAATTGCGCGATTCTTCTGAAGACAAACAATAGCTTTTGTTTTAAGAAATGTTTGTCATTTTATTCAAAATGATGATAAATTTATTTGAAATGATTGCACTTTAACACAGGGCTCATCGCCTGAAGAGCTGCTGCGCGCGTGTCTGGGCACGGCCACAGGTGAGGTTTCGGGTGCCAAGTTCCGTACGGCACTGAATCAGATCTACATGCAGAATGGATTTGTGGACCGTGATTTCATGGACAGTGCACCACACCACTTCAATAATGAGGCCTTCGCTGAGGGGCGCAACCTCATCATTCAGGGAATTGCAGCCATAAAAGCAAATGTCCGAACTGACAACCTTATATCTGCCAGAGAAACACTAGGGCGAGTGTGTCACACACTACAGGTGGGTGAGAGGGAGATACAGTTATTGCTACAAAATTGCTCAAGAACATGGTTTCACTCGTTATTATAAGAAATGCTTTTGTTTATGGCTGTCACATGTTTCTTTAAAAAGAAATATTCTCTAGCAAATCAAAAAACTAAGCTTTAAATATTAATATTATGTTAAACATCCAGTTAATAAAACTTATCAACATTTACTCATATCAAAAGAATGCATAAACAGTTTATTTTTTTATTTATTTTTATTTTACCTTTATTTAATCATTTGAGAACAGGTTCTCATTTGCAACCGTGACCTGGCCAAGATAAGGCACAGGGAGCAAGGCGACATAAAATTACACATGACAACACACAACTACACAGTCATGAAAATAAACCATAAACTTTTCTTATTAACCTAGAAAATGGTTTCATTATTACAATTTATTATAAGAATTGCTTTGTTTATGGTTGTGACATGTTTCTCTAAAAGATATGTTTTCAAGCTAGATTCTGCTTAAAGGGATACTCCTTTTTTTGGAAATAGGGTCATTTTACAACTCCCAGATTTAAACAGTTGGGTTTTACCATTTTCGAATGTATTCAGCCGATTTTCTGATATTTAGAAGAATATCAGTAAACAGACAGTTTCTGGTCTCATTGACTTCCATAGTAACTGGAAGTCAATGACATGTCCAAACAGACAGTTTCTGGTCTCATTGACTTCCATAGTAACTGGAAGTCAATGACATGTCCAAACAGACAGTTTCTGGTCTCATTGACTTCCATAGTAACTATGGAAGTCAATGAGACCAGAAACTGTCTGGTTACTGACATTCTTCTAAATATCAGAAAATCGGCTGAATGGCTTCAAAAACGGTAAAACCCAACTAACTCTGGGGGAGTTGTAAAATGAGCCTATTTCCAAAAAAGTGGAGTATCCCTTTAAAACACAGCGTAAGCTTTAATAGCATTAATATTATGTTACGCATTCATCTTAATTCTTTTTCAGGATTTTTACAGCCACAGTAACTGGGTTGAATTAGGGAACAAAAGTCCATATGTCAACCTCATCAGACCGGACCTCAACATTGAGAACATTGCAGGTAGATAAAGTCAGTGGGTGTGATTTATGAGAGAGAGTCATATTTGGAAATGAAATGTGATTACACCATTCTTTCAGTGTTGACATGTCCAATGTTCATGTGTCATAGCTCTTAAAAAATCAATTTTTAAAATGAAAACTAGAGATAAGTGAACAGATGGACCTGGTGCCTAACTGATAATAACAGGTTACACCAGAGAGTACATATCATAATTGTATGAGATGAATCTGTTGACTGTTCCTAAACAGTAAATGAGTAAATTAAGTGCATGTTTGTGATTTATGTATGTTGTATAATGCTGTATATGTATTTGTTCATGTGCAGACGTTGCAATGCCAACATGCAGTGACTGTGCCAGTGGTACATGTCCAAACCAGCTGTTGTCTGCTATTCTGAATGGGAAGTACCTCACTTCAGGATACATGGGCTTATTCTCCTCTTACAAACCTCAAGGTGAGGAAACATACATAGGTTTATACCAGAAACACCCATGGGCATATATACTGCAAAAATGTAAGGTGAAGTGAAGTCAAACTGTTTTAGAACAAACGTTGGTGTTTTATCAGCTTCTTAGAAAGAGTGGTTTTAGGTTGTTATGTGTAAGAAACTGACAAATATTGATGTGCAGGTAAACCTCACTCCCCTGATCTCAAGAGGTGCACTTGCAACTGATACTAGAGCCTTTTGCATCCTTGTTAGCATGCCCGCCTCCAATGCCTTAGACGCCAAGTCCCACTCGGATAGGGGCGAGTAGGTTTGAAGGGGGTTATATTGGTGCCTTGACCTGGGGGCTGAGTGTAATGGAGGCCAGATAGAGAGCTGTGCAGGTAAACCTCACTCCCCTGATCTCAAGAGGCTCACTAGCAACTGACACTAGAGACTGGGGTCTTTAATGTCCTTGTTAGGCGTTCCATAAGGCGTTCCATAGGGTTACATAAGCAGAGGCTGTATTAACTAAAACATTTCTAACTTTTACCAAATTTGATAAAACCTCAAATATAATTCAAAATGTCTTTGACAGATAAAAAATAAGATATCATCTGCATTTCCTTACTTAAGAAACATTTTTTAAAAATGAGAGAAAAATACGTTTAAAAATATTCTTAAGTGTCACAATTTCATTGTTTGTCTTGTATGCGTGTGTGTAAGGTAAATGTAGCCATGGTGGGGAGACTGATCTCAGCAGTACCCAGAATCCTCGAGGTGGGATCAGTAAAGATGAACGCCTTTCCCATAATGCTGTTCTACACAATAATGCTGTAAATCTGGCATCTGAAGCCACCCTGGAACTGCTGGAGGACATACGTGGAGCTGTAGGGAACAAGGACTACCTTCGGTATGGGGATAAATTCCTTATATATCCTTAGACAATCTTTCTAAAACATTTAAGATATCACTATAAATGTAATGTGAATGCATTTATGTTTACATTTAAAACACATTAACCAGAATAATAATTGTTTCCTCCATCAGGCTGATGGGAATTGCTCGATCTGCAGTGCTGGCTTTTGTGATTGACACCACAGGCAGTATGTCGAACGACATTGCAGAAGCCAAGAGAGTCGCCTTCAACATAATTGACAGTAAAAAAGGAACTCAAGATGAACCATCTGAATATATTCTGGTGCCGTTTAACGATCCAGGTGAGTGCAAAAAGCGTTTCCATTAAGCATTGGAATACATAGCACATACTTGGTAAAACTAACTAAACTAAACTGTTTTATTGAAACTTTTCATTATTGAATGCAATTTATAGCTGCATCCCGTAACTTTTTTTGTGTTCACAATTTAAAAAAAATGTATATAATAAGCCAACGCATTCTCATCCTTTAGCGTCATATGTGACGCTATATGACATATTACGCTAAAGGATTTATGACGCCTTGGGTTTGCGTGTTATATTAACGATAAAGGGTGCCATGTGCGTAGTATTTCGCCATTTTGTCATATAGCGTCACATATGACGCCAAAGGATGAGAACGGGCTGAATAAGCAAGTGAAGAGTTCAGATGCAAAAGCCTCTAAATGCCATTTGAAATTTTCTTCTTTAATGATGATTTTTATCAAACTTGTATATTTAAGTTCAGTAATTTCACTTAAATAACAATTAATAGGTAATTCATTGCCATTTAAGTGAAATAACTGAACTTAAATATACAAGTTTGATAAAAATTATCATTAAAGAAGAAAATTTCAAATGGCATTTAGAGGCTTTTGCATCTGAACTCTTCAAGTACATCATGAATCCATTTGCCAAACTTTTCTTTTCTCAATCACTGCTGAACAACACCTATAATAAATGTTTAAATTTGGACTATTTTAGACCGGTCTTTTTTACTATTTTTTCACAGATACTATATTTGTATGAATTTTGTGTGTATTTGCAGGTTTTGGACCACTAATAAGAACCACAGACCCAGATATAATGAAGTCAGAGATCTCCAAACTCAATGCTGAGGGTGGAGAAGACATCCCAGAAATGTGCCTGTCAGGACTTCAGGTACTGTTGTGTGGCCTTTCAGCCAATAAGCTCAATCGTCATATATAATAAGCAACCACATTAGTCTCTGGTTAGAACTAATAATTATTAGAATATTAATTATTATAAAGAATATTTTAGAGAATCTGTGAACCTTCATCCTGTATTAAGATCCATTCTTAGTTTGGTCAAAACACTAGCAGGAACATTGCAAGGAATCAGTTTTTATTGACCACTCTGGTTCTTCTTTCTAAACTTCTGTCTCTCCCGCAGTTGGCTCTGACAGGCGCTCCCTCCTCCTCGCATATATATGTGTTCACCGACGCTCCACCAAAGGATACATACCTGGAGAAAACCATTACCGCCCTCATCCGCAGCACCAAGTCTACAGTAATCTCTCTAACATTGTTTTAGTTTCAGTCTTTGCCATCAACATTTTCACCAGGCCTCAATTAGTTACCCACTCTCCCCCTCTCTTTTCAGCTGAACTTCTTCATTACGACATCAAGCAGGAGGAGAAGGGCATTGAAGGCAGGGCCAGCTTTTAAGGTTTATTTTGACGTGGCCTTGGCCTCTGGAGGTCAAGCCATTGAGGTCCCCAAGTCCAGCCTCTCTCAAGCCACTGATATCATTGTTGATACCTCCACTTCAGCCCTGGTATGATCAGCATTTTATAGACATTTTGAAATTGTAAACTTCTCACAAACAAAACAGTTAGAACAGCCTAAGTTAATGGTATAAATGAATAAAGCCGAAGTTTTTTCTTGCAAATGTTTGCACCATATTTCTTCTCCTGTCAGGTGACAATTCTTCAGCGCTCCAGGGATCCAGGACGTGTGGAGAGTTTCTCCTTCCTACTGGATCATTCTGTGTCCAACACTACTATCTACATCACAGGAAGTGGCCTCACATTCAACCTACGCAGCCCGACTGGTAAATTCAGAGGCACTTTAGAATGCAAAAGCTAATTGACATTACATTTATTTGACAATTTACAGGCCACACTAGCTGTTAAATCGTTTAGAATTTCAGCTTTCCCAACAAATTTAGTTTATCTTCGTTTCATCTTAGTCCAGGATAAGTCATAGTGTCATGTAAGTTTTACCAGGCTGCAAACAACTCTAAACATGAAATCTGTAACAGAAGTTGAAATGAAAATCTGGTTTAGTGTCATGAAAGTGTGGTGGCAGCAACTAAACTAAAAAAGTTTAGGACGGCAATAGCCAGTAAAATCTAGAAAACTCTGAAAACTGAATTAAAACTATAACAAACTAAAATAACAAATATTTTCATGATTTGTAGTCACAACATTTTTTCTTTTGTCAAATCAACTTAAATCATTTATGTAGTTCAGATAACATAATATTTTGAGTTCCTGATGATTAAATCAATCTCCTTCATTTGTATTAACTCTCAAAATTTGAAGGCAACCAGGTCATTCATTTTTTAAGTTAAACCAACAATATTTTGTACAGTGTAGAAGTTATTGAAAAACTAATTAAAAATGTAAAACTAAATAAAAATGTAAAACTAGAATTACTTGTGAATTGATTGTATTATATTGTAGTGTACTCACTTGATTGATTGTCGATTGTTAAGGCCATTGCACACAGAGTCCGAAATTCGCGTCCAAAATTTCTGCACGTTAAAAAATAAATATGACCTCACGTTATGTCAATCACGCTTGGACACTGCCTCCGAAACTTTCGTCCGTCATAAAAAAAAATCAGATCGGGTTCGATTTTCTGCGTTTTTCGCATTTGAATGGAGTGAATTTTTTTTGACAATTCAGAGCCACCGAATCACGAATACGAAAAAACACATACGAAAATGTGGGACTCAGTGTGCAATGGCCTTTATTACGCACACTATTATCTAATGGGATGCACTTGCTTCCAGGTGTCTCTCAATCTAACTCTGTTTCCAACGGACCTCTGGGAACAATTCAGAAAGTAGGTAACCTGCAACGGATCCAATTAAACGAAACTGAGCTGGGCTTGTGGCACATTGACATGATGACAACTCAATCCTACACCATAAAAGTGACTGGTGAGCCATCATGTACACATTTAATAATCCAATGCAAAACAAAAGACTGAAGTCTTTGCCAAACTGTATTCAGGCCTTTGTTATGTAGACAGTGGCCTACAAAAGTATTTAAAATGAAAAGAATCTGCATTTTTCAGGTCAGAGTGCGATTTCATTCATCTATGACTTTGTGGAGGAATTCAAAGGACCTCATCCTGGATATGCTGTCATTGATGGGCGGCCATCAGCAGGTTTGAACCACTGTTGTATTCAACTATGAATCAATTCTTATACAATTATTTGAATGGCAGTTTTAAAAGATTTTCGGCTTATATTTCAGGTTTACCGGCTAAGCTGCTACTAACACTGACTGGAGAGAAAGGTCCAGAGGTTCTAGAGGTGCACGAGGTCGCTCTCATGGAGGTGTCTGGGGTCAAAGGGTCTAATGGAACCATAGAGAAAATGGGTGGTGGAGATTTCCTAGTTACTGTGAAAGAAGTGCCAGAAGGAGAGTTTGTGGTTTTGCTAAAAGGAAAAGACAAGACCTTCTCCAGCCTGTTCCAGAGGCAGACCACCACACAGATGTCTCAGTCCAAAGTCACTGTTAAGGTACAAACTGCATTATTTTCTGGAACATGACACTTATTTTTGAAACTGTTATTTGATCTATTATGACATTCCTTCTGTTCCAAAATTTAGTTACAGTATCTTCACAAATGCTTCCTCCTAAGATAACTCTTTTCATCTAGATTTGAAGGAATTATTGCAGATATTCTACACAGAGAATAGCATGACATTCCCAGAACGCATTGTACTTAGTTCAGTGAAAAATATAAATCCAATAATCCATGGTGGATGAGTGAAAAAGACTGGGTTGCATCAGAGAATGTCTAATTGAAGAAAATTGGCACTGGCTGGTTACTTCCTGTTTGTTTCTGGACTGGCTGCAGTAACACGTCTGTGTCCATGCGGGGGCGCTCGCGGTCGAGTGCAGAATGAATGGGAGTCAATGGGGTTTCATCCCCAGAAATCCACTTTTCTCAGGATGTAATTTTTTGTCAAGTAATTTTAAAGTTGCATTCAAAGGGGAGGGCTAAGATAATACACTCAGCTGAAAATTGCATTTTTCAGTTCACTTATCTGTTCTAAAAATCCGTTCAAAAATGTGATGACGTCACACAATAGCAGAATGCTAGCTTTTCCGGCCAACAACGGCCTAACCTGTAAGAAATCAAAAGGACACAAGTACTCGTTCATTCGACTTTTTGCCTATAATCTATATTGAACTTGCGGAATCAACAATAAAGTCTATGTTAATTTAACGACAAGCAGGTGAAAGAGACACATTTAGCCGTTTAGCCCCATAGACTCCCATTCATTCTGCTCTCGCCCGCGATCAATTCCAGATGGACAAAATAAAGTGGCACCCTACATTTGTTCTTGTTTGAAAAGCCATTTTATTTGGATATCACAATAGGGAATAAAAGACTATTGTTTCATACCAACTGTTTTGTTAGCTTAGCAACATGCTAACATACAAAAATCTATTGTGGTCGAGTCTCTCATGTGGAAATCGGTCACTGCTAAGGTTACATAAAAGTTAGAATACTTCCTTTAGAAGTCAGTACTCTAGTTGTTTAAACACATTTATTTTAATTATCATGCTATTTTCTGGAATTGAATATCATATTTTGTTTTACCTCTCCCTATATAGGCAATAGCAGACAGCTCCATGCTACCAGGACAAGTATTTAAACTAAATTTTACTGTTACAACCAATGGATCAGGCGGTACCTACACAATTCGTGCAAGGAATGACAAAACCATGCCTATGACACATCCATTAACGTAATGTCTCCACTTATCAAATCACCCAGTGATGTTTTTGTAGCTTTTCTTATCAAGAGCAAAACTCTGATCCAGTTTTGTTTCTTTGTCATCGCAGGCTCAGTCTGCAGAGTGGCGGCAGTGCTCAAGGGACGGTGTCTCTCACTCCTCCTGCTGAAACGGTCTCAGGCACAGACGTTACGCTAACCATCGAGGCAGAGGGACCTGGAGGAAGTGATTCTAACTATGCTGTCATTCGCCTTTCTGTTCTCTCCAAGGTGACCTCACATGCTTTCAGAAAGACTATATTTATTTGTGAAATGTTATTTTCCAACAAAACACAAGTCGCATGAGTCTTTTCGATTCTCCACTGATTTTGATGTAGAAAAAAAGCAAACAAACAATAATATCAAACAATTATATTTATCAGACCCACCCAAATGCTAATTGTTAACATGACTGAATTAATAGGAAAATGAATCATTTAGATCTAAATTTCAATGGCAGCAAATAATTTTCCACACAAAACAAATTGGTTGACCTATATAAATAATATACCGTTCAGAAGTATTCATTATTTTATTCAGCAAGGAAGCATTGAATTGATCAAAAGTGACCTTTTTTACATTGGTACAAAATATTCCTATTTTAAATAAACGCTGTTCTTAACGTTTCTTCAAAGAATCCACAAAAATATTAAGCTGCACAACTGTTTTCAACACTGATAAGAAATGTTGCACCAAATCAGCATATTAGAATGATTCATGAAGGATCATGTGACACTGAAGACTGGAGTAATGATAAAAATAAATCAGCTTTGCCATCACTGGAATTAATTACAATTTATTTTAAATTGCTATAATAGCTCAGAATTGTATAGTTTGTTAATCAAATAAATGTAAATGTCTATTATAAATATTCTATAATGTTATGGATATGCCAAGTTATGCTTCAGGAAGCTTTTGTTTTAACTCGTCCTTCACTGTTCTGTTCAGGTGACTGATTTGACGCCTCCAAAATGTGAAATTGTAGATGTACAGGGTACTTGCTACGCCTCCTCTTGCAGCTCATCGAACTGGGAACTGTCTGTCAACATCACAGACAGTAACGGCACAGGAATCGAGAGCATTTCCATCCAGCAAGGCAGTGGAAATTTAACCCAGAAGGAAGAGGGAGACACTGTGATGGGTCTATATGAGGCCTCCTGTTGTTCAACTTCTGTGACTTTGTCTGCAGTTGACAAAGTTGGGAACGTGGGCAGGTGCAGTTACACCATAAAGTCTAGCGCAGGCTCTCGCCTCATCACCATGTCCCTCCCTCTGTGGACATCTCTGCTTTTATACGTTTTTCTACGAGACGCATTCCCTCTGTAATGATATGAAGTCCATCAACCAAATACACAATCATCCAATCATTCTCTTTCTCATTCCATCCTTCCATAAATATTACATTCCATAAATATTATTTTTATAAAGATTTCTCAGAGCTAGTGAGTTTGTGTAAAGCAAAGAATTTCATCCAAATTAGGACTACTAATGAAGAACCATGCAGGTGCTTATTCAGAACCAGTTTTATGTGACCTCATCATCCATCTATCATAGATTTCATACTAGTTTAGTCAAATATCTGTATGACTAAAATATAAAGGCATGTTGCAAAAAAAGTTTTCTGATCTACAATCAATTTGACTTTTTTCTTTCCAAATATATGAGGAAATTGTGTAACCATTAAGTTACCACTATAATGAATATCAAAATAATTTTACAAACAAAATAGTATTGTATGGCCCAGTTACCCCTAACTTTTCAAAATGTAACCTTAAGGACAATGGCATTTATACTTTGTGAAGCATTATTGTTATGCACCATAAACATAGAGTAATATGTTAAATAACTTGTCTTGTTTTCTGTTTGCATTGAATGATGTAGTGCATGTTGCAACATGAACAACTAATCTAGAAGATTTCAAGCTAATTTACATAGCATAACTTTACATAAACTGGAACACACATATGAGCTGTACTTTCATATGGCTTCGAGTCTTTTTTAAGCAGACTAATCTGTTCAACAAAAGCTTGTATAATTGGCAAAAATGAAAATACGTATTTTAAAGTGATGCTGATTTTTCTACATTTTATCTTGTTTTGTCTCACTTGCAATTAATAGACAGTCTGTGTATCACAAAACATTACACCGCCACCCAGTGGTTGATATGATTTGCAACATTTTTCTTTCTTGTCTGCATCACTACATTCACATGAATCAAATAGATAAGATACAATTTCAAGAGAAACTGTGGAGCAAACAAACTTTGATCATTTTTATTGGACACAAATTTATCTTACAAACAGTAATGTGTGACCCTCATACAATTAAAAAAATTCAAATAAACTCCAAGTTTCAATTTAGGGTGTTTATACACCATTATAACTTAACTCCCATTGCAAATCAGGAACATTGGCAACATTTACACATTTTCAGCTGTTTGCAATGAAATAGCTCAACACAACAAATGTTTCAATGCTTTCCCAAAAATCAACTGAAAATGCAACTTTTCATTTTTGCAGTCTACAATAATTTATCCCCCTGAATAGAATCCCCCATAATAGAACAAATCTGCAAAACAGGTGTTGTCTCAAGCACACCCGGTGCAGAGCTTAATAATCAATAATCAAGGGCTTCATTAGTTGCACCTGGTGTACTTGAGCTAGAACACATGTAATATCTGAACTGGCTAGGGTTGTTGTTGAGTCATGTTTGAATGCATGTTAGAAATATGGCTAAGTCAAAAGAATGTGGCTAAATTACAAACAAAGAACAAGTTACAAAAAGATAGCTAAGGCACTAAATGTTCAAATAGAGACACCATTGGAAACATGGTTTGCATGTTCAAAGTTAAAGGAAGAGTGGTTACACTGCCTGGACGGGGCAGAAAAAGGAAGCTATCAATGGCTAGATTTCTGACAAGAAATAAGAAATCCCTTGAGTGACTGCAAAAGACCAAGTTTTCAGCTTGCACAGTAAGACGTACTAAACGCATGCCAGAACTCCAAGATGTACACCACTACTGACCCAAAAGCACAAGAAAAGTCAGCTCTAATTTGCTCCAAATCATATAAATGAGCCACAGAAGTTTTGGGATTTTGTTCTGTGGAGCAATGAAACAAAAACTTTTCGGCCCTATGTCTGGAGGAAGAAGAATGAAGCATATGCTTAAAAGAACACTCTGGCTATATAGCTGGGGCTCGGTGATGATCTGGCATGTGGAAGGCAAGATGGATTCATTTTTGTATATCAGGAAATCCTAGGAGAAAACGTCATGCCATCTCAGATGAAGCTGAAGCTTTGCGTGTCATTGGACCTTCCAACAGGACAATAATCCCAAGCATACCTCAAATTCCACCAAGGCTTGGTTGCAGTCCTGGAAGATTTTACAGTGGCCATCAGAGTCACCTGACTTGAACCTCAAAGAAAAAAAATCTCTGGTGGGATTTGAAGGCATTTGCAGCACACAAACCCAAGAATATTACTGAACTGGAGGCCATTGAGGAATGGGTTGAGATTGCATTTCCTCAGAAACGCAGCCAGAAGCTGGTGTCTGGTTCTACATCTTGTTTGCAGTAGGTCATAACAGAAAAAGGGGTGTTCTACCATGTACTAAAGATGCTTGCCATGAAGGGGTTGAATACTCTTGAGACTGCAGAAGTCATTAAAAGTTGTATTTTCAGTTGAATTTGGGGAAACCACCTTTTGGGGCAGACAGCTGAAAGTCTGTAAATTTAGCAAATAAACCTGATTTGCAATAGGGGTTGAAAAATTTCAATTGACCTATGGCTAAGCCACGCCCCCAAACGCGATGAGCCAATCACAGTGCGCAGCTAACCCAATACACTCGGACATTCTCTGCTTCCATGTCCATTGAAATGCATTGCAGTTAGTCAGTTTTAGTCATTTAATGTTTAAAATGTACATGCAACTCCGACACTAGGTTCCCGAGAGGCTGGGCGACGGTGTGTATTGTTTTACCCTTTCCCAAGCCATATCCCACCCGAGATAAGTGTGTGCTCTTGATTAATTAATGCGATTAAGTTATGCGGTAGACCTCAACACCAACTAAAAGTGGATAAATTAAACAAGGATGTCTACTTCTGTTATAAGTTGAGTCAACAAAGTATTTAAACAAATCTTTAAAATCTCTAACGCAACGTTAGCCTAACATAAGGTTCAATTACGTTAGCTTCTAGCTGCGTTGTACATCATGTCACTTGGCTTCATGAACATATCTGTAAATAACCGAGATAACAAATGTTAACAATGTTGTGCTGAATGATTCATGTAAATACTGTAGTACCAAGCGGTGATGGCAACGATATGCGGTTTATCACGTTTACACTGTGACCTGTACATCTCTGCCTGGAGCTGAAGCTTTTCATCGATCTTCCCAACAATAAAATGATTAAGGCCCTTTTAAATGATTAAGGCCCTTTAAAGGAGCAATGTGTGACTTTTAGCGACATCTAGTGGTTCGGTTGCGAGTTTGCACCAGGTTTGCACTAAGGGCTCAGCCCACTGCTCACCCCTCCCTTTCGAAGAAGCTACGGTTGCTAAAACGGGACAAACATCTCGTCGGCTGAGACAGCAGAGAATAGCCAGAGTAAGCCAAGAGTGTGTAACATTGTCACTGTTTCTGTACCACAGTCCATTATAAACCACATCATGAATACTGTCTGTTTACAAAGCCATAGTCAGGTGAGGATCAAGGGTTTTAATATATAATTTAATAAAATAATAATCAGCTGATTGTCTCACAAACGTAACCAGCAGCACATTTCTCCCCACATACTGTAGCAAACCCATAATACAGCGAGGGAGCAGCTATATATTTTTTCTAACAGGGTAGTAATAGTTTAGCTGGCTAATATGAGCTGTTGCTGTGGCTGAGCTGGGACGCGTCTGCATGAGTCCAAAGGTCGGAAGTGCGCGCGCTGTTACAATCATGTCATCTCCGCATCCCATAGATACTATTTACTACACACAATAGGCTTTTTTTCTCTGATTTTTTAAATTCTTCGCGATCGACTTTAGTGATAAAAGACTTTAGTAAAAGTCTCTATCGACGGGTTAGTGATTCCTGTAACGTACTGTTTTACGGTCAATGACATGAATACTAATCATCAGCTGTCTCACGAACGTAACAGCACATCTATCCCCAACATAACAAACCCATAACACAGCGAGGGAGAACTAAGTTACATGAAACAATCCCAACTACATATTTTACACCACTCACAAGGGAAAAGTCACTACTCACGGAGTGTAAGGCTAGCTTCCAGCTTTCCGCTACTTCTCTTTCAAGGTAGTGATGAAACGCGTTCTGTAGCGCTGTTTGTTCGCGTTCGGCTACGGTAGGAATATGACGTCACAACATGGCGACCTTCGTAGAAGGGGATTCCCTCGGTTATGGAGCTATTAATGTCTCATTCTAAGGTAATAAAAACATTACGGCTAATTAAGTAAGTTCTTTATACACCACTGAAAACATAGTTATGGATGTCATATTGCATTTCTGTTAATAGATACTCAACTTTGTTACACATTGCACCTTTAAGTGACTTCGAGATGATATATAATCTTTCTGTCTCCAAAAATCACCAATTGCCTCCTGTGAAATGTCTCCTACTGTGATAGCTGACATAGCGCCTGTCCCCAAATGTCGACTGTTTGTCCGAGTGAGTGGAGGGGGCGTGGCTTAGCCATAGGTCAACTACAACTGTTACAACTGGTTGAGAAATTAATAGAAAATCAATAGGGGGTGAATAATTTCGATTACAACAGTTACAACTGGTTGAGAAATTAATAGAAAAATAATCCCGTTTTACTTCACATTTAAAAAAAAATGTTAACAATTAAAGCACTGTACAAAACGTATGCAGTAATGCAGTTAAAATATAAAAAAATAATCTTTTACTTTTCTCTTTTAAAAATAGCATATCCATAAATGAAGTTGTGATCAGGCCTAATACCATTATATTTTCTGTAACAGAATATTTATCTAATATTTAAACAATCCAATTACTTTATGGAACGTGCTGTGTGTTGACATGTTTCTTGAGATGGGCTGACTGAGTGAAACGTTTCCCACATTCTTTGCACTCAAACGGCCTTTCCCCTGTATGGATGAGCTTGTGTCTTTTGAAGTTACCTAGATCCACAAATCCTTTTTCACAGTGGGGGCAAATGTAGCGTTTCTCTCCTCTATGCCCCTGCATATGCATATTCAGAGCAACCCTATGTTTAAACTTCTTCCCACACAGCGTGCACGAGAATGGCTTCTCTCCGGTGTGCATGCGCATATGGGTAGACCGGTCTGCCTTGGCCAAAAACCTCTTTCCACAAACCTTACAAGGAAAAGGCCTTTCTCCTGAGTGAATGAGCTGATGTTTGGTAAGGGTAAAGTGGTACACAAAACTCTTCCCACATTGTTCACACTGATACCGTTTCTCCTCTGCATGGACCTTCATGTGCCGGTTAAGGCCTCTCACACTAGGGAATGACTTTCCACACTGGGAGCAGGTATAAGGTCTCTCTCCTGTATGAAGTCTCATGTGGTTCTCCAAGGCAGACGCGTTGCTGAGGACCCTTCCACACTCGAGACACTCAGTACTTTTCTGCAAAGTTTTACTCGAAGGTTTCGATAAGACGTGACTTTCGCTATTGGAGCCAGAACGGGGTGTTTCACTAATCAAGTTGTTCTGCGCCCGATCCACTCTCTTATCACTGACCATAGCTGTGCCGTCCTCACCTTGTCTGGATTTAGAGAACATCTTTCTCTGTTTTCTCAGTCTAGACTGGAGTGTGGGAGTGTCTTCATCATCCGACAAGTCTTTATCATTTATATCTGTGGTTTCTGCACTGAAACATGGAGAAGGTGGTACGTCTCCTTCAAAGTTGTCCACTGGGGACACAGATGTCTCTGAAGATAGACTTGGCACTCGGTCTAAAACAACATTAGCGGAAGCGGCAGCTTGTTGCTCCTTAAGTGTCAGCAGAGGCGCAAGCTGCCCAGATGGTGGAAAATGGTTCATGGGTGCCTCCTCCGGGGCCTCTTGTGGAGTCATCACAATGGACGAGTGCAAATGTAAAGTTTCAAGAGATTCAAGCAAACTTGGTGTATTGTCGGGTGGAGGAAACATCTGTTCTGAAGAACAGGAGAACTGGTTGGATTGGATTGGATATTGAGAATGTTTAAGTGGAGGTGGAGGTTGAGGTGGGTTTAGGGAGACAGATCCCTGAATTGCATTAACCGGAAGGAGAGGAGAAGTAAATGGAATGGGTGTTGGAAGGTAAGAAGGTGGTGTCGGTTGAGTCGGATTATGTGGGAGCACCAAAGGGAACTGGAATGATGATCTTGAAGTCGCAGAATGTGCTGGTATTTCTTGTAGAGATGCAAAAACTTTGGTTTGAGGTGGAACAAGGCTGGCTGAGAGAATCCGATCCTGAACTACTGAAGGTGTATTTGGTGAGACAGAAATATGGCCTGATGGCATGGCAGCATGTACTTGTGGGGGAACCTCCTGGTCTGGTGTTTTGATGGTTTGTGGTGGAAATAATGGTATAAGCTGAGATTGGGTTAATGGTTCAGTGGCTTGGTTTAGCAAGGAAATGGTTGAAATACTTTTTTCTGTATTTTTAACCAATGCCTGAGGCCATTGTTTGGAGGAATGAGGCAAGACTTGGTTTGGAGGAACAGGGGAAATAAACGTGTTTTGAAGTGGATGACAGATATTTGACCCCACTTTCTGAGGGACTACTGTCTGGTAAGATGTTTGAGGATTTGGGTTTGGGCGTCGGTGAACTGATGATGCCATTGACTTGACTTGAGGAATTGATGGAGCACCAGACAGCTCGATCATTGGCACAGACACGTTAACAGTAGGAGCAGGAGTCGGGGCTGAATTAGCAAGTACAGAAGTAGAGGATGTCTGTGCTGGTGCACTGACATTTTGTCTTTTGGTTTGGGAAGACACGTCTTCATTGATTTCTAATGTTCTTTTAGATGTACCTTGGATGGATTGTATAATCTGATTAGGTTTGTTACTACAGGAATCCACTCTACGACTACAGGAGGAAGGAATCACTGATGGTGGAGACTTTTCTCTAATGTTGCTGTGATGCCTGGTTATTGTTTGAAATGATGGTGGGATCACAACTGTGAATACAGAGAGGTTAAGATGTAAGAAATTAACTTTAAGAAGAACAAAATGTATTAACAAATTTGTGATGTAATATTTTGGCTATTTGGACTGTGTGAATTCTTGAATTCTCAGATACTTTAGTGAAATATTTGAGTTGAGTGCTTGGGGTGGGATGGGGTGATTTCATTCACATTTTTAAATATTAAGTTTACATTTGTCTAGGCACCAATTGTTTTTAAACTTAAAAACAAAAATGTCAATTTCAAAAATTATGTAAATATTATTCTTGGCAAAGCGTCAACATCACCTTTTCTTTTAATTACACTTTTTAAATGTTTGGGAATTAAGGATATTAATTGTTGAAGTTGTCCAAGTGGAATTTTTGTACCTGCAATTTTTTAACCTGTTGCTGATGAAAGTTTGGATGGTCCCTTTTATCTTTGGGACTGAGAACTTGATATCTGTTTTTCCCCAAAACAAGCTGAAGCATGGACTATCTGACCACAGGACACATTTCCACTGTGTTTTAGACTATCTGAGATGAGCTTGGGCCAAGGGAACTCGGCAGCATCTCTGCAAAGAACTGATGTATAGCTTTCTCCCTGTGTAACAGAGATTCAAGTGGCATTTCTTGATGCAGACTGTTAAGTGACAATGGTTTTCCAAAGTACACCCGAGCACATGTGGCTATATTTAACACATGACGATTTCTCATGCAGTGCCATCTGAGGCCTCAAAAGTCATGCACATTCAAAAGAGGTTTATTTGCTTTGCCCAACATTTACTGACATTCCCTGAATCTTTTCACAATATTATGTGTGATTTAATATTCGTAGAAGGTAAATGGTAAATTCTTCGCAATCTTGCGTTTAAAAATGTGATTTTTGAATTGTTTGACAATTCTCTCTTGATATTTGGAACAGAGTGTTTATATTTACAAAATATATTTAGGTTGGTCAGTGAAAAATGTAAAAATCTTTTCTTTGTACTTTTATCTGTTCTATTTTGAATGACTCTTTTACCCCTTTCCACGGTGTCCTTATTTGGCTCTCTGCGCACCAGTATCGGCTCAGCACCTTCTTGCTTCAGCAGAAAGTATCCTGGTGCGTAGTTGTCGCATTTAGTCTCATGAGGCTGAAGACACAGAACATAAAATCATAATGCATAAAAAGGCCAGCATTAAAATATTATTCACTTTCTACAGATCAAATATGAACAAGATTTAGAAATGAAACTAAACTCTAAGTGACAAAAAATGTCTCTCCTCCTCACATAACATTTGGATATTTTTAATCAAACTCTACAGAGTTTAAGTCCTCAGGATATGACCTCAGTCTGTATTTGACATGCAAAACAGAAAAGTGGGAGGAAGGAAGGGAACGAGAACCAGTGTAAACTAGTCTATCGTTTCTTACCTCTTGTTTGATGAGGAGCAATGCAAGCTGTCTCCCATCCTCACTGGCACAAAGATCTGTGAGTTTATCACTTGTAATGTCTCCCACACTAAGATGTTGCCCTATAAACTGAGGAGGGCTGCATCCCTGGTCAACCAAAATGGGCTTTTCTAACAAATGAAAATGAGAAATAAGACCAGCACAAAATATTTTTTTTTGAAACTGTAGTTAACCCCTTTGAAGAAAACCCCATAGAAAAGTGCACAAAACCACACAGTCAAACAAACTATCTTAGTCTAGTTTTTTACTTCTAGATTTTTTTTAGCAGGACATACATTACAGATGATTATATAATATAATAAACGTAGAGTTAAAAAAAGGTAAGAAATTCTGGCTTTTATGCATTTACCTGACTTCATCTAAGCCGTTAAAAGTCGTTATACTTTTCCAGGAAGTGTTTATTGAACGCCATAACAGCACACATCGTTACAAGAAAAAGACCTACCGCACTGCACGCCAATATCACGATGTTTAGGGACATTTGCATTCCTCTGACTCCCATATTCAGTGAATTTCTTTGTGTCTTGGCTGGATGAATCACCTGTCCTCGTTTTGACATTCTCTTGTTTCAGCTGCACCAATTCCGCTTTCAAGCGCTTCAAAGTGCCCTCATAAAGTTTTGTCGCTTCCCTGACAGCAGTCAGTAATATTGTTTCCATAATGTGTGTGAACTGGGTCTGAAACCCGTCATCATCTTCAGGGCTCGCCTCAGGCATGGCGCGATTCGGACTATTATTTTTATGGAGCAGACGTTATTTCAGTCTCTTTGACAGAATCAACAACGAGAATTACACGTCCATGGGAGGGCGGTAGACTTCCGCACTGAATATTAAAAACTTTTATTAATAGACTGCAGACAAGGTCTGCGGTCTGCTTTTTAAACAACACTGTGACATTCTGAAGCACTGAACACTGTATGTAGATTTCGTCAAAAGAAAGCGAAGCAAAACGTATGCATTATTTGTGAATGCATTTTTCCAAAGATCTTAAGTGGTCACATCTATGAATCAATCAATAATGCATTAGCCTACTATTAAATTCTTGTTACTATCCTATACAAACTTGAAATGAAGTGTCAAGTGAATTTGAGGCTTTTTAAAATAGCATATTTGAACATAAGTGAGTGTGCATCTGATTTTTTAGCATTATAAGATTGTGTCAATCAATATAAGTACATGGAACCGTATTCTAAAGTATTACCCATTTAAATGATTTTAAGACTTATTTGGGCCCCCTGGAAGTTTGCTGAGGCAGCCTGGTTAAGAACCATTGCCACAGAATGGCAGGCCTACTCCATAATTCAGGTGGAAGTATCTGTAAAGTAAAGTATCTGTATTTGATAAATATATTGTTTTTTATTAAGAACTATTCACTAAAAATGTTTTTTGGGGAACCCAAAATTGTTCTTCTGGCAGGGACGGGCAATGTCAGTCCCCGAGTACCGGCCCGCGTGTTTCTGCTATAGTTTTTGAAAATATAGAAATTAATTTCTTAACTACAATGGGATGGTCTAAATTAAGTGATAGCATGGTAAAAAAAAAACATGCAACATTCTAAACTTTAAACGATCTCAGAAGTAGGCAATGCATTGATAACAGCTTTATGGGCTTTTTTAAAACAGTCTACAGCAGCTCAGCACAGACCAACAAAAGCAAAGAGGTCAGCAAATGGTGATATGGTGATTTTTTTATTTGAGCACTGAGTTACAATATGGTTTTATTTTACAAAGAAAGGCCGACCCTGGCATACAAAAGGTGTATACAGTTTTTAATGCGACCACTTTGCCTGAGTCGTTTGAATTTCATTATAAGTCAAACGATGTAGGCTAAGTGAAGGCGAATGGTGACTGGGACTGTCATTCTGACAAACATTTTCTGTCGCACAGAAGCAATTCACGCAGGTTTGCAACAACATGAAGATGAGTACATGATTTTGAGTAAAATTACACAGTAAACGATGAGTAAACTTTTTAACTTTCTTAAATTTTCGTTTGGATGGTACTGCCCCTTTAAAGCTACCCATTCCCATAGATTCCACATTAAAGGCTAGATTTCTCCGCGTTGTTGGCAAATGGAGGTCGACGTCCGCACCTGGCGGCCATCTTGTCACAGGCAGCTCGCTCACTCGGAACATTGTGTTTTAGTGGTGCATGTACTTAACCAAAAACTTGCTAAATTTTCTAACGATTTTCAAACAGTTTGTTTTTTTATAAACGTCAGAGATGTAGTTATGACACTGCATACTTATGTATAATAACTGTATAAATAAATAATCATCCATAATTATAGCCACGTTAATAACTTTTGTAAGAAACCAAACCGTAATCCGTCAAGATTTCAACGAGATAACGGTATTTTTGTTCGTGCTGATCCCTCATCTTACATCAGGTACCACAGAGCATAGATATAGATGTCTATGCCATAGAGCCCACCAGAAAGCTTGCCTGTGACAAGATGGCCACCGGTGATGGGACGACTTCGCCATAAGACGTCTAGCCTTTATTTTGGATATCTATGCCATTACCCCGTCCCCGCCCCCACTTCCTGCTGTATGTTTGGTTTAAGAAGTACTTCCGGTCATTTGCACACTGTTGGACGATGTTCCTAGCTGGATCAGCATTGATTCTCAGCGTATCGTTTATATAACAATGTTTAATTGTGAGACGAATGAGAGTGCAATAAACGATAGTTTGCGTAAACAGTAGCTAGCACTAGAACAGAGGTTCAATAAACACAGTGAAACGGTTGCACATCAACGATATTGAAAAGTCTAATGAAAAGCTGAAGGATACATTGTTGGTTTGTTTATAATCACCGGAAGTAGCTAGACAAGGTTTCTCCATTGGGTTTTTACATCCAAACCCTCGTCATTATGTCCGAAGCTCTACACTCGTTTCAGTCACAGCTATCCGGGGTCATGGAGACCGTTTTCAAAGCTGCCATGTTTGAGATCACCCGGCTCGTGGAGGACAGTTTCGTGAAGGAAGTGTCCCGCAGTCGCGAGCAGGTGGAGGCTCTGAAGAAGAGGCTGCAGTGGAGCGAGTGCAGAAGGAAAAACCAGGAGATGCGCGTCCTGAGGTGTGCAGAGTGTGGTGACAAAGCTCGTGTGTGTGACAGTGAAAGAGAAGAATTGTTACCACCACAATCAGGTTTGTTCATTGCTCCGTGTTGTTACTCTTTGCAATGTTCTACAAAAAAGAAATATGACTTTATAATCCGTTGGAATATCATATACTTAATTAGAACAGAACAGGAATTTATTGTGAAGTGTTTCTGATTCATGCATTTTGACAAACTGGACACTTAACCGAGGTTAAACATAAATCTGGGTGAGAGGTGGTGGTCAAAGTGACCCAAAATGGATTCAGTACAATTGACCAAAAATCACACGATGGGGAAAAAAAAAAACATCAGACAAAAACATCAAACCTTTAACATCAATTTTTATTATCACACAATACGAAACAATAAACGTGACGAGGTGATTTTTAAATCTGAATTTGGCAACTTTAAAAAAAAAAAAAAATCCAAAAGCTCAGTATTTTAAACAGCATTGTAACTATTTAATCATTCCAAAAATGTTTTTTTTTTAACTTTTTTTTTTTTTTTTTTTTTACATAATAAGTCGAGCAGTAAAGGTCCTAGCTGCGCCAAGATCATGGGTTCGATTCCCATTGAACAGAACATGCATGAACTGATAAAAGTGTACACCTTCAATGTAGAAGAAGTTCTTGCACGTGCATACATGCAAATACCGTTAGAGGGTCTGTGCTGCTGCCTTTTAATTGAAAACATGATAATACTTATAGAAATGTTGTACACACATTCCAAAACAAATTGCAGGCATGTTCCTGAGACTAAATGAATGACATCTTCAAGGAAAATTGGTTTCCTCTCAAAGATCCAAGTTGTCAAATTGAGCTGCAGCATAATATAAAGGAATAGTTTATATACCATCATGGCATTCCAGACCATATTACATTTTTCTTCCATCCCTTTAAAGACAATTAAAGGACTGTGTAATCAATGCCCTCACAGTTGCTTTCACCCTTGATGACCACATGTAGAAAATGAACGCAGCCTCAAACAGGAGAGAGTTCCGGTTGGGAACTGGGGAAGCTGTGAGTTGGAGACTGACACACATTTGGGAAAAGAGAGATTAGAAGATCAAACCAGACCCAGTAACACTACAGAGGTGAGTAGCTGAATGGATAAACCACTTTACTAACCTTGATAAGTTGCTTGTACAGCTGTGTGTCACAATGGCTGTGTCTGAGACACAGAAAATTCACTCTATTATTTAGTAAGTGCATGTTATTGACCAATGCACATCACAACATGGAAGAAAAGATCTGTCGCTACCTCTTTTTCACCACAACTTTAACATTCTTTCCATGTTCTGTCTTTGTGTTCTCTGTAGTCAGCTGGTACAGAGGACAGGAAACTGGACTGCGAGTTGAAGGAGGAGGCCCTCTATGCCACTGCTGATAATAAGGAGCTTCAGGATGGGTGGACACTAAATACTGAAGGTGTGATTTAAAGAGATAAATTCTGTCATCTCTTATGTCATTCCAAACCTGTAATGCTTTCGTTCAGGAACACAAATGAAGATATTTTTAGTCAAATTTGAGAGATTTCTGTCCCTCCTTTGAAAGTCTGTTCACTCAAAAATGTCTTGACGGTTCATAAGTAGATCATAAAATAAATGCTTATGATTCGAGCAGTTTAACCCAAGTCTTCTGAAGAAACATGATCGTGACGCTTAATATGACAAACAGATTTAAATCAGGCTTTTATTCACATATAAACTTTGATCAGCAAACATACATAGGTCACTCAAATTTGATAAATAGAAGCTGAAGTATGTTTGCTTAACGCGTGAGTAACAGTGAGGTTCACCAGCACGTTTGAGTTTTCACAAGAACCAATGAGGTGGGTTGTACGCTTGAGCTTCTGTTTACTATATTAAATGCTTTGTGTACACATACTGATCAATGTTTCTATGCAAAAAAAGCCTAAATTAAATCTGTTTGTCATATAAAGTGAGCATGTTTCTTCAGAAGACTTGGATTAAACCACTCGATTCATTTGGATTTATTTCACAATCTCTTTATATTTATTTATTCATTTATATATTTTATTTATTTATAGTTTTTGAACTGTCAATTTTTGGCTGAATAGACTTTAAATGGAGGGACGGATATCTCTCAGATTTCATTAAAATTTGTGTTCTGAAGATAAACAGAAGTCTAATGGGTTTGGAACGACATAAGAGTGAGTCATTGATGACAGAATTAAAATGTTTGGGTGAACTATCCCTTTAAACATCTGATTACTGCAAAGTGCAAACCTCTGACATCAGACTGTATTTGAAGATTACAATGTTTTTTTCTTTTTCTTTCAATGTTTGGTTTTCCAGGAACTGAGAGGATGGATTTCTCAGCTCACAGTTACAGTGAGCAAGAGCTGCAACAGATTCAGGAAGACTGGAGCTCCGGACTTGAACAGACCGCTGACAGTGAAACTTACGCAAATATCGTAGACGTTCAGGGCTTGCCATACCGAACACATTACGATGCAGAAGAGCTAGCGGGCTACAGTGTACATGAACTGGACATAGGAAACCTGGACAGTCTTGGAGGAAAAACTCAAGACACATTAGGTCATGCAATATCAGTTGCAGTTGGGACTGACCAAAAAGACCTGGTCGAGGAAGGTGGGAGACGTTACAGCTCTTCTATTAGGAGTAAAAGAGGAAACAGAGCACCTTTACCTGAACAAGTCAACCCCGAGACAGAAGACGTGGATAGAGACTGTATACTTATTAATGCAGATGGCCACATACAAGACACAAGTGCCCTCACGGAAGTTCACAGTGGGATTGAAGATGGTGCTGGACATAGAGGACACTCACTTTACACTGGGGACACAGCTAGCAGTGCACTTTATAAGGGACATGCATCGAACCACTCTCTGAAGTCTAATGTTGGACAAGCAGGTGACAGCAGGGCTTCTGTGAAAGGCTACCCAGCCTCCCAACGAGTCGTTTCAAGTGCTGGATATACTTGTAACCAGTGCGGTAAGAAGTTCACTCAGGCCTGCAACCTAAAAGTCCACCAGCGTGTCCACCAGCGGGACGGTCTCCATTTGTGCAGCCACTGTGGGAAAGGCTACTCGTCCTTCAGTGACCTGCGGAGACACAAATGCAGCCAGAGCGGAGACAAACCCTACACCTGCACGCTTTGTGGGAACAAATTCAGCCGACTGTGGAATCTCAAGCTGCATCAACGCATTCACACGCAGGAGAAACCACACAAGTGCACTCTGTGCAGTAAGAGCTTTACCCGGGCCGACATCTTGAAAGTCCATCAACGCACCCATACAGGAGAAAGACCGTACTGCTGTGGTATCTGTGGACTGAGCTTCAAACGAATGGACCATCTCAGGTCACATCATCGCAAACATAGTGCTGACCCGAATAACCAATGACGAAAAAATTCACCTTGCAACCTTACAGAGTTGGTTTGACTTTTAAATTGTTGGACGTCCTGAGTCTGACCGGACTTGTTTCCCATAAAATGTTACACTGTTACTGTAGAACTTCTCGTTGTAGTCATTGTGTTTTCTGTATTAATTTTGTTGTTGTAAAGAAGGGCAGACATATTGTACACATTATGAGTCAGTTAACCTGATAATGGCGTAAAAAGCATTGGAGATTCAACATGACATCATGACTTTTGCGTAAACATATACGCCACTTTCGAGTCAGGTGGCGTGTCATCTCCACGTATTTTGTGCTATCTGCGTGTATCCGCGTGTATGCGTATATGTCTACGCCATTAACGTCCGCGTCATTCCGCGTGTCTGAACACGCAGTCAAATCTCCAGTCATAAATGTCATTAACCCCAGTGACGGTTAAGTTTAGGGATGGGGTTGAGGTAAGTCATATCTTTTTTTTTTACCTAGGATGGTAAGGGAACAGTCATAAATGCCATTAACCCCAGTGACGGTTAGGTTTAGGGACGGGGTTGAGGTAAGTCATATATTTATATAACGTTAAGTCAACGGCGTTCATAAACACGCTGAAAGGCGATTATGCGTCTTGATAGCACGCCAAAAATGGAAATACGAATTGGTGCGTCATACACACGCTACTTCATGAGATCAGTCTGGGAGATTGGAGCTTTCGATGTTGCTGCTGTAGCTTTGTATTGAAAAAGGAAAGAGAATACAAAGGGAAGTGTTCAAATGATTTTGTGAAAAGCAGAGAAAACAACACAGCCATTCCTCTCAACACAAAAAACTAGAGAGTATTCGTGTGTGTCAGTGTATGCACACACTGAAGGGTTGCAGCCACTGGGCTATAATAATATTCATCAATCTATTCTATCTGACGTGGTTGTGTATGATTTGGCTGTAGAGGACACTGCTCAACTGGACTCACTGGACCAGTGAAATCAGTGGATTTTTTTAAACATGTTTTAAAGTTATTGGGACATGGCTTGGCTTGTATTTCCTCTCACAATGCGAGCCGCGACCATACAAGCATCAACGATTTCCAAACGATATTTACAGAGAGAAAAAAATCGCCTGCAAGCTAGTACGACAGCAAAAAATGTGCGCCCAGCTTTAAAGGGATAGTTCACCTAAAATTCATCATTTACTCACCCTTGTGTCATTTAAAACCTGTAAGACTTTTTCTGTGCAACATAACAAATATATTTCGAGAATTTCTTTTGTCCGTATAATCTGTTTGGTTTCCAGCATTCTGCTAGATATCTTATTTTGTGTTTAGTGTTGGCTGTGAAACTGAATTGCCCCTTGGGGACTAATAAAGGTATCCGAGTCTGAGCAGAAGAAATAAATTCATGCGCTTTTGAGGTAAACGATGACAGAATATATGTAACATTGTGGTTGATGTGGCCATTTTTGCATCTGATGTAAATATGGAATTTTCCTAAGGGGGTAATTCACCGGCCGGAAACTGAAGTCTGCCTGGGGGCCGCCATTGGCTAGCAAGCCTTCACCTGCTGTTAGCATTCCATTGACTCCCATTCGTTTTGGTGTCACTTTGACAGCTAATAACTTTAAATCGGAGGCGTTTAAAGACTCCATTTTTTCCACTGTTTATTTGTAAAGAAACAACAATGTATAAAAGGCTTCATTACCTTGTGTCTTATGTCATGGCCCTATAGAAGCAGTTTTTGTAAAAATGGCTAATGATTGCGCCATAAGACATGACTCTCTGTCACACAAGGAAAAGCTCAAGCCAATCGGGGGGGACTTGTAGGCCCATAGAGAGTCATAAAGTTGATCCTACTTCTAGCTTATGGACAGCTCCTACTCGTGCTTCGTCTCTGCAATATTCGGAAGGGAATGATTCAGATTCCTCTTGTCACAGCTACTAGAGGTCTTTTCTCCATTCAAGTCTATGGGGTCGCTGTGTCCATTTGTTTTACTGTCTATGGTATTTTCTATGCAGAGTGGTAAGGCATTGTCACTTTCATGATCTTAAGAATCTTATTGTGTGTACAACGCTAATTTTGAAAATGTAGGTGGAATAATTTCAGTTTATTAAAGTTTATTTTAAACTTGCTTAATATAGTTTCGAATACACAATGTATGTCACATGCAATGTCGGTCTTTGTTCAGCTCTCTGCTTCAGCATTACACCTTCAAATATAATTTTAAACATTCATTTGGTTGTCAGTTGATTTAGCTGTTTAGTCTAAACACTTAATTATGAAACATATTACTGGCTCTTCAGAACCCATGTAAGGAATAATTAACAACACCAGGCTATTGAATTATGGAATAAAATATTGATAAGTAATGCATGTATGAGATGTCATATATCTGGTATGGGGGGTGGCCCTCCAACCCAAGACTTCACCACAGCAGAAGAGCTGGCCCTGGATTTAAATAAAGGGAAGCCAGTGATTCCAAATGGGTCTGCCCGATCTCTGAAGACTCATTCATGCCTGAATGCTCATCTGAGTATTAAAACTTCCTCATCAACTACATTATCCAACAAAGGTCAAGCTATTGTGAATAGGAAATACAAATCTTTAGTCTATATATACTACATACTGACCTTGTTACAGATTTAAATGAAACCCCATTTATGACTTAATGAGCCATTTCTTATTGTCTCATCAACTGCAATAAAATAGCCTACATTTTTTTTTCTCATTCAACTATACAATTCTACTCTATATTTGCAGATATAGCCCACATAGTCTATATTTTTCATATTGTAGTATAGTTCTTTTGCATTGTGTTGGCATTTTTTGTGGACAGCAAAGTTATAATTGCTCAGGAAAATATGCTTTCCTCACTGCTTGTATGCCAATAAATAATTTAAATCTCAAATAATATATTCATCAAACCTCTGACAGTGAAATGAACAGCAGTTTTTAATAACTAAAATAGCAGTATGCATAAGTATATCTATTATTTTAATGCAGAACCATGAAGTAAGAAGAAAAAGAGCAGGCTAGCTGCAAAGTGTGAATCTCCATAGTAATTTATATGTAGATTAAAATCCCAGCCTAATCCCTTATCTTGCTTTTGTGCAATACCTCACTGCCAATTTTAGCCCAACAAGGCCACCGTACAATATGTGACGTCACTAACAACAACATTATTGTCCGTTTTCTCTTTCTCAGCGTCGCTTCCTCTTTACATGCAGAAATGAAGTATTAGTCAAACATCTAGTACTTATACATTAACAAAATAAAATATGTAAAATGTACTAAAGTCAGCTGGACATGATGCGACGCATTCCGCCTTGCGCCAAAGGATAGCTAACGTAGTTATTTCGGTTCGCGATTCATAGTCTGTCAATCAGATGTACGTTAACGTTACTGAGCTCGATGCTAACAGTGCGAGGTTTTTATATTCGGGATTTTTACGATTTTATGATGATTGCCTGTTCGTGAAAGTGTGAAGTGCAACATTTACTGTGCATTTTGAAACTGTGGACTTGAGAAATAAAACATTTGAGATGGAAGTCAGCATGGGTGGTCATTAATGTTATGATCACTGTTGTGTCTATGCATTCAGCAATCAATTCTTCTCTATAAGAACAAGCTCGAGTAGATCAGATACAGGATGACGGACACTCTGGTCATCTCCTTCCAGACTCAGCTGTCTGCGGTCATGGAAAATATTCTCAAGACCACCATGTTCGAGATCACCAGGTTAGTGGAGGAGAGCTTCTTGGAGCAGATGGACCGAGGCAAGCGAGATGTGGAGGTGTTAAAACGGAGACTGACAGTTTCGGAGGGCAAGCTGAGAGAACGGGAGAGGTTTAAGAGGGTGAGGTGTATGGACTGTGGGCGGACAGCAGTGTCCAGGAGGAGGGTACTACACAGAGGCCCCGAAACACAGAGCAGTGAGTAGAAACATCTGACTTCCCAAAGGACTTTCACCAGTTATGTATGCCAGTTATACACAAGAATGGTGTGTATTTTGGGATCATTATATGAAATGTTTATGCCATTTTTAATAATAATAATTTAATTAACTTACAAATGACTTTAAAGTACAAAATTAATTTCCTCCAGTTTACAGACATATTTCCTGGTATTATATTTCGTATTTTTTATATATTTATTTACATACTTTTAAGGCGTCACCCTGATCGAGAACCACTGATCAAGGGGTGTTTCATGATTTTCCTGTCACATGATTACAAAATGGCTTCCTTGTTTTTTTATTTATTTTTTATTAACATTTTGCAAGTAACAACAATTAACATTCATTCCATTAACATAAATCTTACTGATATTTGAAATTTACAATGAGTAGAACAATTATTTTTTTTCAAGGGACATAGAGAATTGACATTTAAACAGAAAATACATACAATTATTAAATAAGCAAACAAAATAAAAGAAATAAAAAGAAAGGCAAGAAAATAAATGTGCATTACTTTCGTTTTTACTCAAGTAGGGGGGATAGACACATCTAATTTAAACATAAATATCTCTGTTCACATGTGACTTTATAATCTTATTTGATATCGGGGATGTTTTCATTGTTTTTTGTTTCTTTTAAATTTACATAGGGAATCAGCGAGACGTTTTTAATTTAGAGCAAAAGACAATCAAATTTGGTTTCGAAGCTGTAAATTTAGATTTGTGGATATGACTTTTTCTGGGCATTTACAGGATTTTCACTGCGTTATCTAAAATAAGACAGTTTCAGGATGTAAAATTCAAAACTGAAATCATTGTCCATAATGATACTGTGAAGAGACATTAAAAACAAATGAAGCACAGATTCATTTTCAGATCCACAAAAAGAACATTCATAGTTGAATATCCATAAACTTAGATAAAAAGATTGAAATTAATTTTTATTTTTATGGAATATTTCAGTATTTAAAATAAATTATTTATCCATGCTTTATGATTCTTATAAAAAAATGTAATGTGTGTGTGTGTGTGTGTGTGTGTGTGTGTTTTTAAGGTTTGGACAATCCACTTGTTAAGCAGGAAAATGCTTCTGACAGTAGCTGGAGTTGCAGTCCCAAGGGAAGCGCAAATCAGGAGAAGCCTTCAGCACCGCTGGACAGGATACATAATGTGTGTATGCCATTTTTTTAATGGTAATATGTAGTGGCAGAGAAGACAAAAATGTATCTGGACAGTAGAGTGAACTTGAGGAAACTGATGTCTTACACTGGTTGTACAAAGTTTGGATTGGAATAATTAAGTTTTTTAATGTTTTATTTTATTTTTTTTAAAGACGTATATTCTGCTCACCAAGGCACAAATACAGTAAAACAGTAAAGTTGTGAAATGTTATTACATTTGAAAATAACTGTTTTCTATTTTAATATATTTAAAAAATAATTTATTCCTTTTATGACAGAACTGAATTTTCAGTGCCATTACTCTATTTATCTATTACTCTATTTATACTCTATTTATGTCACATGATCCTTCAGAAATATCATTTTATTATGCTTATTTGGTGCTCGAGAAACTATTATTTATAATGTTTATAATTTGTAATGTTACAAAAGCTTTAAATGCTTTGATAAATTGAATAAATGCCAAAAAAAAACTTTAAACTTTCTATCTGACAAAGAATCCTCAAAAAAGTATAATCATTTCCACAAATGTAATGCAGCACAACTGTTTTTTTGCAGCACAAATGTTTCTTAAAGACCAAATCAGCATATTAGAATGATTTCACATGTGACACATGTGACTCATCATTACTAATAGTAAGTAATGATGATGAAAATTCATCTTTTTCCATCACTGGATTAAATTACATTTTATTAAAATAGAAAAATGCTATTTTAAATTGGAATAACATATTAACATATCACAATCATATAAATGCAGCCTTGCTGAGCATAATTCAATAAAATCTTAATTATTCCAAACTTTTGACCACCAGTGTACGTTCTCTAAAATGTACTGAGAAAGGCATTTGTTTGCACATGCCATTTGGTTTTGTAATGCAATAAAATTCACAGATTTTAAGTGTCCAAATACTGCAGTTTTCGAAGATGTTACTTTCATTTTTGAGCGGTTTCTAATTCATGAACACTTTGTCCATGACAGGCTGTTCAAGTGGGTGAGCATAATCCTGGAGTAGAAGTGAAAGAGGAAACGACAGAGCCTAGAGACACGCAAGCTTATCTAGTAATACACTCTCAAATACACAAACAAAAAGATCCTCAGAGCTGTGTGGAAGAGACCAACGGACTCCGCAACACAGATTCTGACCACAAACCAGGTGGACCGTCCTGCACCGAAAAACCGGGGGATGAGGATGAGGTCAGACACAGAACCCCCCAAAAATGGTTTGACTCTGAAACAGACCCTTCAGCACGGTCATCTGTTTCACAGCCAGAGCTAGTCAGGACCTCCGTATCTTCAGAGTCTCCGGGTTTGAGACCCCAGGTAAGCAGCATAGACTCAGCCTCTATCAAACAGGAAGTTATAGTGATGCTTCCACCAGACTGGGAGGAAATGGAGAGAATCGGGCCTCAGATGGTTTCTGCTCGCAACAGTGCTAAGAAGACGCCGTTGGACCTTCAGCCTGGACATCCTCAAGTACAAAAGCAAGTCTCTTATCCCACGCCTCCCGTCAAGGTTCAGAGCCTTGCTCCACAAGCCATGCAGCATCTCAGATCACCCGTTAGGAAGAACACGAAAGTTGTTTTACATCCCAACGCGGTTGTGTCAGATCACAGCGCCAGTGATGTTAACCGAGCACAATCCATCTCCAAAGGCCTTCCTACTCCAAAACCCTCTCAAGTCCGTCAGTATCCTGAAGGAGCCGCTACAGGGGAAAGAAGTTTCAGCACCGTGCATCCAGGAAGAAGTCTGCCGCCTATGGTCAGTGTGAGGGTTCAAGGGGACACGCGCCACCATTCGGCAAGGACAACGCACAATTGCAACCAGTGTGGGAAAGGCTTCTCTCATCTGTGTCACCTCAGAGCTCACCAACAGATTCACTCAGGAGACAGGCAGTTCTGCTGTACCATCTGTGGACGGAGTTTCACCAAACTGAGTAACCTGAAAGCACACCGCAGGGTTCACACTGGCGAGAGACCTTACATCTGCTCAGACTGTGGGAAAAGGTTTACCCAGAAATGCAACTTGAAGAGACATCAGAGAATTCACTCTGAACTCTCACAGTCCAGTACATGATGAGGCGTGGAGCTTTAATAGTGGTCGAATCTGTGCTGTTACATGCTGTTTCGCTGGCTGGCTCAAATTATTTTTTTAATATCATGCGTCTTTTTGAATGCTGTACTACATCTAACTTTTTAAACATTGTTCTGAAAAATTTATTTTGCAGTGATGTGACTGGATCGCTCAGGGGAAGATGCAGATTGTATCATATTATATAAAAAGCAGAGGACTTTTCCACTCCCTCTTGATGTTACAGGCTATTGAAGTAGGTGAGTTTGTCTCACAAATAAATGTCCAACTAAATGAATGTTTTGTTTCACCCTGAGATCAAAAGAACATTTATGCAATTATATTTTCTGTAAAAACCTGAAAAACCTTTAAGATTGTTATTCATTATTTTTAATTTCAGTATAAATTCAATTCAGCAAAATATAACCATGGAATATACTTAGAATGGTGCACATGTACATTCATATTTTAATTGGGTATGTATATACACAACCGTTCAGAAGATTGGGTAAGAATTGGGTCAGTAAGATATATTTTTTTAAAGAAATTAATACTTTTTTTTAAGCATGGATTCTTTAAATTGATCAAACGTGACAGTAAAGACATTTATAATGTTTTCTGTTTCATTCCTGTTTTATATTCAAAGAATAAAACAATATATCATGGTTTCCACAAAAATTTTAAACAGCACAACTATATTCAACATGACAATAAAAATAATGTTTCTTGAGCTGCAAATCAGCATATTAGAATGATTTCTGAAGAATCATGTGACACTGGAGTAATGATCGTTGTCACAGGAATAAATCTCATTTTAATATAAGTAAAATAAAAACTTTTTTTCCTTATTAATAGACTTTTGCTATAAATGCAAAAGGTATTGATTTTTATTTATTCTTTTTTCTTTTGATTTTGGGGTGAAATATGACTCGGACCGTTTCATCCATGCTTTGGAAATTTTCTCTGTTTCTTTAAAGTGTTTAATTCATTTCAAATGGGAGTTTTACAAGCCTTGAATAAGATGAATTAAATTCAACTACTCAATGTTAAATCATATCCCTTTGATTTGTTTGTATATTCAGATGTGTAGCATAGCTCTTTCAAATGGTGCATATACTCACTATTGCAACAGCATTACTGTGTTTTTTTTACAAGATAGCCAGTAAACTTTGCTGAACTTGATTACATGTGGGTTACATGTTCACATTTAGATGTCAATGCCGATGTTTTAGGTCCAAACCTATGCAGGGGTTTTCAGATGAAGATTTAAAAATGTAGTGATGTGGTATAGGTTCAGTATTCTTTAGTGTAAACAAAGAGTGACAGTATAGCTGGAACATACGCATACCATCCCATCTGTTTTTAGTTTAATATCTTTTGCTGATTAAATGCCACACACTGTTCAATTATACACTGATTAAACTCAGACTATTGGTGATCCAGGTACACCACAGTGAGCCATGTACATTACAGCTCAATGACTGTAATTCAAATTTCTTTTTTTCTCTGTGAAAATGACAAATTTGAATAATGATATTACATTTCAAATGGACCAAATGGCTAAAGTGTAGGAAGTTCATGTCTCTATTTATGCATATATATGTTGTTTTGTAATGTTTGTCAACAAAATTAAATAGTTATCCAGCTCTTTGGTAGAGTACTAACATACAGTATGTACATGTGGTGTTCTCATTTTTTAATTTATTTTATTTATTTATTTTATTATAATTGACACATTTTCCCATCCTAATGTACTTTAAAGTAATAATCTGTGATTACAGCACATGATGAAACAAAACTTTAGGCCTGTGTAGGGCAAAGATGTGGCACTTTATACTGTTTCTAAACAGAAGTAAAACTGATACACTACACTACATTATCTATGTTTTAGAAAATATCCTAACAACGATTTCTGGCAATGCGTTATGGGAAATGTAGTTTCTCAAGGAATGATAATAGTCTGATGTGGTGGCTCTCAAAGGCACTCCAGCTGGTGACCGTTACAGGTACAAAACCTGGTGAACTTTGTGACGCTTGCTATATGAACAACAAAAAGAAAGGAAAAATTTAAATGATTAGAAAAGTCTGAACATTCTTTACAAAAATAGTCACACTTGTGATACAAAATTACCACCATAGGAAATGAATGGGAAATTCAAAAACAAACATACAATCTATAAATTATCCATGACGGAATAGTCTTTTATCATAGAGGTCTAACAATATATCACAATACTAAAATGCAGCAGTATGTATTGTGTATAATTCACCTAAAATTAATATTTCTATGTGAGGAAAAATTAAATTTTACAGAGTTTTAGTGTCGGTACTACATTAAACTATGATACACACAATGTTGAATAAAATGTATAATAATACAATGGGGGAATATTTGTGGGTCCAGATAATGCCAAATGTCTTCTCTGTTACCAGCAAATGCATCTAGCCAGTGACAGAGTGTAAGCATGTTCATCTAAAATGATTCTGTATTTTCAACTTCAGAATCATCAATATTTTTATTCTGATGTCCCAATGCACACCATCATTCTGTGCATTGGGTTACCGGGCAACTGCAGCAGCCTATCGAGAGAGGCCTTTTGGGGACGATCCAATGGCAGATGCCCGGGGCTCACAGAGAATCTGAGAAGAGAGTCTAGCAGCGTCATTCCCAATAAGTTAGAATCCCAAAGGAGCTAATCACTGTCACAGTATTTCACACAGTCAGGGTGAAAACGTTGAACCTAAACTGTGTAACAGTATGAGTCTTACGTTACAGTATGAGCCCATAGGGTAATTTTATCGTCAGCGAGCTGTGCTCAAGCTATTTTAGTATTCTGCACCGAAGCGCTCTAACACCTAAAGGGCACTTAAGGCCCTTTTCGACATGAATGTCAGCGCTCTGTTTCGACGCGGCCCTTAGCACGACTGCTGAATGAAACAAAAAGCTGCTCAGTCTGTCTGAAAATGGACGAGCGAGACAAATAAACTCTTAATGCCCTGACTGGGCAAAGGAAGCTTGCATCCATCTCCTCGTTATGAACCGGTAGGGCAGACAGGGAAACAACCTGGGCCCTGAACGGTGTGTTGAGGGATTTAGGCACATATCCGTGTCTTGGTTTGAGTATGACTTTCGAGTCATTTGGCTCAAATTCCAAACACTTCGCGCTCACTGAGAGTGCTTGCAAATCCCCAATGCGCTTTACTAAAGCGAAAGCCTGCCACACTTTCTTGAACGACAGGTGTTTCATGTCCGACAGATGGATTGGCTCAAGCGGGGCACCTTTCATGGCTTCCAGAACCGTGGAAAGGTCCCAGATGGGGATTGAGGGGGGTCTGGGAGGATATAGCCTCTTAGCTCCTTTTAGGAAGTGGATGACCAGATCATTTTTCCCCAGTGACTGGCCAGTTGCGGGTTTTGTAAACGCAGCTATGGCCACCACATAAACTTTCATGTCACCTTGGGGTTCTAAGCATGCATCAAAACCGCCGCCATCTTGGAACAGGGGTGTTGTCATAGGAAGTAGCTAGGTAACGCTGCTATCTCTGCCTTTACTTCGAATTAATTGATGGTGGGCGGACTTTTGTGCTGTGTATGATGTTCACACGAATGAAATCTGAACTAGCAACATGACATCATGACTTTTGCGTAAACATACACGCCACTTTCGAGTCAAGTGGCGTGTTATCTCTACGCATTTTGAGCTATCCGCGTGTATGCGTGTATGTCTACGCCATTAACGTCTGCGTCATTCCGATTCCGTGATTCCAAAATGTAGATCTACATCTGGGGAGCGATCTTTTTTTTTACTAGGATGATAAGGGAACAGTCATAAATGCCATTAACCCCAGTGACGGGTAGGTTTAGGGACGGGGTTGAGGTAAGTCATATATTTATATACAGTAATAACGTTAAGTCAACGGCGTTCATAAACACGCTGAAAAGCGATTATGCGTCTTGATAGCATGCCAAAAATGGAAATACGAATTGGCGTGTCATACACACGCTACTTCATGAGATCAGTCTGCAACTAGGACGAATGTTTAAAAATCTTTTTTTTTTTTTTCTGGAATCAATGATACATGTCTGACCGTTGGAACAAACCAAAAAAAATGAGAAAATCGCATTCCAGTTACCCATGTAAATACTATGTACTTATTTTAGTAACTACAATTACTGGATAAAAACCAGTACTAACCCTGAACCTACCTCTAAACCTAACCCTGTTCCATGTACTTACCTTATATTAGTCAGTACTTTCTAGGTAAGTACACTGTAAGAAGGCTACCCTGTAAGTACTGTACTGTAAAAGGAAGCGTTACCAAATATATACTGTATAGTACAGTAATTTTATTTTAAAACAAACATGTTTTGGTCGGTTTATAATTTCCAATAAATACTGCAATATTCCATAAAAATGAAAACGGTCAATTTTGGTGACTTGAATTACAGTAGCCTAGACTAAAATAGAATAATGGCTTTTAATGAAGAGCCAATAAAATTTCTTACAGCTGGTAGCTAATCATAAAATAATCATAGTATAATATTAGAGTTTGCCACTAGTTTTACAGAAAAGTCTTAGACAAATCAAATTTGAGCTACTGTTTTAGCTCAAAGCTACTTGTCTTGCACTGACCTCTTAAATGCCAAAAGATCAAGGCGAATTTAGTTTCTCATATCATCACTCCTTTAAAATAGCCTGTGTCAACTCAGTGCCATTGCTGTGTCTCAAGAGGCACACCAGTATCGTGTTTTTCTAAGGTACGTTAAAAGCTCATGTCCTAATTGAACTAGCAGGTCTAATTCTGGCTTAATCCAAGCCCTGTCTGTGAAACCGGGCCATACAATTTTACACAAAAATAAATGTGGTTCCCTCAGTATAGGATGAAGGGTATCTTCCAGTCCACTGGAGGGCAGTAACAGGAAACCTTCAACATTTTCTGCATCCGCTTAAAAGACGACTGTCAACTAACGGTGATATTACTGCTGTAATAACGTATCTATTCACCTTATTTCGCGGTTTCCTCTGAGAAATCCGCTGTGCGAGGATCCTTTTTATAAGGTATTTAACTCCCGAATAGTGTGACTGTTATTATTTTCCTTTGTCCAGTTCATTTCTTTTACTTTTTACACAAAAGGCCCGAAGAGAGGGTGAGTAGCGAGCTTAATTTATGTAGAAAGCCAAGTGAATATAATCATATACAAATATACACGAATTTCTAATAACATAGTATTGGTAGTATTGCCTTAATAATGTGATTGTATGCTGTATCATGCACGTGGCTGCATAAACAACAATAACAAATCGCCCACCTGGTGACAGAAACGGGAGAGGAACATTTTTTGTTTTCTAACACGCAGACATGCTTTTTAGCTGGTCATGATTGCTAATATAGCACATTTTTATAAGTGTTTATGTCTTTTTATGTCTTTTCAGGGTGATTATTTTCATTGCATCAAGACGACAGCAGGGCGATGTCGGAAGCCCTTTTCCTCACATTCCAGTCTCAGCTCTCCGTTGTCATGGAGACCGTCCTCAAATCAGCCATGTTTGAAATAACTAGGCTGGTGGAAGACAGCTTCCTCGAGGAAGTGGGTCATCGTAAACAAGAGGTGGAAGCATTGAAACGAAGGCTGCAGTTGTCTGAGAGTAAACTGAGGGAGAAGGAGAGGGAATGGGAACGGGGGAGGAAGATACAGTGCTCTGACTGCGGCCGAACAGGAGATTCCAGCAGCAGAGATGAGAGCCAGCCTGCAGAGACAGTCAGAGGTGAGTTACAACTAGTGTCGTGGTTGTTAATTCAAAACTATTACAAAACCACTCATTATCCATGCATTTGCCATACTGATTATCCTCTGAATGGTCGTGGGAGGGCCGGAGCCCATCTCGGGCTGAAGGCAAACAGGTTTTTATTGATAGAAATAAAGTATAAGCTGAAGTAATAAATTACTATTTATTCTCTAAAATTAAAATTGTTTAAAGTGAAAAACTAAAACTAAAATATAAAAAAAGCAAATTCAGAATAAATTCGAATAGTTTATAAATAATATTGAAATATCGCTGGTTACAACATATCGAAAACTTGACCAAATTGTGCATGTATGCACGCACACACACAGATATATATACACACGTCACCCACATACACATTCATATACATGTGTACATATAAATATTTAATAAATAATTCATATATATAACAGTGTGTGTACTGTAATACTTTTTTCCAACACTTTTGTATTTGAGATTATCACAAGATGTTTAAGAGAAGATTTTCGTCCTGAGTTGCAAAATTCTTTCTTAACCTGCAGGATGACAGAAAAGACTGTATTTACTAGACATGTATAAAGACAGTCTTTCAAAAATAAATAAATAACAGTATTCTTTAATTGATTAATAAATTGTTAAGAAAATCAGATATATGTTCTTCATATTATCAAATACTTTTTGTGCTGTTCTTTAATTTTGTGTCTGTTCTTCTGGTGCAGGAGCCAATGCCCTTTGTTTAGGCCTAAGCCTGAGAGATCAGTCAACCAATCAGCCTACATTGACAGAAGAAATGTGGAGTACAAGACAACGCCTGGAGGCTAACAAACAAACAACAACAAATTCGCACTTTAAAGAGAAGAACGATGTACACAGGCATAGTGCAAAAGAGATCATCACACCTAACTGCAGTGCACCAATTCCTCAGGATTTTCTGCAGAGGCTTCTGGGAAATTCAGCAATCCAGAGCGAGTCCACCAGTGTCTTCAAAGCCAAAGGGAATGATTTAGACCAATCCGAAAAGGACTTTACTCTTGATAAGGAAATGGACTCAAACCACTCAAGAGTGATACATAGCCCTTCGGCTCAGGATGCGCACGAGGATTTGCCATCGTCTTCACCAAACGATAGAGTAAAATCAGAGACAGAGCTGGATCTTCTGTCAGTCAAGGAAGAGGAAGAGATGGTTCCAGTGTGGGATAGCGTCAACAGAGACGACGGTTGCCACGCAGAAATGTCTGATCCGAGTCAGGGAGAGCTCAGAGGATCTTGTGATCAGGAGGAGATACAGGTAGAAAGCTTTCCAGGTCTAAACTCTCTCGACATGCCAGACGCCACCTCATATTTCACACCTTATTCAGTGAACACATTGGCACATCAAGGTATTAGGGCACAATATAATCATTTATGCACGACAGAGCTGATGCTATCTAGCGTACCAGAGAGGTCAAATTCATTTGTCAAACCAGAAAATGAACAAAGTTATCCTGGTTCAGAAAGTTCTGTCCGCTTTTCCCACAATGACGTTTGTCCAGGTGAGAAAACGGTCAGTCACGCGCAATACCCAAAGTGTTTCTCCCAGGACAAACATGGGACGCCCGCACAGATCCACGAGGGAAGACCCCACCATTGCCTCCAATGTGGGAAAATGTTTGCGAGAGCATGCGACCTCAAGGCTCATGCGCAGATCCACAAGGGCAAGAAACCTCTGAGCTGTTCAACGTGCGAGCAGACGTTTGCGTACAACTTCGAGCTCAAGGTTCACCAGCGAAACCACTCAGGAGAGCGACCTCACGTCTGTCCGCACTGCGGCAAGGCCTTCGCTCGGATGAGCAACTTCAGGCAGCATCAGAACATCCACACGCGGGAGAAACTCTTCAGCTGCACTCAATGCGGGATGCGATTCAATCGAGCCACCAACCTGCGAGTTCACATCAGACGACACAGCCACGCTGGGAAGTCTTGCAATTGCCCTTATTGTGGAAAGAGCTATCTGAATCCCAGGCAAATGAAGACTCATTTATTGAAAGCCCATGGGAGAGGAGGGAAATAATAATGTATTTAATTTCCACTTGTTTTTTGATCAAATCGTGTTTATATACTATAAATGGTCCCGTCATTGCCACCTTAAAGACAACTGAACAGGAGCTGGACAAATTGTTATGCATGGAATCATTTTAACAAGGAAACTTAGGTTTCCCTTATCTAATAATACATGCATATTGAAATTGAAATGACAGATTTACTCCCAAAGGAATTGTGCTGTTGTGCGAGTAATGTGTAATAGTTGGTATAGAATATGTATTTGATGTTTTTATGTATTCCCTCCAACAACAGTAAAGATGCAGTATGATGCAGCATATCCTCTCTCCTGAGAATGTTTGTGGGTTTTTTTAATTCACTAAAAAGAGACCCCGGCCTTCACTTAAATGATGTTATGTCCCTGTCGTTTCAACTTTCATGGCATTTTGTTGGAAAAAGTAAATGAACCATCAGATGTAGCGACTGGTAACACATCTATCTCACCTCAACAAGTCAGTCAGTCCAAAAATGCTCCATTTCCTTTACTTTATTCGTCTATTCAGACTTCAAGTCTTCTTTACGGTGTTTTCTATTTTGTATTTATTTGCTGTGGATTTGATGAACACTGATGTTGGACAATGCAAGACTTCCTCCTCCTTAGCCATTTCCACAAGAGTTCTGTGATCTCCTGCAGCATTGTGTCTTGATGCCTGCCTCTCCTGGAGTGATTGTAATCGGACAACCTTTAACCCCTACACACAGGTCATTATCTGATGGATTTGTATACTTTTTCCCAACAAAATCAGTAATTCTAGTAAGACTTGTTCAGAATATTTCATTTGATATTTGTTATTTACAACTTTGTATTGTTCCTTCTGACATCAGACAGACTTTCATCACTCCATATGAAATATAATTTCGAATGAAATTTGTGTTGCAGACTTCACTTCACGTTTATTATGATAAACAAGCACACTACATACAGAACATAAACAGAGTTAATTATATTTATGAGCAGTATATTATATAGAAATGCTTGTAAATGCATCCAAACTGTGGTTTGCTAATCTGTCATTGTGTATGTTTTAGATTGGCCGAAGGTTTGCAGAACACCCTTCCACAGAACAAGGAAATTCACTTCCCGTGAACAGGCAAAGGACATTCAGCGTAAGAAATTATACAGAATGAATTTAAAATATTTTAGGCTTTTGAATGCTCATCAGTTGACCAAGTTTATTTGTTTTTTGTGTCTTCAACAGCTTGTGGCCAGGGAGATCCTGACTCAGTTTCAGGTGTGGCAGAAGGCTTGCTATAGCAGGAACATAGATTGGGGCCCGATTACCGCGAAGGTTCAGTTCTCTTCATTTGTTCGATTTCGATTAATGAAATGTATGCAGAAAAGGGCATGTTTTTGAGATTGATTATACATCTTTGTTGTTTACACTTGAACAGATCATATCTGCACTGCCACAGTTGTATGGGCGGGAGGCAGAGGTGATTGTCAGATGTACTAAGATGCTACACAACCGCAGGGATTACCTTCGAAGGAGGGCAAAGGTTAGACAGAGTTCATAGGTTTAAAGATTTAATCTCATTATTTCAAAACCTTATTGCGTTGTTTGATGATAAATCATACATATTATGTCATAATGTATATGGCACATAATTGTGTGAATGAAGGCAATTTTCCATAGGGCTTGACAATTTGATCTGCTGTATGATAAACAAATAACATATTGCTTATCATGGATGAAAGCAAATTATTTTAACAGTTTTCGACTAAAAAAAATAACAAAAGAAAAAAATATTCTACAGTACAATAAATAAAAAAACCTTTTAAATTTTACATGATATGTTTAACATAAAACATTGCATAGGTGTTCTGAAAATCCACTAGCACAGAATGATCTACCCAGACAATATTTTAAGTTGTATTCTTGTTTATACATCATAACAGCTTTAGTTAATCCAAAAAAATATATATACAATTTTAAAGCATAAAAATATTTGTAGATATTTAGGAAACATGCTAAGTTAACTTGTTATACTTGTTTCTCTGAAAAACAGCCAACAGACTTTTTTGATATGGTTTGTGTGATCCTGCCCACTGCCAATTTATTCAATAATATTTTGACACTCTGGGTTGCCAGATAGCAGTCAACAAAGCAGCCATTGACGCAAGCAAACGAACTGGGTCAGAGATCGCAAATTCTACATTAAAGGAGTAGTTCACTTTTGAAAAAACTTTTGCTGATAATTTACTCACCCCCATGTCATCCAAAATGTCCATGTCATTCTTTCTTCGGTCGAAAAGAAATTAAGGTTTTTGATGAAAACATTCCAGCATATTTCTCCATATAATGGACTTCAATGGGAACCAAACGGTTCAAGGTCCAAACTGCAAACTGCAAAACCGATCGTTTCGCTTGATAAGACCCTTATTCATCGTCTGGAATCGTTTAAAGCCCTTTGAACAGTTTCCAGTTTGCACTGAAACTGTCTTTTGGACCTTGAACCGTTTGGTTCCCAGTGAAGTCCATTATATGGAGAAAAATGCTGGAATGTTTTCATCAAAAACCTTAATTTCTTTTCGACCGAAGAAAGAAAGACATGGACATCTTGGATGACATGGGGGTGAGTAAATTATCAGAAAAAGTGTTTTGAAAAGTGAACTCCTTTAAATAAAAAGTGTTGCCATTTATCTAAAACACTCTATAAGGCATATTTAAACTCATATATATTAGCCATTGTAAATTGCACTTGCTCCTCTTGTATATCTTCAATCTGGCAACCCGTGTGAATGTTGAGAGTGAGGAGGAGGGTGCAGGGCAAATAACTCCAGTACCCATTTCAACCAATGTCAATATTACATACTGCACCTTTATATATTGTCAACATAATAATCACTTCCTGACTGTTAGAGAGGGTTTTCAGTCTCTGCAGGCTGTAGCACAGTGACGTAGTTCATATAATCCACTACACAGTGAATTTGGTTGACATAGTCAAAGTTTTAATCAAATGCGCCATAGAGGATTTTGATGATACTCTGGATGTCTTTAATGTGCATCATTTGTCACTATACTCCCATGACAAGGATGGACTCAACACCAAGAAGTGAGACCGTAAGTGAAATGAGCATAATTTATGTTGTCATTATATTGTCATTTAATTTTGTTGCCACTTGTATTTTACATTAGCCCTTTTGAAACAGAATCATTATTTTCCTATCATCACGCTGTCATCAACTCTGCACATGTAAGAATCATAATAGTAATTCATTTTAATAGGTTATCAATGGCAACTTTATAGTGACAAAGTCAAGTGTCGAGCTCAAGCTGTAATCGTGATAGTAATTGTTAATATTCACCTTAAAATATGTTGAATGAAGTTAACCATTATTTCATTGTAAATATCCATTTCTAGGTGCATATTACCATCCTTAAAAAAGGAGAAATGCCCTGCATCTCTAAGTGCACTCGGTGTTGTGATGAGTATCACTGCCCATTTTGTGAGACCTGGGTCTACAAGCCAAGAGGGTTAGGAAGCGTTGTTAACCACATCCAGAATCATCTGAAGGTGGCTGTACAGCTTCATGGTGTGTATAGTGCTTCCACATCCATTCAAATGATTTTGTCAAGGCATATCAAGTCACACATGTTTTACTTTTTTTTTTTCCAGATTTCACTATTATCAAGTGTAACTTAAAATGCCGGGAAAATGCACATTTTCATTGCTGCTACTGCTCTGCCACCATTCTGCGGAAAGCACAATTACAGATTCATCTCGCAAACTGCATCGAGAAGTTAAATGCTGAGGAGGAATTTGAAGAAAACTGCTCACTTGATGGGAGTCCTAAACATGAGTAGTTTTTGTTGTTGTTGTTATTTTTGTATTGTTTTATTTCAGGTTTTTTCACAAGTTATTGTTTCCCTGTTGAAGCTCTATGGAAATAAACATTTATTAAAAAAAGTATATAGTTATTTCAGAACTGTGAAGTGTTGTGTATGATCTGAAACATCTATTTTTACTACACTTATTTTTATTTCACCACTAGTGAGACATAATAATTATTATAAATAAAGCCTAGCATTTGACATGGTTGCTATGGATTTCTTCAATAACCTGAACCTCTTGTGGAGATAAAATTCTAAACATTGCATATTTATCATTTTATATAAACAATGAACACATGAAAGTTATGAGAACTCAAAAACAACTGGTTGAATTTAAAAACAGATTGACATAACATTATTGACTGGTTGCTTATGTAACAGCTTTATAAACTTGAATATAAAAGTGCACATGCATATTAAAAGCGTTCCCAAAATCCATGATGTAGTGGGTTATATTTACAAGTAACTATACGTCATCATGCTACAGACTGCAGCAAGAAGAGTTTTTGGGGTAACAGGGTCCAAACAGTTCAATAGTTTGGGAATTTTTGTTATTTTAAAGGAATCAAGGAATTTTTAATTTAGGAACTTTTATTCAGCTTGGATGCATTAAAATTTATCAGTACAACATTATCATTATATATTTCTATATCAAATGCGTGCAGGTTTTTTTAAAAAACTTTATTCATCAAAGAATCTTGAAAAAAACTTCATAAAAAATATTATAGCATATTATAATGATTTCTAAATGTGCATATTTGATTGATTTCTAAATGTGCACATTAGAATGATTTCTGTAATGGCTGCTGAAAATTCTGCTTTGTCATCAAAGGCATACATGCCATTTTATAAAAATAGAATATTTTTTTTAAAATGTTACTAATATTTCACAGTATTACTGTTTTACTGCAAAATACAGCCTCTATGAAAACATTAAAATTGCTTTCAACATTAATTTTAAAAAACATTTAAAAAATCTTGCCAACCCCAAACTTTTAAACATTAGTGTACATTAAATAAAGACAGACAGTATATTTGTTGCTGCATCAGCTCTTTTATTTCATTATCCATTTAAATAGGCAAATTGTGCTTGATCACACTTTTCAAGTCAACAGGGCCATTGGGTCTTTTAACACTACTGTGAACTGTGGCCTGACTTGCACTTAGCCTATTCTTGCATATGTAAATGAAGCATCTAACTGAAAATCTGCTAGAGTGAAACTACATTTGTCTTTTGACCAAACAGGCTCTTCACACATTGTAAAGCAGACAAAATGGAGCAATGCATTGTCTGTTTTATAATCACAGCTGTTTGTGGTGTAGCCTAATACAAAGCCATCATTGCAAGCTTTACAATTACCAGTTGCATTTGAAAATAAAATGATGTTACAGAATTTTAAGATGTTTTTTTGTTTGTTTGTTTGTTTGCTACAGGAAACTGCTGTGGAAAGAAATATTTTACCTGTGGGTCAGAGATATCTTGTACAACTTCAAAGAGGTGATGTTCAAAATGTACAATTTTGAATAAAATATAGTTATGTGTGACATTGTGCTCTGTTGTTTTTTGTGTGGAGTTTGATAGAGTTTGATGTTTTCTTTAGGGTTACAGTCGTCAGACAGATTTTATTAACATTCATGGATACTCGTGTTTGGGAAAAGGACTGCACATGTATGACATGAGACAGGATTGAAGAGCAATGACTGAGTATTTTTGTTAAAACAAATAGATATGGTGAATAATAATTTTATTTGGTGATGATGATTATTCCGTTCAATCCTAAAGTTCACTGATAAACACGAAACACTCAGTGATGACAAGGTCGACTCAAAAATATAATTGCATACATTTTTTTTAATGTTTTCCTACGGTCACAAATGGTTGCTTTAATGAATCTATTTGTTCTACATTAACCAAAAAGGTTTGTTTCGACACAAGCCAAATATAGTAAAGGTAAAAATGAGTAGTTTGTCCGGAATTTTGTGGAATCAGCTCCCATCGTTGTTTGTTTCCTGTCGGCCCGTTATGCGGTTACGCTTCACATTCCACTCAGCGACAGTGCGATTCAGACGGATTCAGACCGCCTGTATCGGTCAAAATCTTGCATTTTCATCAAAGGTAAGTTGCTCTCATATGGAGCATTGAGAATATAAGTTATATGTTTTACTTGTGGGTTTCATTTCCAGAATTTGCATGTTTATATGATTCCCGCTTCATTGATGAGGTGAGGAGATGTTGCTTTTCTTGTAACGGTGAAAGTTATTAATGAAAAGATCGGCACCACTTTATCTTTGTTAGATTAGCTGCTACAGAGATCGTGAGATATTTGACCCGAATGGATCCTTTTCTTTGGTAACTTTTTTGAGAGAAATCAGGTTTTCTCGTCACTAGCTTGCTTGCTTTAGCAGACATGTCCCTTTAAACGCGAGAAATGCCCCGTCCACGTTTTTCCCCCACAGGTCATGCCCAGCTGAAACCATCAAATCCATAGGCATTCTGAAATAAGAAGTAAATAATAATAAAATGCAACAGAATTACTGAGATATTTAACAAAACGTGCAACTTTACCTGCAATTAGTTGAAAAAAAAATATTTTGTTATTTTTAGGTTTTCTTAGTAACTTTACACCATTCAAATCAGATGTGAATCAAAGCAAAATGGTCACTGCAAAATGTTACGGTGTTCACAAAATACATGATGCATGAAACCATGCAAGTCATTGTCATAAATGCTAGATTTGTAAGTTATACATTCTATATGTTTAATGTTTTTCTATCTGGCAATAATAATAATATATGTGAGAAAATGAAAGAAACAAGCATCTAAACACGGTACGAAACTTATTTGGTCTATATTGACAATTTTTTTTAAAACTATATGTAATTTATTAAATATATACTTTTTAAAAGAAAATTCAATCATCATGTCCTCACCCTCATGTTGTTCCGAGTTTGTATGGCTTGCTTTTTTCTGCATAAAAAGCTATTTTGAAGAATGTTGGGTAAGCAAAGAGTTTGTGGATTATCCCTTTAACATTAAGTTTACCTCAAAACACTACTTATAAATAGAATATTTTCAATATTAGCTGTGATTTTTTTTTTTTTTTATGAAATGTTATTAAAGCTCTGAATACACACTTTGACATACAAAATGGCAAAGATGGTTTGTTTGATGCTTCCAAGATTGTCACAATGAAGGCAGGCATGAACATTTAGTATCTGTTACTGGAAAAAAAAAAAAAAAAACTTCTATGTATCTCCTCTGTTGAAAGGTAACCTGGACATCTGTTTCTCATCTCTACTCTGTATAGTTGCACAATAGAAGGGTTTTGAGAAGCTGTGAGTACCACCAGCCAGCCACACACAATGGAAGTGGAAGATCCCTTATCAGCCAAGTTCAGGACTCTGATAGAAGGACTCATGGTAACGACGACCTCAGAGATAGTAAAAATATTTAGCAAAGTGCTGCTTGAGACCAGAGTGGAGATCACCCGGAGCTGGAGGGAGATCGACTTGTTGAAGCAGCATTTGGAGGAATCTGAGCAGCAAAAGAGAGACGCCATCTTCAGGGCTCAGATGGGTGACTTTAAAAGAGAAGATGACGAGATGGAAGTGTCACGTGATAATTCTCTGCTTGGCGTACAGAGCTCAAACACTCTCAGGCCAGGGGATGTGGTGAGTGGGTTTCCACTTGTTTGTAGTGCAGTATACATCTGCATTGAGTCTGTATTGATTCAAGCAGTGTTTCCAAAAAACAAAACAGAAGCTAAAATCTGTCCAATTTTGGTTAAATCAATGTTTCTTGTTGGCCATTCTCATCAATTTGTCATTTTACTGACACTTACATTTTTATTTATTTAATGTTTGCTTGTTTCTGTTTCTGTTGAATCATTTATACTCCTTTGATAATAAACATTACAGATTTTTTCTGTTATAGGGACCTGAAGAAAGAGCAGATAATGTCTCAGTTGGGAAGAGAGGTGTCAGTCTGGGGAATGCTAAAGCCAGTGGACCAAAGACAGCACGGCCTATCAAACCAGGTACTCATTTTTAAGTTAACGAACTTGAACTTTTTGCAGCAATAAACAAATTAGAGAAAAGTTCCACTTCAAAATACAAACGAATACTATATAAAAAAGTGAAAATGAAGAACTGTACAGCGTTCTGTAAGGATTTTTTTCTCAAGTTTGTTCTTAAAAATATCACTAGTCACTAAGATGAGTTAAAAGGAGAGTTAAAGTGAAAACATTTTGTGGTGATTTTTATTAGTACTTTAAATAGGAAAAAAATCATATTTTTATGAATCCATTCTGTTAATGATTGATTAGAGCATTGTAGTGTCTCTCATCCAACAAAGAGAGAAGCCCTGTTTCCACCCATTATTACCATGTGTTTTCAGTGATCTGATTATAAGTGATCAGCCAAGACGCATTACCATTTACATTGTGTCTCCTGTGACCACTTGCGTTCTGATTTCATCAAGACCCTCCTCTCTTATTTCGTGATACTCTAGCCTCACTTTTGAGGCTAGAGTATACTATTAAATGAACGAACCCGTGTTCTGTGGTGTATGCGAAGGAATAATATAATATTATTTTATTTTTTCATGGAGTGGTGACTCCTGGAATTAAGTGCTGGGTGGGATGTCTGTATTGTTATATTTACCTCAGAAAAGCCATTCAATGACCATAAGCTCATTAGTCAGCTAGAAAAAAAAAGATGTTCCAAAAAGTTATGAAGGCCACCATTTAAATATTTATTTTTCAAAAAACTAATTAGATTATAAACATAATCATGTAATATAAAATATACTAAACTCCCTTTGTGTGTAATTTGTGTGCAAATCAGTTAATTGTAACCTTAAATATTGTAGTAGTATACCAACTGACTCCCTTTATAGTCCTTGAATAACTTTGCCACACTGTACTGTACTTGATATGAATTGATATCGAATGTAATCAAAATCAGGATAGAATTGCAAAATATTGAATCGAAATCAAAATCGAATTGTGAAATTTAGTCAGTACCCAGTCCTAATTTTAAATCATTTTTTTTTTTCAATTAATTTTTGATTAACATAATCTGGCATATAAGTCAGTGTTGGTATTGTTAACGAAAACTGATAAAAATATATATTTTTTGTATAAAAAATAAATAAATAATAAAATATAATATATAATATATATAATATAAAAAATAAAATATAATATTTTATATATATATATATTAAAAACTTAGAAATGTTGCAGCACTAAAAGTACTAAAACTGAAATAAAAAGTTGAAGCACTAAAAGTACTAAAACTGAAATAAAAATTAATTTCAGCTAAATATAAATATATAAACAAAACTAATAAAAATATACTTTAAAATATTAAATACAATAATTGTATATAAATAATATAAAATTAACCTCATCATTATACAATGCATGTTTTGCTTCTTGTTGTTATAAATAATGTGCTCTCATTGAATTTTAGCAATCCTAATTATTGCTTTTTGGTTGTTGTAGCTTCATCAGGCCATAAGGTCCAGAAAAGCTGTGCAACTGCTGAAAAGTGGCAAGAGACGAAATGCAAACAGCTTGTGGTAAAACCGAAAATAGTTTGTTCCACCAAGGTGTCACAAACGAAGGGGGAGAAAGCATCATCAAGCAAGACATCACAGCCCACATCGGAAAATTTCAAAAAAAGAAAAATAATCAAAAAGCAGAATGAAATTAGTGTTGCTCGTGGTCTTCGAGACCGACAGCACCTCAGCATGCAGAGACAATGTCTGTGTTGTTCATCGGATGAGTGCGATAACCCCTCTAGAGCCCAGCACCAGGTTCCTAGTGTGTATATCTGTCGTAAATGTGAGAGAAGATTTAAAACGGACCTCCTGTTCAAGAGTCACAAGTGCACAATGCCTCAGAATTGCAACAGGTGTGGGCAGATGTTCACTACCCTTCAGGGGCTGACCACACACACTCAGGAAGTTCAACCTCAATTCAGCTGCAGTCAGTGTGAGCAAACGTTTGACACTCAGTGTGCTTGGGCCGTGCACAAGAGGATCCACACCAAACTTACTGTTCCCAATGAACTTAAGGCTAAGAGGTTCGAGATTCGTCTCGAAAGAATCTCAGACTCCCAACTAGAGGCTGCTTTGTCCTCAAATTGCTCTTCGTTGCGAAACAACTCTTCAAACCAGAATCTTTTGAGTGAACCGAATCTGGCTTCTGCAGCCACAACACCTGGATCTGCATGCAAACCCGGTGCAGAATCCACAACTGCGAACGTCCCAGAGACCAGTACGTCACAACTATCACCCCAAAGTGTAGCAGAAAACCCAGATGTAAGACCAGGAAACATGTCGGATTCAGGTGTTGGACAGTCAAGTGTCAGGAAAGTATATGCCGTCATGTCATCTGCCTCTTGCCAAATTCAGATTAGTGAAGATGCAAATGAAGTGGATTCAGGAACTGCACACGAAACTGAAAAAGTAACAGATGACGGAAAAAATCCCTGTGCAAGTGAGGAGTCCGGACTCTCCGCTCCACCACGAAAGAGGAAAATGGCAGGTAATATTACAATGTTGATTGAATGACATACAATACAAAACTTGACTGGATTCACTTTATTTATTAGTATTCTCGTGCAGATTAATGTTAATAAAATTCATTGCTGATGTTTTTTTTTTCTGTAGATTGTTCTCATGACGCATACAATGGCGTGTTTCCTGTTGAAAATATTCTGAGATGGAGAAACAATAAGGTAGGAATAAAGTGCTTTTATGCATCATCCTATGAGCCCTTAAATCATTTTGTAAAGAAAAATGTCCTTGTGATGGATTTTCCCTGAACCTAACTATCCTACCAATAATACTCTAGTCGGCCAAGTCTTACACTTATACCCTGGCACGCCTACACATCGACGTCGGCTGGGTACTAATAATTCTAACTTACTTCTTGCTGCGGAGCTTAATCATCATGACTAATTATTTCATTATGACTGATCATGTCACACATATGGTTGGTTGCATTGTAAGCAAGGCCCATCCCCCTCATCATCCTTGGTTAGTGACATCACCAAAAATATCCTATATCCTCAAAAACAGTTTGTAAGGGGTCAACATTTCAGTCAATCATGTCTTAAAGGGATACTCCACTTTTTTTTGGAAATAGGCTCATTTTACAACTCCCCCAGAGTTAAACAGTTGAGTTTTACCGTTTTCGAATCCATTAATTCTGATATTTAGAAGAATATCAGTAACCAGACAGTTTCTGGTCTCATTGACGACCATAGTATATTTTTTTCCTACTATGGTAGTCAATGAGACCAGAAACTGTCTGGTTACTGATATTCTTAAAAATATCAGAAAATCGGCTGAATGGTTTCGAAAATGGTAAAACCCAACTGTTTAACTCTGAGGGAGTTGTAAAATGAGTCTATTTCCAAAAAAAAGTGGAGTATCCCTTTAATGCAGTAAAACAACAGAATGTTCAGTTCATTTTCAAAGTTACATTGACCAAGGTTACATTAAGTCAAAAGTTTGTTAGATGTTTAGTTCATATTGAAAGTTTGTCTCATGGCTACATAAAAGGAAATAAGATTTATCTTATTTTATTTTATCTAGAATTGAAAGTTTAGTCACCTTGAGACAAAGAAGTGGAAGTATGATAGATTTTATCACATGATAGAAATATTAAATCAGAACTTTATGGTTAGTTAACATAATTAATCTTATCTATGGGCTATATGCACGCATTAGTTCCGCATTTGACGTAAGGATGCTCGTCCATTTCCGGTTGTGTAGATTAAAGCGGAGGAAAACCGGAGAAAACGGGATTATGGCAGAGTCTTCAATATTTACTGTCCTCCCGTCTTTGAAACGAAACGTACATACGTTTAGATGTAATTTTATATATAGTTATGTTTATTTAATATAATTTTAAAAAGAAGGATAAACACAACGAGGGGTGTCTGTTTTATCTGTTTTTGTGACTAACGTTTCATTAGTATAACCATGGAGTATAAAATTCAATATAAATTCTCGGTATTGCATTGGACTCTATGATCGGCGGAAGTTATCGAGCATCCCTAATGCTTCACCGGAAATAACGCCGTGCATAGAGCCCATTAAAATGTCTACGACATCGTCATGCTTTAATCTGACATCCATTTAATTTTTAAAGGGAAGAAATGAAGTTCGGGTCAAGTGGATGCCTTGCACATTGTGGTAAGTGTTCCTCATCTGATATCACACCACCAAAGGGAACCACCAGTAGCATTCAGCTTAACCTTCCATTCATAAAAGTGTAAGTCAGTGGTTTGTCACTGGAGTTGATAATGATATATGATAATGGAAAAAAAAACAGAAGGGGGGGGGGGGGTGTTTTGAAACATTTTTCTTTTAAAAATATATCATGAGAACATGAACTTCATCACTGCATTTGCAGGAATTGTGAAACATTTTTTTCTTATTTACTCATGAAGTAGTCTTAACGCAATATTTTTAATACTTTCCCCACACAATTAAGCAGAGGCAGGGATACATTGACCAGAAAGGGGGAAATCCCATGCATAACAGATAATAATAATATTCTCTATAACAGATCTTGGGTAATGTTAACTTCAAGATTTACTTATACATTATTAAAATCTATTGTTTTATTTGTTAACATTAGTTAATGTACTGTAAACTAACATGAACAAACAATGAACAACTGTATTTTTATTAACTTACTTAATACTTACTTAATTTTAGCCATGTCACACCTTTTTTTAGGCCCAGACATTTTTTGTCACATACAGCAAACATCTCCTCACTATCCGCTAGCTGCCTGTCACCTAAACACACTGTAAAAAACGCGGTCTATGCAGACAACCCAGGCTCCACAAATGGCAACAAAAACAAACTGCAGCGACCCGCTCCACGAAACATAACAAACTATTCCAGCCAATAACTGACAAGAAGGCCCTAGGGGTGGGGTTTGGGGGGTCAGTGCAGATGAGGAGGAGGGAGGGTCTATCTAGCCTCCGTTTTGTTTGAAAATACTTTAAACGTCAACAAGAAGTCACGTCACCCGACATCGCTTAGAGCACTTTTAACGATGAATAAATACTGTAACAAATGTATTGGTCATTTGTTAATGTTAGTTATAGCATTTAAGGGATAGTTCATTTTGAAATTAATTTATGGTATGTTTTAGCTTACCTCAAATGCATCCAAGATTAGGGTTGGGTATCGTTTGAATTTGAACGATTCTGATTCCGATTCCGATTCCTTGTTTCGATTCCGGTTCCTAACGATTCTCGATTTCGATTCTTTTAAGAGGCAGGGTCAAAAAAGTTTAGCTAACCTTGCTAACCAACGGTCTTTCTGAAGGAAATACTCCTTCTGTCACAAATACTTGTCACAAATTTTGCATTTTGCCGAGATTTCGTTAATTTTTAGAAAAGTGAAGCCACACTTTGGACCGCCGACGTAAGCTACTCATGTTTGACTCACGCGGTTATGCCAACACTTCCGGTAGATGCTTTTTCGCTGGTGTTGTTCAGCAGTTTCTTCTTCCGCTCGGTGGACTGTGAATATCGAAACTAGGAATTGAAATTTTAACTTTTGAACGATTCCGGGAAAAACGAAAAGTTAGTCCCGGTTCCAATCGATACTCGATTCTCGATACCCAACCCTATCCAAGATGTAGGTGTCTGTGTTTCCACAGTATTTTCAATTTTGATATTTTTAGGTCAAACCGTTCGTGTCTGTCAGTCATATAATGCAGGTCTATGGTCACCACCTCAAAGAGCATGTCCAAATTATTACAATTTAAACTGCATATTTCATATAGGCTGCTATGTTCGTTTCTCACACAAACCACTCATTTCGTGTCTTAGGCCATTAATGTGTACTTGCATTTAAGTCATTAAATCATGTTTAATTTGGACTTCTCTGTGCATGCTCTTTGAGGTGGTGACTATAGACCTCCATTATATGAGTGACAGACAAGAACGGTTTGACCTAAACAGTGTTGTGCCTGAACGTGTGCATATTTTGGGCGAACGTGAACTGAACGTACTGTATTACTGCCTGAAGAACTTTACTGTGAACTCGTTCATTCTGGTGTCTGTGAACGCACGCTCTCTCAGTTTAACTTCGTACAATAGGGTGCCAGATTTCTATAGAGCCTTCCAGGTAAAAACCCGTCTAAAACATATGTAAAAGCCTTAATATGTAACGAAAAAAAATCAAATCTGGCAACACAAGACACCAGTGTCGCACTGCAGCCGCCGTCGACAAAGCAGCGAGCGAGGAGGCGTCGTATGATCATTGAAACGCATTTTATGACGAGGTCAGTGAGGATGGGAAAAATCTTACATTCGTGCAAACTTTGCCTGTTGATAAAATAATTGTTGTCTGTGGTTGTATATGGGCTGTGGCAAAAAAAAGAAGAAGCTCGCAACAAATGGAAAAAAAAGAACTATGAATGAACTAGTTGATTTTTTTGAAGTATGAACTATGAACTAGTTCATTTTAAAATGTGTGAACTGAACTTTGAACTAGTTCATACAGAAAGTGAACTTTCCCAACACTGGACTTAAATGTCAAAATTGAAACTACTTGCGGAAACGAAAGACACCTACGTCTTGTATGCCCTTGAGGAAAGCTAAAACATACCAACAATTTATTTCAAAGTGAACTATCCCTTAAAAGGGATAGTTTACCCAACAATTAAAATTTCCCCATGATTGACTTATCGTCAATCCATCCTAGATGTAAATGACTTTCGTATTTCAGACGAACACATTCGGAGATGTGTCACAATGCCATGGGGTTAATAAGGCCTAAAAGACAAATTCATTGACTTTTCCATTATAATGACCCCTTTAATTTAGACACTTTGGTGTGGCGGCAGCTCCCAAGGCTAAACGCATTTAATTATTTAAAAATAAATTTTGATTGCAGACAGGTTTAAACTTTTTCTTTTCTCAGTGGGGCGAAGTTTCAGAACACGTGGGAACCAGCCGAAAGCTTTCCAGGCTATTTGGATGACAAGAATGAAGAGCCAAAGAAAGACTAGAAGGATCAGAAATGATGTAAATTGTATCAGTACGCTTTTATGAAGTTTTCTGTTTACACTAAGCATGTGTGCTTTACAATGCAGTTAATTTAATGAATGTTTTCTCTCCATGCCATGTTTTTCCTGCAATATACTATGGCAGTAACCAGTTCCACACAGTTACCCTAGATAGATGAGTAGTGAAGTTAAATAGGTAACATTACATTTAAACATGGTCTTAAGTGCCTGAGATCAAAATCTTTGCTTTATAACTTGTCAAATTGTATAATTATTTAGTTAGACTTCAGATGTATTTGAGTGTTGAATGTTTATATTTACCTCTCTGCAATCCGTGGTTAAGATTGGTCTCTTTTGTTAGGTGTTGCGCAGTGTTTTAGATGTTTGTGGTGAGCCTTATATTGATGGATTCTGTTTATACCTAGCAGTCAGATTTTAAAATGCTATTAATTGACTACAATGGTGGTGGATTTGTGTCTTTAACACTAAATATCAGTTTATTAGGCTGGATTCTTTAACACTAAATATCAGCTTTTTAGGCCTATCCAGTTAATGAGGAATGACTCTACCTGCTTTGGGCTTCTTGATAAACTAAAGAATTGTAATGTGGCCATTCGTTTGGTTTTTGCAGCAGTTGTTGCAGGCTGGCAAAATAAAGTGGTAGATGTTGAATAAACAATTTTTAAACCCATCCATGACATGCCACTATTTTCTGTTATATTTCAATGTCTGCATGTTTCTGTGCACTGGACGAAAGAAATGTCGTCAGTAACATAAAAACTAACATGCATAAACTGTCTTCAAAAAGCGATGCTAAAATGTTGATCGATAATGTTTAGATTTATTATTTTTTTTTTCAGAACAAATATGTAGGTAGGTTGTAGCTTTCACACCTATGAAACTCTTAAAATGTGTGTGTGAGCAAGCCTATTTCCTTTGGTCAGAAAACAGACGTTGGTGTCTGAATTGTCAAAAATAACCTTCAGTGAAGAGGCGGAACTGATTCCATTACAGCGGCTAGCCGTGAACTTAGTGAAAGTGAGAAGGAAAACAGAGAAATGTCTCATTTCACCTGAATCGCAAGTAAAAGAATCTTAACACTAAAGAAATAGCCTGCTTTCTGTTTAACTTAAAGAAGTAAATGACTGCTTTCTGCTTAACAAAAAATCTTTGTTCAGCTGCCTTCTTTAAAAGCTAAATAATTTTTAGTAGGAAATCACCAAGTATTTTCCTTTAACTGTATTTAAGAGACTATACCAATAACAACGCTGATGGAAACATAAAAGGTGGGCAGAAAACGGTTTATCTTCCTTTGACTGGAAATATTGCGGTCTTTCAGAAATCAAGCAAACACTGGACTGACAACAATGGTGTTATCATGCTTAATAACAGGTACGATTTTAAATTAAATATCTTTACAAAAAAAAAAAAAAAGATTTAAAATAACCTTCATGAAATAAGTGCTAAAATACAATTCCAGTGTGTCTTTTTACATTTTTGTTTGTGGTAAGCATATGGTTTTTAGATCAAAAAGCTCAGTTATATTAAGAAGATTCCAATATATACAAGTCTGTGATTTTGAGTAAATGGAAAAGTCCTGTTAGTGCCTGTCAATTAAAAGACTTTCTGTAGGGAGTAACTTGTTTCTACATGGCACAGGCAGTATATTGCTGATAAAGTGAAGCAGTGTACAAGATGGTCTTTATACAGCCACCCACAACCAAACCATAAGCTCTACTCTTCAGCACAGGAAACCCCAAAAAGGTCAATATAACTGAACATTAAACTCTTAACTGTCACCCCCCCTTTTTTGAATAGAGGTAAGATTGGTCTCATTTTAAAGAAGACATTTGGCAGATTTTTGTTGAAGTGAAATAAATTAAGAAAGAGAAACAGAAAAAAAGTTAAAGAAGTTTGAGTTTATTGAAATGTACAATGTAAAAAAAAATAATTATTCATATTTTATATAAAATATATATGTTCAAAATCTGGGCTACTCTAAAACTGCAGAAAAATCACAGCCAAAAATCTGAACAAATTTTAGGTTGATATCTCAAAAAATGAGCTTTCTGTGAGATTTTATTTGGGCACAGTACCACACTTTTTCACTACACTGTAAAAACGAATATGCTTTATCTAATCAACAGAATTGTGGCAAGCAATAGATTACAAGCAGTATTATTAATTCAATTTAACAAATTAGAATTGAGTAATAATTAATCAAATTATTCCTTAAATGTTAACCATTTAAAATGAGTAAAGTTTACACCAAAAAAATTAACAAAAATATCTCACTAACAGACAGACGTAAAAAATTAATTAAGAATTCTTTATTTTAAAATGCCAACATTGAAGACACCTGATGTTAACAAGCAGAATCAGTGAAGGAGAAAAACATAATTTTAAAACAAACCAACAAACACAGATCACCATAATGGTGACTTCAATTTATGTTTTTTGGTGGTTGTTGTAAGTTTTACTCATTTTAAATGGTTAACTTTTAAGGAATTAATTTGATTAGTTATTACTCAATTCTAATTTGTTAAATTTAATTAATATTATTGCTTGTAATCTGTTGCCACAATTTTTTTGATTAGATAAAGCGTATTCATTTTTACAGTGTAGGGCACAACCAGACTCAATTAGTGCCCATATAAGGGCGCCTCTATTTCCATATGTGTTTTGAGTGATATGAACCATTATTTTCACAATTTTCACACAATTTATGAAGTAGAGGTCCTATTCAGAAGTAGTATGGGACGTTTGGCAGATTTTGATATGAATTCAACCTCTAAGAAAAATACAAAGAACACATACGCGTTATTGTTATAGCTTATTGCCACATCTCAATTGGTGAATTTATTATTTTTTCGTAATATTTAAAACATTTTCGGACCTTTTTTTCTAAAATAATTGAATGGATGCAGTCTTTTGAACTCTTGGCATGAAAACAAACTGAGGTTTCTACCTTTTTTTCAATATTTTCCATGTCTGAACACGCTTTGAGGATGAAAATATTCTTGTTGCACAAATTTGATAAAAATTGATAGATTACGGCTCCTGAGTCATTTATTTTGAAAATCAGTCACCAAATATGGAAACTAGACATTGTAAGCTTTCAAATGATATATAGTTTCTCAGTGTTACTTAAGGTCTTTTCTAAGATATTATTGTTTTAAAAATATAATGGCAAGCGTCCCACCTGTAGGACGTGACAGTTAAGGGGTTAAACATTAAAAACACAAAACAACACAATTTTACTCTCTGAGAAAATTGAGAACTAACAATACATTTCAGTTCATTCAGTTAGTTCCAAGACAAATGGATTAAGTAATCATCAATTTTACATTGAGTGGATTGAACACAATGCAATTAAGTTAGGACAAAATGTATAGCAATTCTGTTTCTTCATGATTATCTTTTCTTTTTGTCAGTTCTCATAATTCTCCGCCTAAACCATTTGGACGCAGTACAATTGAAAGAAGTTAGCCTCGGAGACACAGTGGTATTAAAGTGTAACATCTCTTTCTACAATGACATCCACTGGCTGAAGATGAGTGAGGGACGACCGATGGCTCTGATGGTCACAAGTCTAAAACATAATGGAGAACTGTCTGTTGTCTGGAACTATAATGAAAGTCGTTTCGAGGGTTTTATGGAGGAGCAGATGACTGTACTAAGAATTTTCCAAATCTCCACTAGCGACCTTTCCACATACCACTGTGCAACATTATATCAAAAACACTTGGATTTTGACAAAGGAGTGCAACTTTACAGTAAGCGAGTCCATTGGATTTCTTGAGATATATGTGAGCATTATAATTATTAGTGTGCTTTTCCCTGCTCACCTTTTATATGTTGTTTTTAGCAAACCAACAAAGAAAAGAAAAACCCTTTGATAGTGTAAAAGGTAAGAGAAAAAGTGCTGCTTTTCTATACATTTGGAAACAGTCATTTGTAGTCCGTTGTTTTTACATTAAATAAATATAGCATAAAATTGATTTTGTGAGAAAAATTCTTTCCCAGCCCTCAATATATGCTCTTGTTTGACTTACCTTATTTCCTAAAAAACAGATTTGTCCGAAGGTCTTAATGGGCTTCCTCTGCATTACCAAGTGTTTGCAGCAGTGTTGTGTTGTGGCCTACTGGGAATGCTACTGGCGGTTTTTGTGGTGCATATGAAGACAAGAACAAAAAAAAAACTACAACATTGAAAAATAATTCCAAAGCCATGGAATTCCAAAATAATTTCAAAGTGTTTTCATTATTAGTAGTGTTATTATTTGTTTAGTTGGTAAAAAAAATATATATATATATATTTAGTAGATTTTGTTTCTTTCAAAGATTCCATGTCGTAATCTTGTGAAATTATCTTTGTCTGCTTTCACTTGCGACCTTAATGTTCAGGTTGGCCTTAATTCTTAATAAATCAACAACAAAAAAAGGATGTAAGATATTTGGTCTTTATGTCTTCCTTATAACGGTTTCATGCATGTGGTGTTTTCAAGCTTTTTGTGGTTAAAAATTATCCAAAATACATATTTGAGAAAACACATAACCAGCCAGTGTTCAAAACTATCTGCTTGCCTTATCTCGATTCAACGCGGTAAGCTTGTAATAATGTTTTTAATTCCATGTTTAATGTTTTTGGATTTCCGCGGGAGATTTAAGCATGTCTTTGCGTCATTAAGTCACATCGGTGCACATAAAGAAGGAGTCTTAGCTAGTAGGCTATATTGCGTGTGAGGATGTTGGACGTGGAGATAGCCTTTTTACACAGCACTTAAGTTGATCAAATTAAACGTATCAATTTGATGGCGGATCCAGAAAGGTTCAAACGACAATCACCAGTGATTCACCCGCTGTAAAATGCAAAAGACATTGTTCGGACTTCGTAGTGACTACAGAAAAGTAGAGACTGCAACCTGATACGTATCGGAAGTACATTACATGTAGGCCTAGTCACGCAATGCTGACCTTGTTAACATTAGGCTACTAATTTGAGAACAAAGTATAATTTGCACGGTTTTGCGTGATATGATAACTTATAAGCGGTTGTTAGATTTAATTAGCACGATAACGATTTACTCATGTTGTAACACTGCGTTACAATGTGCCCCTATTAGAAATATGCTATTATATTCTATACTTTATAAATTCTATTAAGAAAACAAGAGAAACATGTAAATGAAGACTGAGAGTCAATGTTCATAAATTATTAATTATTATTTTGTTTTGAACTATGCTGTATAGCTGTGTTTCCCAGTGTGTTTGTTAGTATTCTCAAAAATTATTATATTTTTAATTATTAAAAAATGTCATTATTTTAGATGAAAAAGTTAATAATTGTATTTTAATAAGAAAATATTTTGGTTTGACTTATATATATATATATATATATATATATATATATATATTCTAAGCTGTTATATGGTGATGTTACAATGTGCCCCTCACATGTTACAATGTACCCCACCTATGGGGCATGTTGTCACATTTCACTTCCATTCTTTCAGGGCAAATCAAGAAAAAAGTATACACTGTATTAATAAAACAAAACCACAACACATAATTGTACTAGACATGTGGTAAATTAATGTGGGGGGGGAAATCAAATCTCTAAACCCTAAGTAGATTTACACAAATTGACAAAGTCAAAAAGTGTTACGTTGTGCCCCGCTCTCCCCTAGTAGGAGGTAGACTATCCAACCAAGAATTTGGAGCAATGTTTAAATCACCTTCCATAACAACTTTATCTGTCATATGAAAAGCTTTCCACTCTGTCACGTTCCTCTAGCATAATTCTGTTTACTTTGCTATTATATCCGTAAATTGAAAGCACAATATGTTTTTGGTCACAATAGCTGCAATCACCTACGTGATCTCCTATGTGACTAATTACTTTTCCTGTAAACCTAGCATCATAACACCTGCCAAATAATTGGTACCATGAGAATATAAAACATTATTCCCCGCTGTTTCATCAAGATTTTCATCTGCTGTATCCGAATGTGTTTCCTGTAAAAACAAAAAAAATTATAATTTGCTTGAAGTTCTTTACAAAAATAAAAAAGTGTCTTGTGCTTTGTAAGATTTTTCAAACAAACCTCTAACATTTAAAGAAGTAAACAAAACCGACATGGAGCTCTATAACAAATAAAAATAGAGCTTAATGAAAATGCTCTTGAATTAACAAAAGAACAGGAATGAGCAATTCTGTCCAAAGTATGGCTCAACCAAACCTAATGTTGCAGTCAAAAACTTGGGCAATTTAATCATATCAATGAGTATTTTTTCAATGAATCAATGCATTTTTTTAACCAAAATTAGCCCATAATAACAGAAAAACAACAACTTGGAAATATGTGCATCAAGGATGAACCGAAGCAGAATACTAAATCTCCTTGGTATTAAAACCATGGTTAATTTTCGTAAGGGTTCAATCTACTCCAGCACAGCAGGTGGCAGCGCGTGCACCTCTTCAGGTAAAGAAGAAAGCTAACCTTGTTGTTAGCTTATAGCAGTTTAGCCAGAGCCCTCTGGTTTAGCTTAGTTTTTAGCTTTTTAGTTTTAGTTGTTAGTTGTTGTTTCTTTTACTATCTATGGTTGTTAGCTATCCGTGCGAGTTATTTGATTGGTGGGTATTTGTAAAACAAAACTTTTGTTTGGAAAAAAGTAACTTAAAATCGCTATACTAAAGATTCTGTGGTTTGGTTTAACGATCGTTTTCATCACTCTCTGCATTTCACGCAATGAATGCCCACTTCTGACCGATTAAAAGGTCGTGTGATTTCTTTTTACATTCATTGGAATCGAGCCTATAAAATTCGGAACAAGATCTGGAAACCGGGCAGGTGTGCTATTGTTTGAACATTTTCAAGCTTGCATTTGTCATCTGGCAGCTAAACATATTCTGCTGCATTACCAATTGTTTTAACCACTAATAATAGGCCTTTTGAATATTAATGTTTAACTGTGCTTTAAAAAATCAATTAATTAAAGCAAGAATAAATAAAATACATTATATATATATATATATATATATATATATATATATATATATATCTCAAAGCAATCTCAAAGCAACTTTATTTTTATTAACTTTTATATTTACAATTTATATTATATTTTATGTTATACTTTTATACTATTTATTAATAACTATTTATTAGTTATTAAGGTAGATAAATTATATTAATATTTGCTTTCACTAATATAATCTCTGATTTAAAAAGTGAGTTTTAATAATCATAAAAACTTAGGCATGATGTTGAAACAGTGTAAGACACAAATGATTGACTGGAATTGCTTCTCTCAGTTTATCACCCTTTTTGTTGTTAAATAAATTGCATTCTTTTATCTAAATTAAGTCTTATTCTTGTTTTCCCTCTTAAATGCTCCAGTTTAAGAGTCAAACTAGGATGCCATTTTGTCATGTACCAGGCATGAACCCATCAGGGACCCACGGTTACTGTCTTCTATTACTCTTTGGTAAGATGCCAATTTCTATTCTTTTGGGAAATAATATATTGTGATTTCTCTTGTTGATAACTTTTTAATTAAGCAATGTGGTCTTTCCACACATATAGCTGCTTATTGAGCTCTGTTCAACTTTGTTGCATTGCATCATCAATGACTACTATTGCTAATCACTTTGTCATTGCAAAAGCCTGTCACTTCCCACATTATAGTGTTTTAATTAGTTTCTATTTAAACTAGCTTTTTTTGTGTGTGTGATAATGAAACATGCCAATCTAATTTTTTTTCTGTCTTCCCTGCTAGCTTTAGTTGGAATTCTGTGTGAAGAAGCCCCTGATGCAGTGAAAGTTAGGGATACTGCGATTATCCCTTGTAACAAGACATGCAATGGCAAACTTTTATGGGTATTAAAAACTAAAAATGAAAATTTGGATGTCTTGAAATGTGAGCAAGGGACTTGCACAGAAGGAGATGGCTTTAAGAACAGAGTAAGCATCTTTGAAAACTCCGGAAACCCGTCTCTAAAACTGTATCCTGTTCTGTACAATGATGAAGGCTGGTACATGGTCTATTGTGATTCGAAGTTTCTTTGTAAATTTCATCTGGAAGTGTTTGGTAAGTTCTGTCTTCATTAGTTAAGCATGCTGTAAGATAATTTATAAAATTGGACAGTTTACCATCCTAGTTTGCTTGCCACTGCTCAATGTGATATTATGCATTGTTTTGTGTCTTTTTATTGTTTAGTCCCCACTACTGTGAATGCCACAATCAGAAACAACGTCACACTACCCTGCTACGCACGTACAGAGAAACGGATCGCTGATGATGCTGTGAACGTCTTATGGAAAAAAGATGACCAAACTGTGTTACAAGTTCAAAAAGGAATTCCAAAGCATGGTTCAAGTTTTACAGGCAGGGCATCAGTTTCACTACATCATTATAAGGACGGAGATCTATCGCTTACCATATCCTCGGTCACCATGGCAGATAAGGGATTATATCGATGCTATCACAATACAGAAGAGGAACATGGGCATCCTGGTGCTGTCACTCTTAATGTTATAGGTTGTTGAATGTTATTATTTTTTTTCAGTGTTTCTTTTTATACAGAAAAAGAAAGGCTTATTTTACTAAAATGTGATTTATTTTTTTTCTTCAGCTCATCAAAAGGTCTGTGCAAAGAAGTTTGGCGACAATCTCACCCTTGACCTGTTCGGCTCAGACCCTGCGACGGTAACTTTCACTGGTTCCACTGAGACCTGGGTTTGCAATGTGAGTGGAAACCATGCTGAGTGTTCACCTGAATACACTAACAGAGTATCTGTTGTGAATAACTCCCTTGTGCTGGGCATGTTGACAACTTCTGACAGAGGGACGTTTACTGTGAAAGACAAAATGGGTGAAGTCATTAGTATCAACACTGTCACTGTGGAGGGTAAGTTTTAAATCAAGTTTTATATATTAAAAAAAACAGATTTTCAATAAAGAATGTGTTAAGCTTTTTGCATTCTCTTTTCTGTCGTCCACAGGGGTGACCCAGAGACATCACTACGTAGCTCTGTCTGTACTGATTTGGTTTGTTCTCAGTTGCATTTGTCTGTTAATTTGGTGTCATAGAAAGTCACAAGCAAATGCAAATGAGTCTACTGGACTTACAGAGCTGCTCAGAGAGCCTGCATTCATTGGATTTTCACAACAAGAAACAAGCCCAAATATTCCAGAGGAGTCTGAGGTTTCTGAACACACACCTGTAGAGGAGACCATGCCTATGATGGTGACCCCTATGATGGACAAGCAGGACAACACTGAAGAGGAGGAATCTATATAACCTCAGGGTTAAGACTAGGAGAAACTTGGATACTTTAAGGAAAAAGTATAGTTCTTCTGCTAAACTGTGCAATGAGAAAGATGGCATTATTTTTAGGGTACTCTTGGGGTAATTGCATAACTGTGCCATTGAACAATATGAGAAACACAAATAGAAAGGAATTATAGTTTTTAAGCTCAGGAATGCTTAATTCAGGGAAAACATGAACTGCCTTCAAGACATTTGCTGGACCACTGAAATGCCTGGGATCTCATATATATATATATATATATATATATATATATATATATATATATATATATATATATATATAGTATATTCAGTTCTTATATATATATATATATATATATATAGTATATTCAAAAGAACTGTTCTCTACTTGTTTCTTTGTGTAAAACATTTTTAAAGGTATTTAAAAGGTACTAAAAACCATAGAGCACATGTTTTTAGTTTTTCGAAGTAGCTTCCAGTTAGCCACAGAATGTACTTTACAAGTCTATTCCTGATAAGCTTATGTGGCTGACAGACATCTGAAGTCATTACGGTTGAGCCAGACATGCTAGAACTGCACAACTATTATTCTTGCCATGATGGCACTAACTTCCAAATGTCAGATGTGCCTTCACTGCATTACTATGCACTTTTTCTTATTGCGCTTTGATACATTGCACTTTTTCTAATATTCTAAAGCTTTATTTTTTTTTCTATTTAATTGTAAAGTTACTGTAATAGTTTAAGTTAAATGTCTTTGTTATTAATTAACCTTTGTGGCCTGAATTCATGACTGATCATTGGAAAAGAAATTCAAAGTTGTTTTTATAGAATATGACCATGTATTCAACTTTTTTGAACAAAATTTGTAACTTTTTGCAAGGTTTTTTAATACAAGGATTGAACAATCTGATATTATTTCAGTTATGATCTCTTGTGACTTAAGTCCCAACAAATGCACACAAGCTTATAAATGTGTACTTGTTCATGTGTGATATAAAAGTTTCCTACTTAATTTTTTATTGCTACTGTTTCCAACATTATCGAAACTGAAATGAAAACTTGTATAGGTGTTATGACATAAAAATTGAAAATCAAATGATTTTAGATTCTGAAATGTTATAAATAAATTAGATATGATGATGTCATAAATGTTTGACATGTTTTGCATAACTATTTTAGTTAACCTATGGATTACAGCTACAACATGTATACATGAGTAAAAATCCCCATAACAACTTATTACCATATATATATATATATAAGTAGACATTGTTTTAGGTCAAATTACAGGTTTTCAGCTTTTGTGTTCTCATGGTCTATAGGGCTAACATTTGTGTACTACATGACATTGTGAATGATCTAAGACCCAAGACATTCAGACCAGGAGCAATGAGATTATAACACAAACAGTGTTTTCATATAGGTTAAGAGAAAAAACTACAGGTGAGACCACATTTTTGTTTTCTTCTGTCTGTGCAGGTTACAGTGAGTGTGATGTCATGCGACATGTACATCTGTGCACGTTTAGTCACTAAGAACCCCAAATACTTAACTCAAATGACCACAAATACTTCCAGAATCCTGGTGGTGAACTTAAAAATATATGAATAACAAAACCACAACTAATGCTTCCCAATACCCTACTGATAAACACAGCTGGATTAGCGTTGGACTCTAATTGGTTGACCTAGACCATCCAGCTCAATAAAAGACTGGAGGTCTACTGTACATGACAGAGCAAATCACAGGAGTGACAGACAGGTGGGTGCCAGAAGGTTTCTGCTATTAAAAGATGATTTGAATACCAAATTCAGACTGTGTAGTTTTAAAATGTGTTTGATGATATTTTTCAGATTGTAAGATGAAGAACTTTGTTGTCATCTTTATGGTACTGGCCATAATGGCTGATGTGAGTACATTGATTCATTCTTTGGTCATTCATGACTGATCAATTCATCCAAACGTGCTTTAATCTCTGATTCATTTTTCTCTTTTAGATCACCACAGCCAAGGTAAGATCATTCATCTCATCAGGATCATCTTGTGTTAAGTTTGTTAATATTGATGCTTTAAGCTGCGCTATTTTTAGAAGCTGCGTCTGATCAACGGTCTGAATGGTGGTCTGGTTACTGGTGTAAATGGAGTTAACCCTCAACTGGTGGGTGGTGTGAATCCACCCATATTTTCTGGTGGTGCTGCTGTTATAGGACAGCCTCCGTTTACACAAGTAGGAACTGATGATTTACCACTTAAGTGCGTTGTATATCCCACTGGGATAATGTGCAGGTGATCAAACTCTTTCGTATCTGACAGTTTCTGCCTGGAGCCGCTCTTCCTCCATATGTGCTTCAGCAGCCACCCGTGGCCGCAGTTCCCTACGCCCCACCCAACATGGGACCTCAGTTGGCGTATCCTTTTGCTCCCTCTAACGGGGTATTCATTCATGTTCATTCGCAATGTTTATGTGTTACAATATACATTTATTTCCAATCTAATCTGAGATGTTGTGTTTCGACCATGTTCTGATAAACAGGGACTGCCGTATTACATTGGTGGGCCCCAGAATCAACCAGGGTTATTCCCTCCTCAGCAGCAAGTTGCGGTAAACAAATCTTCTAGTTGCTAGTACTATGCTAATGCTAAAAATTCAAAGCATGGACCACAAATTATGTTTCTGTAACTGTAGGCTGGACAAGGCCCTGTTGGAAACAATCAAGCTGCAGGCCCAATACCACCAGGTTCACTGACTAGATTTAAGGTAAGTTTTGTCATGCAATTTCTCCTTCATAGCATCAACCCTCCGTCCATCATCAAGTATTTCCAATTTCAATCCTGAGAAGGAATGATATTAATAAAACATACAGGAGAGAAAAAAAAATCTTTCTCAAAATCCTTGGTTTTTTTTTAGGCACTGGTGGTCTATTTTGTAATTTTAATTATTCCTCTTAGACTTGCAAAGAAAACACCCAAAATGCATATTTAATTGTTTGTTTTACTACACTTTATCTGTTTGTATCTGCTTATTTCAATTACATAATATATTCTGAAGGTATTTATAGTTAATATGTAATTTACCTGATATATATTCATCATTTTACTCCTAAAAACATGGTGATTTTTTTCGATAATTTTTTTTTTGTTGACAGTAATTTCTAATTTGTGATAAAAAGCGATATCCAATACATCAAAATGAAGCATGAATTTTGAACCTGGCTTTTTCCAGTATTCAGATTTCTGTGCTATTATGCAAATGAGCCATTATCTACATAAATATGCAGTCATTTGCATATTTGAACAACATTTCGGAAAAAATTTACTGTGATTAATCAACTGGGAGAAGCATATTGATGATCATTATTTAGATTTGTCAAATAATTTCTTTTCTAAAAGTTCTTGGTACAAAGTCTTCATTGTTTATATGCAGCATTACAAAGTGTACTTCATTGTTTATAATGCTGCATACAAACAACTTCATTGTTTATATGCAGCATTCAACAGGGCAGAATTCCTGTCATCCACCTTTCTAACTGTTAAATGATTCTTCATTTTTCTCAGCGCTCCTTCCTCAGAAGGACCACAAGACCCCCTGTCTCAGTCACCCAGGTATGTTGAAAAAAAAAAATATATATTTTCCATCTGTCTGAAATCTAATGGGTGGTACATTCTAATATAATTCTGACTTTATCATCTGCATACAGATCCCAGATCAGGTCAGCCCAACTGTGTCTGGAAATTTAGGGGAAAGACGTGTTTGAATCGCTGAGGTGTGTTTTACATGCTTTATTAGACATTATCTTTTAATGCACGCTAATCATTACCTTTGCTGAGAAGCTGTTTGTTTCTTTTCACAGATACTTTCAAGATATCTCCTCTTCTTTTCTACATTAAATGTCATTTTCTATTTACAATATTACATAATCATTGCTGATAAGTAAAATGTATTCCTTATTAAGCCATTCTAATTGTCTAACCCTTTGCTTTTTACTGACAAATTATCAGCATGTGTAATAAATGTTTGTACCGAATACTTAATAAAAGTCGTTGTAGCAACTGTGAAAATTTTCTCTTTTGATTTTTACTCTCTTAAAAATATGATTATATAGTTCACGCTGAGTTTATTTGTGTTATATTGCCATCTACTGTTTTCCTGCAGTTATTGTGGGCATTTAAAAGGAAAATAAATAACATCAAACAGTTAATACTAATACTATCATGATGATTATGATCACCATCATCACTGTTTAAAAAAGAAAAGAAAAAGAATTAAATCCAATTGTCTTTGTTTTTGCATTCTCGGTCACTAAATTGTCTCAGTTCTTCACAAAGCAAACATCTCTCCATTAAGGAGGTCTCTGAAAAAAACTAATTTCTGATGTGTGCACTGACTAGACTAAAGAAAACCATAACAATTATTATGGTTCAGACTAAATGGTAAATGGACTGCATTTACCAGACTAAAAGCATGCTGAAATGTGGTTGTTTCAGAAGATATTTTATTACCACAAAATAGCATCAGGACTTATACAAATTGAAAACTCTTCAAAATGTTTTACAGACATAATAAAGACATAAGCTGCTTAGATTTGTTGGTATTTGATCATAATAATAGATTTTGGGGTCAGTATCAACAACTTGCAGTACACACAGACACACACACACACACACACACATATATATATATGCATATATGCATTATATATACATATATGTAAAAATGGGTTCAGTAAGATTTTGTTTTTAATGTGCTTTGATTTGGCATGGATGCATAAAATGGATCAAAAATACAGTGAAGACTTTAAATAAATTATTTTCTTTTGAACTTTCTAGTCATCAAAAAAAAAAAAAACTCGAAAAAACCCATCCATGGCTTCCACAAAATATTAAGTGGCACAACTGTTTTCAACATTAATAATAAGAATTTATGCATTGTTTGAGGTAGCCTACTTATATGCACAGGTAGGTAGATACCTTTTGAAAGGGTACTGTTCCAGTGACAGCTTTTTGTACCTTTTTTTCTGAGAGTGTAGCGCAATGTTACTTTGTTTTCCCATTTATTGACTGACAGCTCTCCTGTCCCCATGTTGGGAAATCGTGAGTAAGATGCACGAGAAGGTGTTGTGTGTACTGTGTGTGAACATGGTGTTTATTGTAGTTTTAGAATAAATGCGAACAGGCATGATTCAGACACAAAACAGATTCAGTATAGCCTACCTCAAAATATACAAAAAGTGAAATGCAAACCAAGGCTATTACCCAAACCTTCAATAATTATTTATATTAAATTACTCAAATATACTTTATATTTAATCTCACTTCATTAATCAACATCTTTGCTGCTGACCTTCGATGATCCAATTCAACCATCGATAAAAAAAATGACTTTAGATAAACATCACATTTTGTGTTTTGTAAAATCAACAATATTTGTGTTTTGTTTGTGTGGACTGCGCCCTCTACTGTTCATGTGTGAATTTGCATTTTCTTCTGCCCCAATTTCCCCAAAGCTATTTATTTCACTTTTAGTGTTAAAAGGCCTTCGCATTTGCCAAAAATATAACTTTTTTTTGTTATAACCCCCCCCCCCCAAAAAAAAAGCCCAGATGTGAAAAGTAACGCAAAAGTAATGATACATTACTTTCCATAGTAAGTAACGCAATAAGTTATCTTTTAGAGTATCGATTATTGCAAAACTGTAGCACATTAATTTTAAAAGCAACTTTCCCCAACACTGAATTTATTTATGTATACGTAGGCTATATAGGCCTATGTATGTATTAATCCATTTCTGCATATTAGAATGATTTCTGAATAATCACGTGACATGGCTATCACAAAAATTATTCCCATTTTAAAGTAGAAATTTGTTAAATATTAAAACTAGAATGTTGCCAGTTTACTGTAATGTTAATCACATAAATACAGCTTTGGTGAGCATGAGACTTTCAAAAATATAATCAACCCCAAACTTTTGAACGATCAGATAGGCTATCCTATATCAGCTTTATTATTTCCTTAGGCTACACATTTGTGTGTGTGTGTGTGTAAAAAAAAAAAAAAAGACTGTGAATTAGAGTTACATACTTAAAAATCTGGTGACTAAATTCAAAATAGAATGTAGTCTAAAAAAGATACTAAATAAATATTGTTTTGGGATATTCGTTGATTGTATTATAACGCCATCTACTGGACACTTAGGTTGCTGCGCACTTTATAAAGGAAAAAGGTCACTAACATTTCAGTCTGGTTCTTCTGTCTGGAATACTCAGCCCCTAAAACATGTAATTAGGGAGTGGTGATGACCACACTAATTGCTATAATTATTGTTTTGAAGAGAATGATTTAATCTGTTTATCTTGCTTTCTCAGTCAGAAACATAATTGGTCTCCTTACCTCAGTGCAAACAGCTCTTCATTCTGCCTGCTTATTAGTCTGTGAATCTGACAACACTCAGTCCTGGTCTTGGGCCTTTGTTTGATATGTTAAGCATTAAATGTATTTAATGACTTACTAAAATGATAGACTTCTTATTTCATCAAAACATACTGTACTACTAACAGACATATTCTCACCCAGACAATTGATGAAAACAATTAGCAGTGTGTGTTTGACCATTGACCATAATGATATGTATATATATATATGACGTGTTATAGACAAATTGAGAAACATGACACACTGCATGTGTCACAAATACAGCAACCTGATATTATAAGAGGGCAAGAACCACTTTAAAAGCAAACGGGTGATAAGACGATAATAGTTTGCACTTCTGCTCTGCCATGAATGTACTTTTATTTTCTATAATATTGTGTATTTACTGACTGTTTTATCAGAAGTATGTAACATTTTATCTCTGTGTCCCTGTTTTCTTCTGTATTTGTTCATTGTTATTGATTTTTCATCCACAGCTTACCAAGATGAAGTTTCAGGCCATCTTTTCCATGGCTGGTCTTCTCAGCATTTGCACTTGTGCCCCTGTAAGTGTACATTTATCAATAATAAAATAAATAAATAAATGAATGTTTTCAGTTTGAACCTAAAGCAACAAAACGGTTTGTATTTCACAGATCTACCAGCCACAAATTGGAATAATTGCAAGTAACAGTAATGAGGTATGTATCTTATGTATATTTTTTTTGTATAAATTATTTATAAAATGTTACATATTAAATTACACTTTAAAAAGTTTAGAGTCGGTAAGATTTTTGAAAGTTTCTTCAACTCACCAAGGCTGCATTTACTTGATCAAAACACAGTACAAAACTGTAATATTGTAAAATATTGCACTGTAAAAAAATATTGTTGGTTTAACTTAAAAAATTAAGTAACCTGGTTGCCTTAAAATTTTAAGTTGATTGAACAATGAAGGAGATTGATTTAATCATCAGAAACTCAAAATAATAAGTTATCTGAACTAATATATATATATATATATTATGAAGCTGACTGATCCCAAACTTTTGAACAAGAGTGTGTTGGTTACACTTTATTTTAAAGTGACGTTGTTACAGTGTAATTGCAAATATAAGTACTGCATAACATTATTTATCTAGGCTACATATACTTACTATAAGTTTAATAGGGTCGGCTTTGGTTTAGGTTTAGTTGCTTGTAATTATGTATAATTTACTGTTACTATTACATTTACTGTATGAAACGTGTAAGTACGTCACCTTAAAATAAAGTTTTCTCTGCATTTTTGTTTTCTGTCACGATTAATTATTAATCGTTGCTTCCTTGTAGGTTTTGCGTATCAATGGACTCACTCTGGCAAGTTTGGGTTTGGGTCAAGCCCAGGTAATTAGCGTTCAGTCTAAGCAAAGTATTTTTAACTAGTAGATTTGTTTTTTGGGAAACACCTGTAAGTTTATTCTAAATGATAGTGCTCATAAGGAGCTCATTTGAATCTGAACGGAATCCTCTAGCTCTTTGTTTTCATTCTCTTTAGGGTACTCCATTTTTCTCCCCCTACCTGATCCAGCAGCAGCCCCCACAGGTGCTGAACTTTAACCCTGCGATGCAAGGATTCTTTCCCCCTCAAATAAACCCACTGAACCCAGCACAGTTGCCTCCGTTGCAGCAGGAGCAGCCTATACCTGGCTTCGGTCCCAACAACGGCATACCAGCACAGAACCCTCCTCCGGTACTGACGGACTTCAGAGGAACATCACACACGCTAACTTTTACTGAACATAGATGTTGATTTAACTTGTTTATGTAGGCCTAACTTATTATCACATTTGTTTTTGGAGAGTAAGTCAAATTTTGTTTTTAGGGCTTTCCATTCTTCCTGACGAATCTATATCCTCTGAGAAACACCCCTGTAAGGCTGATACCCAACCAGAACGCTGGGCCAAATATTCAAGGCCAGGCTACGATGCAACCAGTGCAACCAATGCAACCAGTGCAACCAATTCGACCAATACAGGTATTGCAAAGACTTTTCCTCCTCCTTTTTAATTGATAATTTAAACTGAAAAAAAGAATAAATTAACTATATTTTCCCCAAAGAAATCACATAACATGTTTGTTTTGTTTGACATACCCCCCATTTATCTAATGTAATCTCACATTACATTAACTTTCATTACTCTAATGTAAATCCCAAGGGCCTTTTATTTTTGTTTTCTTCTCAGAAAATCTTAAAGACAAATTTTCACATGTTTCAGAACAGGGTGAAGGCAGTAGACCCGATGGTAACGTCTGCTCCTGATTACCGTGGTGATCGGCCCGGTCCTGGAACTGTAGAGGTAATGCAAGAGTATAAACTTGCATCTTTTTTTCACTAGTTTTCTTTGCTGTTATTGACCAAACACGACAAAAACATGGCTGTGTAGAATAATTTGTAGACACATTAGTTTGTTTATTAACCATTCCTGTCTCTGACAGGGGCATCCTGGCTTCCCACTTTTTGAGCCATAAGCTCAGAAGACTTCATTAATAAATAGGTATTCAAAAGTTTTATAATGGGATATCATACCTGTGAATTTATCAGAATGTAATTTTTTTGTTTGGTTTTCTAGATATCCCACCATGGAGATCCCTCACAGGAGACATTTTTGTTCAATTGAAATATCCAAATGTTTCTAAATAAATAAATGATGCTCTGTTTATTTTGCCTGTAATGTTTTTTTTTTTTTTTTTGTACTCCTGTTTAAACCTGGTGCTTAGGCCTAATAACAATCAAGAAGAAAGTTAGTCATTCACTTCATAGTGACAAAATTATAGCAGTGTGTTTATTTTAAAGTGTCCATGTTACAGTGTAATCATACATTTTATATATAGGGTTACAATATAGGGTTAGGGTTAGGATTAGGTTGTGGTTTAGATAAGCACAATTTATTGTCTTTACTAATATGTAAGTGTACTGTAAAATAAAGTGTTACCCAGTCTTTATTAAATCAGAAAAACTCAGGAGATCACAGGATGAACCAATTATACAACCTCGTAAAATTATAATGATACCGGACAAAGGAACTATGGAAACAAGTGGCTTAAACACATGAGGGGTGTAATCAATTTAAAACGGAACAGGTGAGGGAAAAAATGAACCAAATAATTAACCAGGGAACGCAGACAGGCAAACAGGGAAACCAAAACACCATGAAAACAGAACACACACGTTACGTTGCTGATACAAGTTTTAATGAACAGATTCTCAAAGTGATTAAAGAAGAAAATCCAGCAAACTAAGAGTGAACAACCACCAAGAGACATTACAATAATACCAAAAATCTATTTAATTCTACGCCTAGCTGGATGTCCACCTGTGGAAAAAGAAAAATGTTATATTTAAAGCCAAAATTACTTTTTTTAATCAAATTAATTTTATTTATTGTAGGTACATCAATCTGTCCTACATTGTGATTGGGTCCTGTCCTATTTTGTCCCATGATCACTTTCAGACTCCGCCTGGAGAATCAAAGTAAAAGGCAATGTTATATAAATCAACAAAACAAACCAATATAAAATGTCTACTCAAATAATTTAAATCCATTCAAATACTGACCTTCATGAATGCAGGGAGCTGCAAAGACAACCAGGGCATTTAAAAGATCAAGAACCATGCATTTGATACAAGAAAGAGAATGCTTTTAGCTGGAAAAATGATTCTGACAGGTATTTATAATGTATAAATTAATGTTGTAATATACAGTATGTTCCTGATTACTTACAAGCTGTGTAATGCCATATTCAAACGAGATTCTTTGCTGTGGGGAACACATTTACAATAAAATTTTATATTTAAAACAAAACAAAACAACAACAACAACATCATTTAGTCTCCAAGATATGCAATGCGATTATTGTTTGCGACTGACCGTTGCAGTTGGGTTGTAGATGAGCTTCACATAAGGCTGTTAGATAGAAACAGTTTGATTTGAGAACTTGTGCATTTAAATGTACTTTTACTCATATTTTAGATTTATTTATTTGATATATTCTCCTTATAAAGCCTATTATAAACTTTAGTGGATGTTTATTACCTGAGGGCCATAGGAGGAGAAACCATGACCAAACTAAAAGACAATAATGCAATTATTTATTACACAACAAAGAAATCACATTGAACTTATTGCTCAATAATAATACAAAAATTGTATAGGCTAAACAACAACAACGACAACAACTTTACCCCCAGTTCCTGAGGTCTTCTCACTCCGTCCTGTAATTTAGTCAGAAATGGTATGCATTATTTTAACATGAAACATATTGTACTATAAATTAAATCTACAATTGATTACCTTTTTTGGTGGCTGCATCTGCCCTCTACCCTGGAAATAAGAATGTTTTTGATGTGAATATCATTCTTTTTCATTAATTTTAGCCCATTAAAATGATATCTCTCACTATCTGTTCAGTACCCCAAATTCAACAAAGTATGAAATAAAAACATATTGTGAATGGAAAATGAATGGCAGTTTATTATTTTTACATGTCAGTTCCAATCACTCACTTTTGGTAAGAGGAAGACATTCTCTCCCTGGAAACAAATGCAAACATGAATTCGGATTGTATCTATTTTATTGCGTTTTCATATCTTGAAATACGTAAGTTTGGTTGAAAATGTCAATTTCCCCTTTTTAGTGGCATTACCTCCTTTAGATGGAAAGCACTAACATTCTGTTGAAGGGGAGAACATATTATTTTTTTTATTTATGCATTTTGATATATTCAGAAAGTTATTTGATTGCAACATTTTAAAGTACAAAAGCGTTTCACTCACCTGCACAGTGACATTGTCAGCCTATTCATCCAAGTGGATTAAAAAAAAAATATATTAAACACAAATTAGAGACTATAAATGCATTTCCATTCAATGTCTGTGGGTAAGTAATCATATTACCTTGAAGATTGGAATGAACTGCCGATTGTCCTAGAACATTTATGAAAGTGAACTCATAAATCCATACACATTCATTAACAACTAAACATAAATCTGTTTAATCCATGGATAAATTTGAAGAGCACATAAACATAAGCAGTATGAGCCTACCATCATGTTGGGACTCAGGGATCTTCCAAAGAGTGGATTCATTTGATTCTCTCTACCTCCACCAACTGGAGCTTGAGTTGGCTGAAGGGTTTTTTACAACATTAACAATTCATTTTTGTATTTCATTTAAGTTCTATTATTCCACATTATTAAAAATATTTAATTCAATCCCATTTGCTACAGGATGAGGGTGAATATGGCAAATATTTCAACTGATTCATCTGAAATCAACTGATTTCAGACAGGTTTCTGCTAACTAAAATCATTATTTTGATACAAAGTGACAATAGAACTAAATCTGAAGTCTAACTTACTTTGTAAGATGGTCTACCATCTCTTCCATTCATCAGTGGTTTTCCGGTTCCTCCCCATCTATGCCATTGTCCGCTCCTCTGTGTTCCCTTGGTCAAACCGGACCCTGATCTAGTCAACTCAGACTCATAACCCTATACAGCAGAAGATAAAAACAATGCTTATTGTACTGCATAATGATTGCAAAATGTGCAAAAAATATTGAAAATGTTGCCCACCCTGCCTCCTCCATTTTGACCAGGGAAGGCTGGATCTTGTCCAAATGGAGATCCATTAGATGGATTTTGTGCCTGTTGCTCAGGTTCATTTGGATTCAATGTGCCCATCGGATCTGGCTATAAATAAAGTGTCAGTTGACATTTTAACGTTCAACCTGAATGATTTTAGTCATGCACAATTTGAATCTAAATTACTACAAAAACATGCAAAAGCTGGACATCCAAAATTCTGCTTCCATCTTGGTCTGTTTTAAGTTCTGCCCACTGGCTGAGGCACTTTTCCTCCTCCATTTACTGGCCCTGGAAAATCTGTTTCTCCATTCACTGAGTACACTTGATCCCAGCAGGCAGCAGTCTCTCTCACTGGCCTGAAAACAACCCAATAACTACACCATACTAATATATCCACCTCATTTTGCAATGTGGAACAAACTATTTTCAGTTCGACTTACGTTTCATTGGACGGCCGCTATAGGGAAATAACTAGTATAGCTAACAAAGTAAACGGTAAAACTATTTGCATTACAAGCGTGTTTATAACTACAACAATACAGAGAAATATACAGTAACAAAGTATGCAATCTTGCTACATTACTGAGGTAGAAAAGGAGGCTTTAATTAACAGTGTTCTGTACAAAATAATCGAATGTAAGACTGGCTTCAAAAATAACTCCAAGGTTCCTCATTTTACTTTGAGTCTCCAAAACAGCGCCACCAACAGACAGATTCAGTAAACCAGCTTTAAAAATTTGATTGCGGGAATCAATAAGCATAACTTAGATTTTAACACTATACGGGCAGAGGAAATTACTTTTTCATCCATGTTTTTAACTCAGAAATGTGTAGAAAACAGACATCAAGGTTTTTACCTTGAGTATACTCAGCATAGAAGTGATAAAAGGATAAAAGTGATCGTATAACAGATGCCCAAATTATTGAACAATAAAGGGCCTAAAACTAAGCCCTGTGGAACACCAGCAAGTACAGAGCTAATCTCAGGCCTGTAACTATAAATGAACTGGGAACGGTCAATAAAATAGTATATAAACCAGTTTAAAGCTGTCCCTGACACACCAAAAACTCTTTCAAGGTGGGTAAGTAAAAGACTATGATCCACAGTGTTGAAAGCGGCTATAAAAATCATAGCAGTTTCAATAGTGTGAAATTTACGAAAATCACACTGAAGAGGTTCAAAGAGGTTATTAATTGTAAGATCGTTACACAAATGAGACGCAACAACGCGCAAGTATTTTTGCACAAAATGTAATATTTGAGATGGGACGAAATTTGGTAAAATCACCCAGCCTTTTCTCTCTCTCTCTCTCTTTTTTTTGGCATGCACAATTTACAAAAGCAATCTTTAATGCTCCTGGAACAACCCCAGTCTGCAATGAGTCATATAATACTGAGGATAGCAGGGCACAAAACATCGAAGCAATATTTAAATAAGCTCATGAAAATAGGATCAAATACGCAAGTGGTAGATGTCATGCCAGCATGCCAGATACCTCCCATTGGTGAGACTCAGAATCAAGCTTTGAGAAATGAGAGAGACAAATACCAGCTAACCCAAATGGTCAAGCAGCATAATGAGCTGTTTTGCAAGCAGTTAAAAATAACTAGAATCCAGACACATTCAATTTACAAATGACCACGCTACATTAAAAATAAGGTGAATACCCAAGATAAACACAGAAAATAAAACACATGTTGCTACTCACCCGAGCTGCCACCACAACACATGACAATACCAGAAACCACATTGCTTCTGTGAAATAATAATATGTACAATTTTCAGAATGAAATGCAATTTGACTGACTTTAATAGTAACTGATCTCAATGTCGCACTAAAGAGGTTCTCAACGTTTGTCCCTGTTTCCAGCTCTGTCACATTGGTCTTGCTTCTGTCTTTTTAAAGACCAGTTGTTGAGCAATTGTCACTGTTGTTGTGGCACATTTGACCAAGGACTTATCAATTGTTAGAGAAATTGTTAGTTTCAACAACACCAACAAAACAATTCCTAATACAAAACTGATGTCATTTAAGGTGGTTGAAATATAGCAGGCCTTTTACAGTACAGTAACCATTTTATTTCATAACCATTACAAAGTTTTGGCTTCAAAGAGGTATTGCAATAGTGTCATGTGTAGGAGGGATTTTACTGATTGCTAAACTAATTTGTTGCCTTAAGCCCATCTAATGTTTTAGGATTGACCCATCTAGTGCATTTCAAGAGCAGAGAGGGTGAGGTGTTTGTTAGGAATCAACAAAACAGAGGGGTGTGTTCTATTACTGTATTTAAATCCTCAGGCATCAGCGCAAAATATTATTCTTCCTAAACATATTATTGCTGTTGCTTTGGAGAATTAGTCTTTGACAGAAACATGAAGACAGTAATCTTATTTGCATGCCTTCTTGGTCTGATCTTGGCTTTCCAGGTATGTTTCAAAACTTTTGCAGTTATAGTTGCATGTGTAAATAATGATATTAATGATTATTTTTATTATTACTGTGATTAGGCTGAAGATCACCAGCGCGTGGCTCGGTCATTATCAAGATCGGATTCCGATGAGGTTTGTCAATACATGTAACTCAAATTTAAAAACGTAAAGTTGAACAAAAACTATATGTCAGCAAGTTGTTTTATTTGCTCGTATGATTTTATCTGTCATAATTTATCTTATCAGATTGCTTCCACCATCTTTCTGCCTCAAATGACCTTTGACCAGTTTCTTCAGCTGCTGATGGCCCTTTCCTCTAGAAACGTCCCAGCTCCAGCCCCGACCCCTACCTCAACCCCGGTGCCAACCCTTGCACCAATCACAGCATGTCAAGACTCCTAAATTCTGACTTCTCCTTTGTTGTGAGCAGTTATAATTTTGATTTTAAATTATCTAAATAATGATTAGAATAACTCTTTATCATATAGCCTATAGAAACAGCAAAGAAATAAAATAGCAGGAGAAAATCAACCCTCTCTTTACACTCTTGAACATTAGAATGTTTACAGTTAAATGTGAGCGAAATGTCCATGTCTTCTGTAATTTTTTTTGTTGTTCTCTGTGTATTTCTGCAGATTGTTATCATTAAAACTAGTTTGCTTTTATATATTTTGCTGCCTGTGTGTGATTCACTATTCACTATTCTGCATGTTAATTCAATTACTGTTTTTTTTTCAAAATGCTTAGCCACACACAATTTTGGAAAATATGGCTCAGTTTCTTGACTTGACACACAAAATCACAAAACAAGCACACAACATGCAAAACATCAGACATCTCAGACACATCAGTCAAAACCATTATGTTTTTGCGTAGTAACAAACATTGAAAAATGATTAGCCACATAAACACCAAACTACACACAGGGAAAACGCTCGGAAATTCACTGCAACAACATACAAAACTTCGCAGTGAGTGAATGTGTGAACCGAGACTAACAGGGTACACAGTTGGGAGACACAGTTGAATGCAAGTTGAGTCCGGGCAGTGAGTTATGGGAAATGTAGTTTGTGAGGGAGAGATAATAGTGATAATCACGTGACGTGAACAGTCTCTGGCTCGGTGGCCGGGACGGTAACAGTCTCTGGCTCCACAGCCGGGACGGTAACGCTCTCTGGCTCAGCGGCCGGGATGGTAACAGTCTCTGGCTCAGCGGCCGGGATGGTAACAGTCTCTGTCTCGGCAGCCGGGACGGTAACAACAGTCTCGCTCAGCGGAGGTGACGTGAAAAGTCTCTGGCTCAGCGGACGGGAAGGCAAGAGTCTCAAATGTGTATTAGAGTTTTTTAATAACAAAGTTATCCTTCATTCTAAATATATTCTAATGGAAATTTACTAATTCCAATTGACATTGGATAATTAGAATGTCACAGTCACAGATATGATGAATGTAATAATTTACAATTCAGCCCAGGTGTGCCTAAATCTTTTTGTTTTGTTTGTGTTGCATAAACTCAGTTTATGTATGTTTAAAATTAAGAGAAGAGACAACGACTAATTTCCTTATTTCCCAATTAATTGTTGAGTAAAGTGTTACTTACTAAATATTGAGTATTACATTTTTCAAACATGTTTGTTACTAAGGATGTTACTTCTGCTGATTGGCTCCTCCTTCCTGCCTCAACTGAACTTAGACCAGCTTTTTGATGATGGACTCGATGAAAAAGTATATAATACTACAAATTCCAAATTCAATTCCAGATTATGAAAACCTTGACAGATGTCATAGACATTTATAATTCAATAAAGAATCCCAGTCCAGCCCTAAGGTGCGCCTTAATCTTTTGTTTTGTTTATGTGTTGCATAAATCTGGTGTGTTTACAATTATATACCATAGAAAAGAGACAACATGTGAATCATTTCCCAATTGTTGAGTAAAGTTCAACTTGCTAAATACTAAAGTTTTTCAAACATGTCACTATATGTTACTTCTGCTGATAGGCCAGTTGCATGTCTATAATGTATATTTGACATTTTTATTAAAGAGGAATAGCCCCTTGAGATGAGCCATCTCGTTTTCGAGGGGGTCCTCAATATATATATATATAGCATTTATCACTGCTGTTTTGATGTCATACCTGAAACAGAGAAGTCTCATCTGTCATAAAGGTAAGAACCAATCTTTGAATCAACAGCATTTATATTTATATTTGGGCATTTAGGAGACATTCTTATCCACTGCGATTTACACATGATAAATATTTCTCTATTAGATCCGAGCAGCTCTTCTTGAGAACCATTAAGTCTTTCCTCCTTGTTGCGTGTGTCTTTAGACTCTGCTGTGCTGTGCTAATGAGTATCATTGTCTTGCTTTATCATAAACTTTATCATATTTTCTGATGTGCATGTAATATTCTATTCCTTTTTTAACCACCACACTGTTGTGTTAGATAATGTACAACACTGGAAATGTGATGAAGATGCAAAATGACAATGTGCACGTGGCTGTGGTCACAAGATAAAATGATCTAAATACTGTTTGTTTTCTCACACAAATCGCTTGGTTTATGTCTTAGGCCATCAATGTGTACCTACATTTACGAGTCATCAAATCATGTTTAATTTGGACTTCTCTGTGCATGCTCTCTGAGGTGGACCCCATAGGTCTCCATTATATGACTGACAGACAAGAACGGTTTGACCTAAAAACATCAAAATTGAAAATACATTGGAAACAAAGACACCTACATCTTGGATGCCCTTGAGGTAAGCAAAAACATATTAAAAATAAATTTCAAAGTGAACTATCCCTTTAAAATGTTTTGTTTCTGAACGAATCAGACTCACTCACAAAGACAACGACTATTGTCTGCGAGGAACGAACAAAGCCCCAGGAAAGTCACAGTCAGTACTTGGAACACTGCTTGAATAAGATTTGACGACTAACTGTTGAATAATTGTAAATGTTTTTGATACCTTTGGCTGCTGTCATGTATGGTAAAACTCATAAACACACTAAATAGGAAGAATAACACAAACACAAATATGATTCAATGATGAAGTTTATTTTATTGTATTTATTTTTCAACATAGCGAGAGCAAGAGGCAGGCATTATAATGTGCATTCACAGTCAATCAGACACATTTCTTAGTTTGATTGAACTGGTTGCTTATCTCCCACCGGGAGCTGGAGCTGGGGCCGGTGCAGGGGCTGGGGCCGGTGCGGGGGCCGGAGCCGGTGCTGGTGCGGGGGCCGGGGCCGGTGCAGGAGCAGATGCCAGCTGTGCTAAGATGAATGGCAAGAGGCTGAGGAGGGCATTGTTGTTTGGAAGCTGAGGCTGAGGCTGAGGCAGAGGCAGGTTAGGGGGGAAGAATGGGTAGGGATAAGGACGCTGAAATTGGAACGGGTTAAAGAAGCCTCCAGGTAGTCTCTGTAGTAATATCGGAAGAACAGGGTAAGATTTACATTGAAAAAGAGTCATCACTCAAAAGATTTTCTAAATGAAGAAAGAAATATGTATATCAAACATAATCAGAGGGCACTTTTATGATTTCTTTACATAAATGTTTTTGCATGGCTCAGGGTAATTTTTTGATTTTGTGCAAGAGTTTTTGATTTCAAACTGACCTCTGAGGAATGGCTTGATGAGCGCTTCTCTCGATGTTCTTCATCCTCTGCCTGGAAAAAAATAGAATAATCAATAAAAAAGATTTGTGGGGTTGAAACAAAATTGAAAATTGAATGCGCATCAACAAATATGAATTTGATCAACAAGACAATGATACTCACTAGCACGGCACAGCAGATTCCAAAGACACACGCAACAAGGAGGAAAGACTTCATGGTTCTCAAGTAGAGCTGCTCGGATCTAATAGAGAAATATTCATTATGTGTAAATCGCAGAGGATAGGAATGTCTCCTAAATGCCCAAATATAAATGTAAATGCCGTTGATTCAAAGATTGCTTCTTACCTTTATGACAGATGTATGAGAAATTTCTCTGTTTCAGGTGTGACATCAAAACAGCAGTGATAAATGCTATATATATATACATTATCAACATGCATCTGGCCAATCAGCAGAAGTAACATATAGTGACATGTTTGAAAAACTGTAGTATTTAGCAACTTGGAGTTTACTCAACAATTGGGAAATGATTCACATGTTGTCTCTTTTCTATGGTATATAGCCTAACTGTAAACACACACCGGATTTATGCAACACATAAACAAAACAAAAGATTAAGGCACACCTTATAGGGCTGAATGTGACTGGGATTCTTTATTGAATTATAACTGTCTATAACATCTGTCAATGTTTTCATAAATCTGGAATTGAATTTGGAATTTGTAGTATTATATACTTTTTCATCGAGTCCATCATCAAAAAGCTCTGTTTAGGCAAAAAACAACAACATAATGATATAGTTTGTGCTACATTTTACATGATATAATTTAAATTTTCATTGCATTTTATAATGTATTAAACCAACTGCAATTCATTGGACATTATGTGAATCCAAAAGTTCAACTTTGAATTGTAGCCATGAGCTCTTAAAAAAAAGCTTTTTGCATTGATGCTGATGCTTTTATCCAAATTGATCTTTACGTTTGATTTAAAACTGGCATATGACATTTATTTATTGATTTAGTAAACTTAGTTCAGTTTTTACAGTAAATGGCTGGGTTAGGCGGTGTATAAACATTTCTTCAAATCTAAATCAATATGACATAGCTATCAATGGGATTTTGTTACTTAGTACCAATAAATCAGTCTTAAATACTTGACTGTTAAGTGATCTATTTTTTGTATAAAGGAAAATGTCTTTGGGATAGAGAGATTATCAGAGATGAGCAAATCCTCTAGAGCAATATACGTTTTTAAGATGCTCCTATGTCACAATTGCATAAATTGACTGTAAGCTTTTGGGAGTTTGTGGGATTTCAAGGATTACGACATGAGTAAATATTGTAATATCCTTATGGATTAAGGTTTGTGTGCACAATTAGTAAAAAATGTTAAATGCATGTGTGCTAAAACTCTGAGTGCATTAGCTGGACTGGGATAAATCTCAGTGTTTCACATTTCTTTCAGGACTTCAAGAAGAGTCAGTAAGTAGAGTCAGAAGAGTCATTGAATGACAGTAAGTACAATTGATAAATTATCTCTCTTTCTCTCTCTTTTTTTACTTTAATTGAGTCAAAGTTATTTTCATCAACTTTATTGAAGTATAGGGAAGACCGGGGCAAGTTGTCACGTTTGTTTTTAAGTTTTTTTTTTGTTTTTTGTTTTTTTAAATCTGTACAAAATATTTTACGTTAAACAGCAAGTTATTAAACATTTTCAAAGACATGCATCCACCATTAAATAGGGTTTTTAGCTAAATTAAACCATTATGAAACTTTTTGAAGGAAAAAAGTACAAATAACTAGCAAATGTTGTTGTAAATTGTATGCATTTTTTAACATTTAAAACACATTTGACAACTCTTATAATATGGCACGTGACAACTTGCCCCGACCTTGATATGAAATTGAAAAATACTTTTTTTTAATACTTTATAAACTATATAATGTATAAATTATATAGATATATAGTATATGTTCATTATATAATTTTGAGAATTAAATATTTTTTTAAACATTGTGAGAAAAGGATTCTCTGAGTGAACCTCCTCTCATCTACTCATGAGTGACTCTGTGTGGTTAACTATGGTACTTGCGTGTAAAATTAGTTGCACTCATTCCATTTTGTTCATTTATTTAGCTAGTATATTTACATTTATTACATGTATCTGTCCTAGTTCAAATGCTTTCTCTATTTAACATCAGTTGTACTAAATTGCTATCATTACTGAGATAACTACAATTTCAGATCTGTTAGGAATTTCTTTTCTAAATAAGGTAAAAAAAAAAAAAAACGTGCCATCCCAAAATGAAGAGTCTCATATTATTGACTGTCCTGTGGCTCATTTCCTCTGGAGCTGTAAGTAAATTTTGTTTTTGAATGATGTTTTTACTCTCTTTATGTCACATATTATTGTGCTATGATGTAACTGAGCAGCCTGGGTATTTTAAGCCTTTAGACCTAAAACAACATTCAAGATAATGCATGAAATAACAATTATTACAATACCATGAACTCATGTGATATAAAAATTTCTCCCAGCTTTGCCAGCGTTTTAAGCCATGGAGCTCCTCTGGCAGTGATGAGGTAAACTCCCAATGTTCCCAGTTATAAGAAGTATGTCATTTTCTCCTGAAGCTGAACAAAAGGCCTATGCAAATGATTTATGTGACTTTTTAAAATGTCTTTGCTCTAGAGGATCTATTGGCCCTATTTTCCTGGAGGTCAATATTATCATGTGAGGCCGGTTCGACCCGGACTTCTGTTCCCACTGTGGTCATTTCAGTGGCCCCCGCTGCTGCCTCGTCCAGCCCCTGCCCCGGCCCCGGCCCCTGCACCAGCCCCAGCGCCAGCACCCACACCCAGTCCCCCAGTCATCCCCACCAATCGTGGAGATGGTTGAAAGTAGAGCAGGGGTTGTTTTGTAAAGTACCCTTGACATTTCAGTAATGCTTTCAATAAATTTAGTGAATCTGTTCATTCAAATGTTATTTGGTTGTTATTTAGACAGTAAAATAAAACAATTTCCCCACATTTTAAAATGATACATTTAAAGCACTAGTTCACTTTAAAAAAAACTTCAGTTGAAAAGAAATTAAGGTTTTTGATGAAAATATTTCAGGATTTTCTCCATATAATGGACTTCAATGGGAACCAAATGGTTCAAGGTCCAAATGAGAGTTTCAGTGCAGCTTCAAAGGGCTTTAAACAACACCAGACGATGATTAAGGGTCTTATCTAGGACCCTTCAAGTCATGACTCGAAAAAAGATTAGTTCATTTTGATGAACGAATTTGAACAGGAGAGTCACAAATGCGCATCACAGAACAGAGCAAGGTGGACATTTAAGCTCATAAAACATAAACATTTTTATCTATTTTTGAAATTAGCGATCGTTTCGCTTGATAAGACCCTTATTCATCGTCTGGTGTCGTTTAAAGCCCTTTGAAGCTGCACTGAAACTCTCATTTGGACCTTGAACCGTTTGGTTCCCATTGAAGTCCATTATATGGAGAAAATCCTGGAATGTTTTCATCAAAAACCTTAATTTCTTTTCGACCGAAGAAAGAAGGACATGGACATCTTGGATGACACGGGGGTGAGTAAATTATCAGCAAAAGTTTTTTTTTTTTTTTTTTTTTTTTAAAGTGAACTACTCCTTTAACATTGGTTGGTAAACCCTACTTAGAAATTTATGTTCTGTGAAGTTATCATCAAAATCCTCAAGCTTGAGTTGAAAATCCTCTACCAGCCCCTCATAGCGGGCGTAATTATGTACTTTAATATTAAAGGGGCACACAAACTTTTGAATCATACTATACAGAGTATGTTCTTGTACATCATATTTCGGATCATTGTAGTCAATCGAGTTTTAAATATCCAACAACTTGCTGCCCAAGCTTGGTGACCAAATGCTAATATTAAGCATAGTCACTCACAATAGTGAAGTGAAAAACATTTCTGAATGAACAGGTTGTCATTTCAGATTATAACTTGGTAGTGTTGTTTAATGTAAAGGTCAATGCATGAAACCCTGAGGTATTATGCACTACATAGGTGTGGTTCAAGTGTCAACAGAGAAAGATGTGGATATGTAATTTTGAGATTTTGAGATTGTTTTGGGTGGGACGGTATGACTCCCAAGTCACTACACACTCATTAAACATAGTCAAGAGGAAATGTCTTCAAATGCAGCTTACACCATGACAAGTATCTATGGTCTATGAGATGTCTTGCTTCAAAATGGTACCCCATAATTAGCACACTTTATTTATTTATTTATGTATTTTTTTAAAGTCTTGTCGTTTGCATATCCATTTAAGTTTAGGGAATACTCGTTAAAACTGCTGTCTGTGTCTGCATTTCTATTTGGTCTGAGCCCAACTTAATAATAACAGTTATCTCACCACAGTGTGAAATCAGTATAGTTCTTACTGTGGGAATGACAGAATTATGTCATTAACTGAACCAAAGTGGCTTTTCAAAAGGTAGCTGTGGTTTCACTTTAATCAACATTGTGAAGACGAAATCAGCAAGAAGCGACCTCAGATGAGACAAGCGTTTCTGGTGTGGGGGAACGCAACATCTTGATTTATTGAAATAAACCAGATGTCTTCATTATTCTGACACGCTATCCATAGTCTAAAATGAGCTTGCTGTGAGAATAAATGTTTGGCATTCACTAACAGACTACCACAAATACACGTTGTTATTATGATCAGTTTTATATTTTATTCATTGACTTTTACTACTATAACTGAACCAATAAATCCCCAGAACTCGTCTGGATACGTCTAACGTTTCAAATGGTTTGATTTGATGATTCATTCAGACATCAAGTGTTCAGATTGTACAATTAAATTATGGCCTGAGGTTCAATATTGTCTGAGGTCAGAGCCCATATCCAGAGCTGATTGGTTGCTTGATGAATGGACAGTGTTTAAGTACACCCTTTTCGTCTTGCATTCGTTCATTTTGATCAAAGGATTTTAAAGTGAGTATTTGGCTTTTTTTCTGTCATGCAATATTAGCTATTAATGTATTTACTGTGTGTTTGTGTATCTTTAGGTATGACACAAATGAGGCTTATAGTGTTGCTCATATGTGTTCTAGCAGGAACTTTTGGAGTTCTGGTGAGTCATTATAGTCATCTCTTTTCATCCAGATACCACTTGGGTTATACATTCCTCATTAGACATTCTTTTCACCATAAATAACTTTTTTTTTTTACCTACATTTCATCTTACTCTAATTATAGGACCAGTTGAGTATTAGTAGACTGTTGGGGGTATGTACTTGCAAAGTTACTTATAGTCAGCAGATATGAAGCAGACAGCATCACCCTAAAAATTGTTGGGTTGTTTTAACCCAACCTTGGGTCAAATATAGACAAACCCAGCCATTGGGTTAATTTTTTTTATTTACATTTTTAACCCAACGTTTGGCTTTGTCCATGTTTGACCCAAAGTTGGGTGAAAACAACCCAGCATTTTTAGAGTGTAATAAGTTGACAAGTACATGCAGTTTTATAGTCAACAGGATGTCTAAAGAGGACCAAATAAAGTGTTACCGAAACATGATCTCTTTAGAGATATTTTATGGTTGTATTGTAGAAATCCATCATAAGTGTTGCTTGTTTACTTGATTATGTTAATACTTATGTTATTCAATTAACCTTTTCATAGATCTCCCCAAATGCTCCCCAAATAGTCCCAATGGGAGATATGCCAGCTCAACGAACCAAGGTCTGAGGTACTGGTCCAAGCCCATCATGTGCCACAACAGTTTCAGCCTAAATCTCCCAGAGTTCCCTCTGGTTCTGAGCAACAGCTGGCCACTCTGACCAATCCATGGGCCTACCAACCCAACCCCAAAGCAGGTCTCGGTCAACTTCCTGCACCCTTTCAATACTTTCCCTATTCTCATCCCCAGCAACTTCAGGTAAGAAACTTTATATGGTCACTTGATAAATGAATTGACTAATTTCTTATCTTAATAAGACAGCCCATGAATTAATTTTTGGTAACAATTTATTTCAATAGTCCACACATTCGACTGTAAGTAGATTTGCAACTACATGTTAACTATCAGTCATTAGTGTATTAGTAGATAGTCTTCTTAATATCTGACAACACTTTTGATGTTCCCTCAATATACATTCTATTGACTATTAGTAACTCAATTATATTTTTTATTCTACTAACCCTAAACTTAACCCTAACCCTAACCTAACAGTCATCTAAAACTCTAATGATTGTTGACATGTCATTTCTTGTAGTTAGTGGACTATCGGAAAAAACAAAAAAACAACAAAAAAAAAACCATGAAACCAAGTTTTTAAATAAAATATAATTAATTTTATTAAAATATAAAAAAGGCTTTGGGAGTTGATTGAATTCTAAATATACATTTATTAAAATACCTAATACGTTTCTCCCCCTGTACTTTTCAGTTTTTCTATTATCCCATTCTTGGACCACAATCCAGGAACCTAACAGTAAGAAGTGTTTCCATACAATATTAGAAATATGTGTGGTTTTGTTTGTAGCCATCAAAAATACACCACAGGAAGAGCTAACAGACTGTCTGGGTTCAGCAGGTTTATTCTGATACGAGGTCCAAACCCAAACTTAATTAATGTTAGCTATGTAACCCTCAAGCAAGCCTTTGTGTTTAGACTCTTTGGTATATTATCAAAAATATTTTGCTGGAGGAAATCTTCCAGTCTCCAAGTCTGAGGAGTTTTGATTTATTGAGGAAACCTGATGCACTTGATGTGTCTAAACAAAGAGGGTTGACATAATATATTGCCTCGTGTATCAGTAAAATGTGTGCACACAAATAAAATCTCTATCAGAAGTTTGTCAGTTCAGCATCCAACAATCCTTAGAGGAGTCAGTGAGTTCATTCACTCTTGATGAAATCTCATTTGTCCCAGAATCCACTTCTAACTATTGTCTTTTTGCTCACTTGTCAATCACCTAAATCAGAACTTTTATAATTAGTTCTCAAATTCTCCTCATCATCATCAGTTCTCCTATGGAGTGCCTGTTTTCCAGCACGCATCATATCAACAATATCCTGCTAATTTAGTTCCAGCTTCACAACTATTAATGGCACAAAACAAACAACACAAGCCAAATGCTCATCAAATGCATCCATACCAGCCTCAGCAAGAACAGGTATCAATGCAAACATTCTGGACTCAAGCAAATCCAATTTTTTCAATATTCTCATATCATGTATTTTTCTATAGGTTCAACAATTTCTTTACATGGTTCCACAGATTCAACAACGAATGGTGAATGAATCGGCATTAACTGTTATACAATTGAATATTTATTCTCTAAATAAGTTATTGGGGTGTAATTCCTTATATGAATGCTTTTTAAAGGCTGGACCATATGGTGGATTGAGCTCTGAGGAACTTCAGGTAAAAAAAAAGTTTGAGACCATTAGTAGACAATTTTATTTTATTATATTTTATTTATTGTATTCTAATATATTATCATCATACAAATTTGAGCAAGTATTTAGCCTTTTCCCATTTTTTTATTCATATGAATGTCACAAATTTGCTTATTTAATTGTGACCAAATAGTCTCAATTTTTATATTTTTCTTCTCTTAAAGGACAAGTTCGGTATTTTACAATTAAAGCCCTGTTTTAAGATAGTTTCAGATGAAATAGAATGGTTAAGATTGTTTTTTAGACAAATCCTGCTGTCCCGAGAATTTTCAGATTCTGTGGTAGCACCCCCACACCTCTACAATGGCAGCATAGGTGCACTGGAACAATCCTTCATAAAACGCATAAAACTTAAGTTTACAAAGATGTGAAACTCGCCGAATGGTCCGGGGTGTTCACTGATATGCTCACACGAAAATCGCTGCAAAAGATGCTTTCCAACAGGTGTTTTACCAGTAGTTGTAAAATTGTGGACCTATTTTTCTGAACGCCTCACAACCGTACATTCTTCCGTTGGCAGCTTGAATAATAGACACTCCAGCCCAGTTGGTGGCGATAATGCACCTTTGCCAATTGCAAGCAAACCACTTGTATAGTGTGGCCTACGATACCGCGACTGCATAAGACAACGGAAAAAATACAAACAACCCCATTTCCGTTCCGCGACAGCAGCATTTGTCTAAAAAACAATCTTAACCATTATATTTCATCAGAAACAATCTTAAAACATGGCTTTAATTGTAAAATACCGAACTTGTCCTTTATCTTCTATTCATATTTTCAAAATCTACAACATTAAGTTCAGAAGTGTAAAAAAGATCAGACACTACTGTATCTTTGAAAAGTTATATATATATATATATATATAAATGAATATTTGGCCTATATTATATAATATTAAATGTCTGTCAAAATTTATGTCACATACAGAACATGGGACAAATGGGCCTGCGTTTAGGGGCAATGTGTTGCCTGTAGCTGGACCACAACCTGTTGTACCTGTTAACCCTTTAAGACCAGCCAATACCTTCCACATCAACACCTACCCTGCCACTGGAATGACATTCTCGACCAATACTGAGGCCCAGCCACCTAGCATTGTAGCTGTACCACCCAGAGGGGATGCCATATTTGCTACTGGTGGATCCCATCCAAATAACTGCCTAGTAGGAATGCTATCAAGCAGGACCCTGAGCGAGTGCCGTGTGATGATGTCCAATTTGCTGAAAACCCCTTAACCAACACTGGACCTGTCTTGCCCTTGTCCACTGTCCAAACCGATCCCCATTACAGTGATCCCAATCTACATCCCCATACACCAGAAGAAGCTTTTGTTTCAGCGTCCCCACCACTGCTTTCCAATACTGTTAAGACCAACCCTTATATGTACCCCTAAGACAAATCTTCGCATCTTTATTGCAAGATTTATTTAAAGATGCATTTTGTATCATGCGTTTTATATATCGTGAGCTTAGAATTTTAAGGTTATATCTCCGTCTAGGGTTCTGAGATATTTAGCAGCAAAGTTTTTACATCCCAGCTAGTATAATCTTCTATTATAGCTTTCTTTTCTTTTTTTCTTTTTTTTTTTTTTTTTACAAAAATAACACCACACAGGCATTAATAAACACCAAATGCATCAGATTATGTCAAAAACTCAATTTCGACCAAAAGTGGAGATAGAACCTTATAATTCTAAGCTCACAATATGGGTTATGTACGTTTTTAAAATATTTCTAAAACTGTACTTTGTTTACTTTGTTACCATTTCTTTATCTTTTATTCTTCCCAGTATGATTTTTTTTTTGTTGACTTTTTAAAAATCAAAACCATCTAAAATGATTTCCGACCTTTGTACTGTGAACTTTGTGTGTGGTCCTCAACATATATACTAGACATATGATTAAATACAAAGTTAATTACAGCCTGAGGCTCCTTCTGTGTTGCATACAGTATATCTGTCATCAAGTGTCAGCTGTGTTAATATAACTGGAAAAATGTGCACATTTAAGCCAGATAATCACAATATGAGTATATATATATAGATATAGATATAGATATTAAACTACATAATTAAAGTGCAGAGCATTTGAAAGTTCTTAAAATGCCATCAGAAAAACAGAATTGCCTACTAATAAGGGACACGTATAGAAAGTATCAGGGAAACAATGTACTGTCATCTTGTTTAAAAAGACTGGGATTGAAGTAATTCATTGATTTTAAGTGATTCTTAAGCCAATGACCAGTTTACTGATAACTGGTCAGTACATGAAGGCACATTATTGAATGTATCCAAAAAAAATATGACAAGATTAATGGCAATAAATGATATATATATATATATATATATATATATATACTGTATATATATATACGTATATATATATATATATATATATATATATATATATATATATTACTTTTATACAGTACCTGACTTTCACTGCAGTTTCCCAATGTAATATGAAATGTAAATAGTTCTTTCCACACTTTTTTTTCTAGCAGTGTCCTCTGTCAGGCAGAAGGTTCTTACAGTTTGAACAAGTGTGAACATTACTGTCAGAGAGCTATGATTTTATCACACCATAAACGTATTTTCTGATTGCGTTTGATTTATTTGCACTACTATATCATGCCAAATAATTACAATCTCAGCCAAAATTTTGCTTTGAGATAAGCAAATTTGCTTTGAATGCACATTTTTGCCCTCCATAAAGGAACTTGGCTGGTCACCAAAGCCAATCAGATGTTGATGTTATGGGCCTTTTGTTTTCAAAGAGAATATAAGGAGTAGATCTAGAGAGCAGTACATCACAAAATCCTCCTCCTCAATCCTGATCACAATCAAGAGTCGTAAACGAAGGTAAGGTACCATTCATTCAACAAACAATTTGGGGGCTAAACTTTGGGGTTGATCTCCTTTCCTGGTGGAGAAGGTTACATAGAAGATAGCAAACAATGAAACTATATCTTTGCATGTCATATTTCAGACATCATCATTCAACATGAGATCCCTCATTTTGCTGGCATTTGTCATCGGTGCGGCCTACTGCGCTCCGGTATGTGATCGATGTTATGTATTTATTGATGAAGAGAATGTGGAATGCTATTGTGATGTTAACTCTCATGTTCTTTGACCCACAGCAATTAATGTATTATGAGCTAGAGTACAAACCTGTCATGGCTCCACAGGTTAGTTTGGTCCAAACATGAAATGAATACAGGGTGAATTCATGTTGATTGGGACACGTTTCAGTCATTTCAATGGCAAAAGTGTCCCAATCAATCTGGATTCACCCCTATTTACATAAATGACAGCCTCGATAAAATGACTCAAGGAATATGGGAATATACAGTGTCATATAGGATTATAGCACATTATGTATTTAATAAAAAGTGTGTATGATCATACAGGCTCTTCCTGCGGCCGCCGCTGCAGCTAGACCTTCTGAAATAGAGATTGTAAGTGTGGAGTGGAGTGAAACATTACTATTACCATTATATTACTTAGACATATATTACATTTTATATTATAGTAATATTTTAATGTATATTTTTATATATAAATATAAAATATTACATTAAAAATCAAATTATTATATATTAAATTATATTATATTATATTATTGTTTTTTCAGCTTCTGGCTGCTCAACAGGCTGCAGCTGGAGGTTCTGTAAGTTGGGTTTAATTTCTTTTCACAGAGTATTCAATATGTTCTGCTAGTTGAGCATGCAATCAGTTTTTCTTATTCTTCACAGGGTCAACCTATCCGTGGCTTCATTAAACATGAGATTCCCCAGCCCGCCGGCAAAGAAAGTATTGAAGTTGTACGTGATTCTGCATTTTTTTAATTTCCCTATGCTAAATGAAATCCTCCATTTCTCGTCAGCCATGTAGAAGTTCATTTCCCTCTGTTTTCTAGCTGTACCCCTTCGGCTTTCCTGAACCTGCCCCTGCTGTCCCAGCTGCCCCGGCTGCCCCAGTTGTCCCAGTTGCTCCTGCTGCCCCAGTACAGTCCAACCTAAAAAACTGTTATATATTTAATACTATCACATATATGTATTAAATTTGTTGTACTTTTTTAGGCTCCTGTTCCAAAGGATGATGATGATGATGATCATGATGACTAAACCAGGTTGGTTAAGTAATAATTATAATCTTATGAATAAACATATTATTAATATTTAATAAGATATTATTAAATATCTTATTTTTGTCATAAGATATTATTAAATGTCCCGCCACAGAATGTGGTGGGGTGTTTGAGAGGGAGAGTAACCACGCCACCCTGTTAACCAGGGGAATATAAATACTCATGAATTTAACCACCTATAAAGAACACACAGGAGCGTGGTTTCCGAAAGGAGGGCCTGAGACATGGACACCAAAAATCCAAAAGCTTTTACATTAAAAGACTGTATGAGCAGGTTAACAAAAACAAACATTAAAGAAGATTATAATTAATAAATCAATATATCAATCATAATGCTGCAATGCCACAAATGTAAAAGTTTTAACATTGTACTCTGACATTTTAAATAGAGAAAAACTCCATTTGGTACCTTTTTTTTTAAACATCATATAAATCACAGAAGAGAAATCTTTTTGTACAATGCAACACATTTCGAAAGCCTCCGTCTTTTCTTTTTCTCACAGATGAAAGGATAAGCTGACCACCAATTCCTGAACGACAAAGAAGCTGCTTGTGTTTTGCTCGAGTGACTAAATGCTTTCCCGCTTTAGAAATAATGATGAGCCATCGAAATAATGATGAGCCAAATGGTGCTTTTTCAGTGGCTTTATGCTTTAGAGCCTTAAAATCATATCCTTTTTTTTTTTTTTTTTTTTTTTTTTGCAAACTATCTACAATAAAGTTTACAATCAATACTTTGTCTCCTCATTTTTTGTCGAAAAGCTTTATAATGGTTTATTCATAGAAATACATAATTCCTAGTTTGGCTGAAAATGAATATCATCCCAAGAAAGCCCTTCAGAATCTGACATTGATGGTTCAGGCAGTTCTCTTACTGCAATTAAAAATCACTAAGTTTGTACACAAAAACAAAAAAACAAACTCAGTTCCTATTTTTGATATTTTGTTTCGAAAATGTGGCTGATGATATCAGCAGTTTCCTCAATTGTTATCATTATAATAATAGCTGACACAAAGGCAGACAAAGTCTGACTACAGGTCATTTTCTCAATAACCATCTTTCTCCATATGTGAGGTCATGATAAAGTCTAGCCAGAGAGGGATTGGTTAAGAGCTAAGCCAGAGAGCAAATAAAAGCAACCAAACTCATGTCCCAGAGCTATAACTCTACCTGCAACTAAGGTGAGAAAGCTGGTTGACCATTTTCGTAAACTGTAAGTGCTTCTTTTTCTATGTTATTGTTCAGAAACAGCACGCCCTCATTGGTGTTGTCTGTCTTAGACTGGTGATTCCTTAAACATGATGTGGACATCTATCCTGTGTCTTCTTCTGGCGGGTGCAGTATCCGCAGCACCAGTAAGTACACACAAGGAATGTCTTTGTACTTCTTACGGCTTGTTTTATGTATTTTATGTGTCACCCAGATGCTGAAACGGATCTCTTTTTTTTTTGTGCTTGTGTGTTTATATCTCTAGCTTTCACCGTTTTTCAATTATCTCCCTCATTATGGCAGCCCGAAGCAGGTGGGGCTAACCACACATGCACATTCCTGACTTTTCCGTATCCAAAAATGGCATAAAAGTCTTTGGAATTTCTTGCTTTAACCATAATTAACACATTGCACCCAGATTTATGATGAAAATAGCTCTGTAATATTACAGTGTATGATGACATGCTACTCCATGACATGTGTTTATATGATATATAGGTTTAACTGACTACCCTGAGGTTGCTGCAGAACAAGTTTTGAACATAATTATAACGGAAATAAACATGTTTTTTTTGTGTGTGTGAGTGTGGGGGGCATCCACTAAAGTAAATTTGAACTCCTTTCATTTTCTTAGGGGAATAATGGTGGCTTTCAGGGAATACCATCACAACCTGGTCTGAACGCACCAATCAGCATGGAAATCGTATGAGCTATTTTTTGTTTTGTTTGTAAAAATCATAAATATAACAATTCAAAGTTGTACTAAGAAACCATGTAAAGAAATGTGCTTTTGGTGTGTAAGGATTTATTTCTGGCTGATCTTAAAAATTACTTTTATTAGGTTAGTGTTCCTGAAAAAATAGTCCCTCTTAAAAAGGACTTTCATTAGTTTAGAGTAACCTAATACACTGAAGAAGAAAAAATAAAATTCTAGACTAAGACACATGACACATATTTCAGATTACCTGAAAATGTGTATGTGGTCTAACCCTTAACAATCGCTTTTATTAGGTTAGGCTGTGTGTTAACTTCAAACAAAAAAGTTGCTGCCTTCAATTTTTAAATACAATCAACTTGTATGGTTAAGTCATTTAAACTTAAATTACTGCAAACTGATTCAAAAAATGAGTTGAATCTTTACTTATTTTGATGAGTTGAAGCAATGTAAAAACATATGCTGCTATAACTTACTGATCAAGTAGCCTACTTTTATTCAGTCAAAAAAAAAAAAATATATATATATATATATATATACATTTATGTTTTACGCAGATTAGATGAAAAAAATGTGTATGTCGTGAATAACAAGTATTATTTCTTTATTATCAAATAGATTTTCCCACCGAGATTCCCTACTAATCCAGCAGGGGGCAAAGCGGGCACATCGGTGAGTAAAGCTTTGCTATCTGCATGCAAGGCTAGCTTGTTTTTCCAACATATCAGCTAAACAGCTTCTTTGTTAAGTGCCTTTTTGAAATGTAAACTCTCACCTCGATTAGTTGAATCAATACATTTTTCATGTGTGTATACCATAAAGAGAACATAATTACTACCATTCACGCGCGCTGTCTCTCTGTCTCTGTCTGCCTTCAGTCATTCCCTACACAAGCGTTCATCAAGTACTCTCTCCCCAAGGCTCCCGGCAGAAAAAGCGTGGAAATCGTGAGTGAACAGACCCTAAGGCTAATTTCACTTGTTCTGACTTTACTAGAAATCTTAACATATATGCTGTAGAAAGCCAATCTAGCAGAGTGTTGATTTTATAGCTTCTAATGCCTCAACATCCTTGCTCATCCCCTCTGATGCAAGGAACTCAATGGTGATTGTGTGTTTCTTTCTCCTTATTGAAGTTTTACCCCTATGACTTCAGTCAGCACCAGGTAGGATTTACTTTGAAACTAGTACTTTTCTCAAATAATTACAAAGAAGTGGCAAGCAACATATTGAATTGTGAAATTTTGAAGTTGAAATGGATTATATCTTTTGTTTTCTCGTCCCGTGAATAGCTGAGCCTTACACATTTTACTTAGTTCTGGGAGTAGGCCTACTTGTTTCCATCATTGAATCGTTTTCCTGTTTATCTCTGAAAAGCTGCTTTGAAACAAACTGTTTTGTATAAGCGCTATAAAGTTGACTTGTTGTTTATGTTTCAGGACCAACCAAATGTTCCCCTGATACCTCAATTTCCAAATGTAAATTCTTTCAATTGCTCAAAAATTTTAATATGATATATATATATATATATATATATATATATATATATATATATATATATAACTATTTTTCTAAAATATTGTCATTCATTTTAATATACTTTGTCAATAGATCTTCCCCTTTCACTTCATGCCACAGACAGTGCCTCAACAGCCACCCATGGTGAGATAAAAATGTCTTCATATAAAAATGCGTCATAATTACTCAATACGATCATCACTTGCACTGTTATTGGAATTTGCTGAAACGCCTGAATCTTGAAACACTGTGAGCTTTTATGTGAGCTTTTATTGCATTTCTACACAGAACCCACCATTCCAGGAGGAACAAACCCAAGATCCTCAGCAGCAAACCCAGCCGGAGCAGCAGGCTCAGACAGGAGAGGTGTGTGTGTGTGTGTGTGTCTGTTTAAATGCATATGTGTGAGAAGCAAAAATCTCAACCCTCAGTTAAGCTCTGATTTGACAACATAATGACTCCTTCAGTGGTGCATTTAGCCAGTATGGCATGCTTTTAACCAAAATGAGAACTTGCGAATCTTGTACATGTCAGCAGCAGTTTTGTTGAAAAAAGCAGATTATGTGCACTACACTCTTGTTAATTATCTATACCTTCTTCCAGGTGTCTAACAAGCCATGAAGACCGGTGAGATACTGCTTATGTGTATCTGAATATGATTAATTCGTCCTAATTTTCAGTTGCAATAGTTTTAATAATGTTACAACATTGCTTGACATCACTCTTTCATTCTTGTTTATCACATCATTTCTAATGCCTACAGGCTCATCTTTGCAGCTGAGTGAGAGACAAACATCAAACAAGAGTGTGAACCCATTCTCCCCAATGCTATTTAGAATTAGTACTTTTTTCCTGGGATAATAATTTAAAACACGAAGATAATGATCTACACATGTAACATTTCTTTTTTAAAGATCTGTAAATGCATGGAATGCAGATAGGAATGTGCTGTTTGGGTCTTATTCTGATGTGAGAAAATTATACCTTAAAGCAAATGTCAGTTCTGAATATTTTCTCATGTATACTTTTGTGAGTAGTGTTTCATTAATAAAGTTGATTAAAGAACAACTCATTTTTTGTCTTTGTGGTAGTTGTTATGAAATAACACATGACATTTGTAATGCATATTAAATAAAATAATACAAAACATGTATTTCTTAAACATTAAAAAGGATTCTGAGGTTAAAGTGAAATATTTTGCACCTTGAACATTATGCTGTATAATAAACATATTTTCACATGGATTGTCTGGCCATAAGGAATTCTCATAGTCTCCTACATGCAGACATTAACACGTTCACTAGACCTGCAGTACAATTGCAATTCAGAAAACTATATTTGCTCTAAGATATGTTGGCACATTGGGCATCAACATTTAATATCATTTTGAGATTGAGTTTATCTGCTAATTATCATTACGTGGTTTAATTAGCTCTGTGATTCTAATTCAGTTCTAATTATATATCTATATAGAAAGAAAGAAAAGTCGCTATTTGAATTTAAATAAGCACATGCTTGAAAGTCAATGATTGGATCATTATTGCAGTAATTATTATAGCAAGTTTTATGTTTGCCAACAGATCTTCTAAACCTAACTGATGAAGTGTGTAGATGTGTTTACATGGTTTAGATATGAACATCATGGCCACATTCTAGGAGAACAATGTCAAGATTCATCAGTCTCAAATTGTGAAAGAATTGGTTGGGAGGGAGCTTGAAGAATCATTTTCACACACAATTGGCACAGTAAGAGTCCAGACCTTAAAATCTTTGAAAGTGTTTGGGATGTGCTGGAGATTTTCCATCAAGAGGTGCAAGTTTTTATTGGTCAATCTGGTATGGACAATGCAAGAGGCAAGCACTTTGCAAAGTCCTGACGCTTTGGACATTTCGTCTACATCCAACGCCAACGCATTCTCACCCCAAGGCGTCACCTTTGACCATGCTTCAATATTTGACGTTTTAGGCGCCCTTTAGCGTCACTTACATGACGCGATCCTACGGCGTCATCTAACTGACGCTAAAGGAAAGCGTCAGTTAGAGGACGCGGTTAGGTTTAGGTGTGGGGTGGGGGTAGGGTACACGCGATCCTAGGGCGTCATCTAACTGACGCTAAAGGGCGCCTAAAGCGTCAGATATTGAAGCATGTCCAAATGCTTCCCATGGCGTCAGTTAAGTGACGCCTTGGGGGTGAGAATGGGCTGCAACGCGCATGGCACCCTTTAGCGTCAATATGAGACGCAGATATATATGGGGCAGAAGGCGCCTCCTAGTGGTCTAACCCTGACCCTACCCCAGACCTAAATCTACCCGCATAAATTAATATATTTTGGTTGATTATATATATATATATATATATATATATATATATATATATTTCCCAGTGGAGTGGTTTTCTTTTGCAATAATATACTTCATCATGAATATTAAGTAAGGCTTAAGTAAATAGACATGCAATACTAGATTATTATGTGGCAATATACCATTGTGTGGTAATTACAATTATTATAATATATATATATATATATATATATATATATATATATATATATATATATATGTATATATATATATATATATATATATATGTATGTATGTATATATATACAAATTACATAGCTTTTAATACTGGATGACAAGATAACCTGAATCTGATTTGTTTTAAATTAATTAAATAATAATGACCTTAAAGTTTGTGAATTAATAACAGGTTGAAAAAATGCAAAACTAAGGTCAACTACAGTATATACACACATATGTTCAAGCCTGTAATTCATATAGTTTGTTTGTGTCTGTGTGTATTCATATATACAGTATATATACACACTCAAACAAACTATATGAATTACAGGCTTGAATTGTAGGCTTTTGGACAACCAGAAAGATAGTTGCCAGTTGACCCTATGGAAACATCTTTCTACAATGACTGAAGGAGAACCAGAGCATATGTCGTCTCTTGGCTGATTTGTTTGAGTTCAGCAAGGATATCTAAAAACCTTTTATGTTCCCATTCTTGAAATGGAAGACATCCTTGACATCAGATAAGACATTCTGGATGTGGATTCCCTAAAGCATAAAGCATAGGCTTCAAACCTCAGACTGAGGGAAAAAAAAAAACCCAGACAGCAACATCTCTATAGAAGTTGTCAGTGTGGTCACAATGAGGAGCCAAAAGATTTATACCTATATCTCCAAAATGAATCAGCAAAAAAAGTCTGTAATTAAGAGTTAGAGAATTTTTGTTTGTGAAGATCTTGTTGTAATCAGATCAATCAAGTTGGCAGGCTCCCACAAGTCCCACTGCCGTGCTAAAGGGGCCCAAAGAAAAATTGCATCACATGCAAACTTCACCATCAAACACCACAGACAGACCCTCCTCCCGTCTGGTAGACAATTTCATTTTTTGTCTGTCTTTTTGAAGAACTGTGCACCAAGCAGAATTTCACAGTGTATAATTATACATAATGGGTCATTAGCAGTTGTAATTCCAACCTTGCTTTAAGAATAAAGGCAAAAAATAGATTTCATTTTTGCTGAGAGGTGATTGGTCTGTTTCAGGAGCAGCTAAGTATATATAGCAGCCTTGTTCAGTACTTATTCATTCAACTTTAAACGTCAAGAAACCAAGCAGTCGTACTTGTGATTTTCAAAAGAGGTAAGCTCGTACCATTTCTGCGGAGTTTTAACTCATATGTTACCGGCAGTATTAAATGTGTCTATTTTTCTTTCTGCATCATAAGCTGCGAAATAATCATGATCATGAAAGCTGTGGCGTTGTTGATGTGTTTGCTGGGCTCCTCGCTAGCTGCACCTGTAAGTTCTTGTTTCTACATCTTGTTTCACATTCAAGGCAAGTCAAAATTTCAAACATTTTTGATATCTTCCTCTTGCTTTGCATATTTTAGGCCCCTGACAGCAGCAGCAATGAGGTAAGACTTGTGTGTGATCACAATGGGTGTAATGTGTTGCATTATGAACAGGCCTACTGTGTTTTCTCTATTGCAGCAGGTAGCTAGTCATGCTAACACAGCTGTGCAGTTGATGGAACTCTACAGATTGATAGCACAGATGCGGCAACAGGTCAGTTCAATGCTGATAACGCTAAAGACATAAAGACATTTCATACTATTAACATAATGTGATCACTGTATTTGCAGGGTTTTGGTGCCGCTCCTAATGATGCTCAGCTGCCTGTATGTTAAGCATTTAATCACTTCATGTAAAGACTACTGTGTGAATCTATTTTATGGATTTGATGGTTTTTTCTGTTCCTCACAGGCAGCACCCGTGGCACCCGCAGCACCAGCGCCTGTTGATGTAAACCCCTTTCATTCTATCATATCGCATTTTATGTTTTTTTGAGAATAAACAATAGCATCTTGAAAACATTTTGGACAATATTTCTCTTTTTACAGACCCAGCCTCAGGTTTCACCTCAAGCTCCACAGCAGGTTAGCAATGTGCCATTTTTATGATTTGTCAATGTCAGTCATGGCATGCCATAGGATGATGTTTAAACTCTAAAAATTGCTGGGTTGTTTTAACCCAACTTTGGGTCAAATATGGACAAACCTAGCCATTGGGTTAAATCTTTTAATTACATTTTTAACCCAACGTTTGGGTTTGTCCATATTTGACCCAAAGTTGGGTTAAAACAACCCAGCATTTTTAGAGTGTAGGATAAAGAAAAATCATGTTAGATACCTAGCAAACAAATTTAGGTTCTGGGAATTTTTTGGTTCCCAGAACGTTCCTAGAACTTTCCCTTAAGGTTAAGGGAACGTTCCCGGAACATTCTCCTTACGTTATAAAAATGGAACCTAAAAAGAACCTACATGGAACGAGCCTATAACATTCTTGTTTGGTTCCCCAAAAAATAACCTCATGGGACCAATTGGTTCCATTAGGGGAACGTTCTGTGTTTGCTGGGTAACTGACACATCTGTTGTGTATCGAGGCCTTTTTAAGGGAACGTTCCCGGAACATTCTCCTTACGTTATAAAAATGGAACCTAAAAAGAACCTACATGGAACGAGCCTATAACATTCTTGTTTGGTTCCCCAAAAAATAACCTCATGGGACCAATTGGTTCCATTAGGGGAACGTTCTGTGTTTGCTGGGTAACTGACACATCTGTTGTATATCGAGGCCTTTTTAAGGGAACGTTCCCGGAACATTCTCCTTACGTTATAAAAATGGAACCTAAAAAGAACCTACATGGAACGAGCCTATAACATTCTTGTTTGGTTCCCCAAAAAATAACCTCATGGGACCAATTGGTTCCATTAGGGGAACGTTCTGTGTTTGCTGGGTAACTGACAGATCTGTTGTGTATCGAGGCCTTTTTAAGGGAACGTTCCCGGAACATTCTCCTTACGTTATAAAAATGGAACCTAAAAAGAACCTACATGGAACGAGCCTATAACATTCTTGTTTGGTTCCCCAAAAAATAACCTCATGGGACCAATTGGTTCTATTAGGGGAACGTTCTGTGTTTGCTGGGTAACTGACACATCTGTTGTGTATCGAGGCCTTTCTAGTCCACACATTTATGTTTTCTTATTTACATGACTGATAAATAACTAAATGGCTCTTTAGCCTTTAGCTTGGCTTTTTGCAACTAATCCTATTACAAAAACTACAGAGTGGTTATAGACTTCTTTATTGACATTAATGGTTGCATGAAGAACCTTCAACGTCCATTGAACCTTTCCATTGCACAAAAGTTTCGTTATATTGGAAAAAAAGGTTCATCAGATTATTAAAACATTGAATGACACTATGAAAAAATGGTTCTTTTAAGAATTGTTCACAAAAAGGACGGAATTGGTAATGTTCACTCTTAAAAATAAAGGTTCTTCCATGGAACCTTCACATTGGTTTCAAAAAACCCAAAATGGTTCTTTAAAGGCAAAAAAAAAAAAAGCCTTCAGGAATTTTACTTTTAAAGACGGTGCAGTACACAAGCCTTGTGACTGAGCTAGTTTGTGTTGACGTTGATCTTTGAACATTTCTTTCAGGGCTTTTTTTTCAACCCCGCTCTTTTCGCACCCCAAGGAGATGGGTCAGATG